CGCCCAGTAGGGCCCCTGTGCCCGCAGCCCCCGCCTTCTCGAGAAGCTGTGCAGTCTCAGACTCGTGGAGCGCCACCCCCTTCTCATTGCTGGGGAGGCGCAGAGAGGGGTCTCAGGAAAACTCGGCTTGTCACCTCTCTTCCGAGGGCCCAGCTGAGAAGAGATTCTCCCCGTTTGTCCCCAGATGATCATCACCAGATTGAGGAAAAACGCAAAAGGACATATGAGACCTTCAAAAGCATCATGAAGAAGAGTCCTTTCACTGGTGAGCGGGAGAGGGGGGCTGGCCGGGACCCAGCGGGGAGGGCGGGGTGGCCTGGGGGCCGAGAACTGACCCAGCCTTGCCTGCAGGACCCACCGACCCCCGGCCCCCACCCCGGCGCATTGCCGTGCCTTCCCGGAGCTCAGCGTCCGTCCCCAAGCCCGGTAAGGCTTTCCTGCTGCTCCCCCAGAGCTGCGGCTCAGGGCTGCTCGGGCTGGGGGAGGCGGGCGGGCAGCCTGGGCAGCCAACGTCTGATGCCGGCGCTTCTGTTTCCAGGGGCTTGTCTCAGAGCCTGGGTCGGAGCCCCCTGGGGAGCGGGGCGATGCAGGTTCCTGGGCTCCGGCGCAGACTTCCACACAGGCTGCTCCCGGGAGCAGTGCTCCCTGCGGTCCGAGTTGAAGCACTACCAGTGCCCCCATGCAGGGAGACCTTGGGGTGCAGAGTGTTAAAAGGCACAACCATCGCACCCTCAGCTTTCAGCTGAATTAGGGAAACAAAAACCCCTTGAAGTTGCCCAGTGTAGGTGCTGGTGCTGGGCTCCATGGAGTGACAAAGTGCCGGCTCAGGCACCGCGCACTGCTGCTCCTGGGGCCGTGCTCTGGGGGGACGCGCTGACATCGCTCTGTCAGGTCTAAAGTGAGGCCTCACCCACAGGTCTCCAAAAGCATCCCTTCCTCGAGAAGGCGGGAAGAGTTTCGTGGCCGGAGTAGACAGGAGGGGGGAGCTAGCATGGGCCCCGCCGGCAGAGTGGGGAGGAGGGAGCTCAGGTGCCGGCGGTGACTCTGGGGAAGGGTTGATCCTGAACACGGTGGACAGCACAGGGTGGGTCTCGAGGGCTTTTCTCTGACCCCTGCCTCTCTCTCTTCCAGCTCCCCAGCCCTATTCCTTCACATCATCCCTCAGCACTATCAACTTCGAGGAGTTTTCCCCCATGGTCTATTCTTCCGGGCCGATTCCAGGCCAGCCTCCGGCCTTGGCACCAGCCTCTGCCCCAACCCTGGTCCAGGCCCCCGTTCCCGCTGCAGCCATGGTGCCAGCTCTGCCCCAGGCCCCAGCCCCTGACCTAGTCCTAGCCCCAGGCCTTACTCAGGCTATGGCCCCGCCTGCCCCCAAGCCCTCCCTGGCTGGGGAAGGGACACTGTCAGAGGCCATGCTGCACCTGCAGTTTGATGCGGAGGAAGACCTGGGGGCCTTCCTTGGCAACGGCACCGACACGGCTGTGTACTCGGACCTGGCCTCCGTCGACAACTCTGAGTTTCAGCAGCTGATGAACCAGGGTGTGTCTGTGGCCCCCACCGCAGCTGAGCCCATGCTGATGGAGTACCCCGAATCTATAACTCGTCTGGTAACAGGGTCCCAGAGGCCCCCTGACCCCACTCCCACCGCACTGGGGGCCTCTGGGCTCCCCAATGGCCTCCTCCCCGGGGAAGAAGAATTCCCCTCCATTGCGGACATGGACTTCTCTGCCTTTCTGAGTCAGATGAGCTCTTAAGCGGGGGACGCCTGCCAAGCCTGGAGTAGTGGGTGCAGGGGATTGATGCCCCCCAAAAGCAAGCACTTATGGATCCTGGGGGGTATGTTCCAACTGTCCCCAACTTCTTTGGGTGATGTCTTCCTGGGGCGGGGGGAGGGTGCATTTTATTCTTTCATTGGCCATATGTATCTTCTTGGAGGTGCTTAAGCAGAAGCATTAACTTCTCTGGCAAGGGGGGAGCTGGACGGACTCGGACTTGGCTCTTCCCCTTTCCTGATGTTCAGCTCCTTTCTGTGGGAATTCTAGGGACCCCAATCCCTACCCTCCAGCTTCTAGCACTCTCCTAGAGAGTGGGGCAGGCTGGAGCTATGGCCTCTGAGGCCACAAAGCCTTATTACCAAGTGTCTTCCTCCAATCATGGATTCATTCACACCTTGAGCCTAAACAGCCTGTTAGCAGCTCCTCGGCTCGGGCATTGCCCGGCGCCTCACATCAGCACCCAGGGCCTGGCCTTCCTGCCTGTCCAGGCCTCTGCCAGCTCTTCCCTTGCTCAGCTGTGGTGGAGAGGACTGGTGGGACAGTACCAGCCCCATCCAGCAGCTGGGGATTTTGGAGATGTCTCTGTTCCCCCTTTTCTGAAGTGCCTTAATAGTAGGGAGAGCTTTGAGGAGGGCAAGCTGGCAGCTCTCCAGTCAAGTGGCAGTTTTTACTGAAGAATCAAAGCAGTTGGACTCTTGCTGTTTCTATTCTGAACTAATAAAGTCGTTGCCAAGCTGACCAGATTTCCCTTCTTTCAGCAAACACAGCACACTTTGCTGGTCATGTGAGGCTGGTCATTGGTGATACGTGGTTGAATATTTATTTACACTAGCATCTAGGAGTTTGCAGCGTGAGGAAGACCTTGGAAACCCCTCGTTTCCGTCCAGTGGATGAAAGCGGGCGACTGTGGTGGGCCTGCCGGGTGTTGAGAGAGGTGTGGCGCCCGCCGTGGGGGAAGGGAGCTGCCTGGAAAGACTTCCCGGAGCCGCACTAGCGGCCGGGTCTTAGCTCAGCAGAGGCTGGCGGACCTCCGAGAGGAGCCAGCGGCGTTTGTAGGTCAGCCGGGTAACAGACCTTGTTGGAAAGGCTCGTGGGGCCAAGCTGTTCCAGGCCCAGAGGCTGCGGTGTGTGCTTCCCCTCCCGGTGGCCCGCAGGCGCGCGCACCTGTGGGAGTAGGGGAGGCGCCCGGTAGCGGTCTAGTGCCTGCCCCGCCTGTGCTTTGATGCCTTATGCCGCAAAGACCGGAGCAGTCCAATGCGCAGCCCAGAGGCCGAAACCAAGACCAAGCGTTACTTCAAAGGGCTGGAGCTGCGCGGCCGGCCGGCCCCGCGCACGCAGGAGGCTGGGCCCGGGAAAGACCCTGGCCCGCTGGGCCGGCCTTCAGGCGCATGTGCACGCCCAGGCTCGGCGGGGCGAGGCCCGGTGAGGCGCTTCGGGAACCCCCTGTCCCGAGCCCGAGGACTGGGCCCAGCGGGCGGGCCGTGGGCCCGGGGTGCAGGCTCCGGACGGCGCCTGCGGGGGAGACGCCAGCTGGGCTCAGTGTTGGGGAACCGGAAAGCGCCTGGGGGTGAGTCCGCGGGCGGCAGCCGCGGGGGCGGGGCGGGGGCGGGCCCGGGCCGGGCGACTGGGCCGCGCGAGCGCGGAGGGCAGCACCCGCGCGCGTGGGGGCGGGACGGGGCGGGACCGGGCGCGGGCGCCGGGCAGGCGGGGCTCGACGGTGCGGCGGGCGGGCCGGGGCGAGTCCGAGGAGGCCCTGGCCGGGGCGCTCCGTGCCCGACCCGGGGGCAAGGGCGGGGGCGAGCCCAGGTCCCGCCGCCCACGCCGCGCCGCGCGGCTTTCCCAGTGTGACCCCCGGAAGCCCTTCCCCGGACTCCCATGCCCGGGCGACCTCATCGTGCTCTCGGCCCAGCCGTCCCCGAAGTCTCGTCTCAGCCCGGGCCTCCCGCCGGCAGCCGCCCCTCCCGCCTTTCAAACTCACCCTGTTCCAAGTGACCCCGGCCTGTCCCCCCATCTCCCTCCCCGAGTTAGCCTTGATCCTGCCACCCCCTGGCGGTTCCAGCCGGTAACCTTGGGCGCTGTCTCCCCCTCCAAACCGTTCCCACCTCGCTAGCTGCTGGCCAACCTGCCGCTCCCCCGACCTCCACGGCCATCACCCAGTTGCAGTCACCACTAGCTCCCACTGGGCTGTCGCTGCCCTCCCTGTCTCCCTGCAGCCAAAGGGCTCCGAGCCCCAAATCTCACCCTATCACTGTCCCTTTGAAGCCCTGTCAACGACGTGACTCAATCCGTTTTCTGCCGACACAGCCAAATAGTGGCCGCCGGGAGGCTTTCGTACTGGCCTGAGGGCTGCTCACTCCAGTCCACCCCAGGACCAGGACGCAGTGCTGGGAACTGCTAGTGCAGGAGCCTCCGCGCTCTTCCTCCGCGCGGCCTTTTCTGATTCCCAGCACAGGGCTGGGTCCCTGCCGGCGCTCTCACTCCTGTCCCGCACGCCCCCAGACCCGTCCTCCCTTGGATACCTTTGATCTCTGTCCAGCGAACTCTTACTCAACCTTCCAAACTCACTCTATCACCTCCTCCATGGCGCCTTCCCGTCTCATCCTGCCAAAGCCCAAGTTAGTAGACCCAGGGCCTTCCTGTCAACAGGAAGTCTCAGGCAGCTCGGGCAAGGGGCTGGTCTAGGCAGAGGATGCCGGGCCAGTCAGTGCCCTGTCTGGCTCCACATCTAGAGGACACGGGGTCTAGACAAAGCCCAACTTTGGACCTGCAGATGCTGCTCATGGGACGGGCCCCGCCTGGTGAGTAACGGGGCTCTGGTGAGGGCCAAAAGAAGTGAAGGGCTGATTTCCTCTGAGACATGGAAACAGCTCCCAGGCAACTGAGGCAGAGTCCTGGAGTCAGGCCCTGGGAGACATGGCCAGTGGTGAAGCGAGGCCCGGGCTGGGGGGTGTGACGGCAGAGTGGAGTGGGGCCTCCCTGGAGAACAGGCCCCCGCAAGGTGCACGGGCCTTCCTAAGGGCCCGGGGCAGGGCCTGCTTGGATCTGGCTTGGACCACCAGCAGAATCGGTGTGGGATGTGGCCACCTGCTTCCCGACAGCCTCGGAGGCCCTCTCGGGGAGCACCAGCCCTCCCTGAGCCAGCGTCCTGACTGGCCCCAGGAGCGTGGCTGGGGCTTCTGGGGCAAACCCCCCCCACCCCCCCGTCAGGTCATGAACACCTTTACAGACGCACAGAGTGGTGGTTTCTTTACTGCCCGCAGCCCTTTCCCTTCACGGAATATATACAAACAGGGATGCGGGAGTATTTTGCCACCAAATAAGGGTCCGGGCAGGGGGGGCAGTGCTAACACGCGGGCGAATTCCTGAGGAAGGCCCAGGGCCCGGGTCACCCAGGCACCCTGAGCGCCTGGGCAGTTGCCAGAGGTCCAAGCTCAGGCTGGACCAGCCAGCTCAGGCCAGGTCGGTGGCGGGCGAGCCCAGCTGCTGGGAGGCCAGGAGCAGGCCTTGGGACTCAGCCTGCAGCTGCAGGTTCCGCAGGCTCCGCACCTCCTCCTCCAGCGCCGCCCGGTCCGCCTTCTCCTGGGGCAGAGGAGCAGGCAAAGGTCAGGGTGGCCGCCCTTTGCTGGGGTGCGACCCCCCCGAGCCCCAGCCCACCCATCACCCTGTCACCTTCTGCAGATCGTCCTGCAGCTGCCTGAGCATGGACTCCAGGTGAGACACCTTCTCCGACAGGCTCCCGGGCTCTGGCCTGAGCAGGTGGGGGTCAGGGCTCAGCGGGGCCAGGGTGGGCTATACCCCCCCACCTGTGTCTCCCAGACCTGCCTGAATGAGACGCCCCCTCACCCCTACCCCATCTTCTCTGACTTAAGTGTACACGGAAGTAGAGCCCCGGGACCAGGCTGCGCTGCGGCGGCGGGGAGCGGACAGTGCAGGTAAAGGCGAAGGGGCAAGCAGGTGAAGCCTTACTCAGCATCAGACTTGGGGGTTCCCTTGGCATCTCCGCTCTCTGGGATGGTCTGTCCTGGGGGAGGGGGCACACAGGGGCTATTTACCAGGTGGGTACAGGGAGGAAGGGCCTCCCCCGGCTCCACCCCGGCGGCCTCACCCTCACGGGACAGCGACTCCAGGATGGTGTTGCAGGTGGAGGCGATCTCGGAGATGGACTGCCACTCCTCCTCCAGCGTCTCGCCGCCCGCCTCCGACATGACTGGGCACAGGGGGCGGCTCAGGAGGGCAGCCCGGGCGGCCCTCTGCCCATCCCCGCCCCTCGCCCACACTCACTTCTGCTGATGGAGTTCCGCAGAGACAAGGTTCGCGGCAGGAAGGAGGCCCTCAGCTCCGGGGTCGGGGCCACCCGGTCCTCACGGGCGCTGGGGCTGCACGTCCCCTCCTGGGGGCGGGCGGGTGTGGATGCAGTGACACCCACCGGCGCCACTGAGCCCACCCCTGCCCCCTGGGCTCCAGAGCCCCGTTTCCGCTCACCTGGGCAGGGGGTGTCTCCCTGCCAGCACTGGGTGCTGATGGCTTGGCCGTGGCGGCCAGGAGGAGGTCTGGGGTGGTGTTGGGCAGGACCGGGGCCTCATCCGACAGGGAGCTGGGGAGAGCAGGGGCAACTCAGCACTGCTGCACCCAGCGCCTCTGCCTTCACAGCGGTGGGCCGGGTCAGCCCCACCCCGCTGGAGGAACGGGGAGGCCGGGAGGGAGCACCTGCGGGATGACGGTGAGTTCTGGCTGTGCAGGAACTCGGTTCTCTCCTCGGCCAGCTCGCCGGGCCCCGGAGGCCCGCCGCCGTCGTGCAGACACATGTGCAGTAGCTGCTTGGCGACCGGCAGCGGGGCTCCCCCCGGGGCCTCATCCTGCGCCGGCTCAGGGGCCCCCCGCCGGCTGGGCTCCTGCAGAGACAGCGTGTACAGCTCCGAAAAGCTCCTGGGAGGAGGAAGGGCAGCGTCAGGCAGGAACACCCCACCCAGCGCCCCGCATCACCAGCGCCCCTGCCAGCCGGCCCGAGGCGCGCTTCGGGAGGGGGCGAGCTCTGTGGCCCCACAGCGGCGACAAAGGCTGGCCCGGTTGCCCGCCGTGTTCCTGCATTCAACCCCGTGGAGCCCCTGGTGTAAATCCCCCCACATTTCCCCCTCTGTGAGGGGGTCTTTGGCTCCCTCGCCCAGCTGCTGTGAGGAGGTAGCAGTCACACAGGTCAGGCGCGCGGCACAGGCCGCCAAACACCGCTGCCAGGGGCCGGGCCCAGCCTGCCCTTCTCTTTCCTTTTCAGCAGATGTGCCTGCTTTGGGGCTCCTGCCAGCTCAGAGTGGCTTTTATATTGTTATGTAGTAGAGAGCAAGCAAGAGAGTACGCGTGACGCGTGAAAATCAACACAGCGCCACTCTCGGTGCCCAGAGTAAAGTGGCAGAACAGCCCGGCTGCCCAGGTCCCCCTCCTGGCGGGGGACGCTCTCCTGCTGCACCCGGAGCCCAGTGGCTGCCCCGGGACCAGATGGCCCAGAAAACCTGAAAGTTACTCTCTGGCCCTTTACAGATTCGGGGGCATGGGTGGCTTGTGTGTGTGTATGGGGGGGTGGGGGTGTTGATTTAAAAAAAACTAAAAGGTCTTTGAGCAGTGGAGGCAGCGGCGCTGCACTGACTCGGTTTCGGTTCCGAGGGCAGGGGCTTCAGAGAAACGCAGAGGATTTGCCCCCCCCACCCCCCCCACCCCTCCCCCGTCTGGGCCCGCAGACTACCGGGGTCGGCTCCCCACCCTCGCGCGGTCACCTGCGGGGCCGGCCGCTTTCGTCGGGGGGCAGGACGGTGACGCAGACTTTGGGCGCTGAGCGCAGCAGCTGGGCAGCGGCCTGGGGGCCGAGGCTGGGCAGCGTCCGGCCGCACACACGCAGCAGGCGCGCCCCGGGCCGCAGCCCCGCCGTCTCGGCGAACGTGAAGCGTTCCACGTGCGTGATGAAGCCCTCGGCGTCCACCTCGAAGCCCAGGCGGCCTTGGCCTTCGCGGGGCAGCGCCAGCTCTCGGGTCTCGCAGCCGCGGCTCACCAGCTGGGGCGAGGCGGGGCGTGAGCAGGGCTGCAGGCGGGAAAGGCCCCCCCTGCGCCAGCCCCAGGGCCCCCCTCCGCCCTCCCCCTCCCCAAAAGACCTTGAAGCCGCACCCCGGAGGCGAGCCCCCTCCGCCCAGCGAGCAGTGCCAGTGCCTGCCCGAGGACCCCCGTTCCAGCCTGCTACGCGCCCGGGCTCCCCGGGCTCAGCTGCCTGACTTGCTTCCAAGCCGGCTGGCAGGAACCGGGGGCTCCTCCCAAGCAGGGCGCCGAGTAACCTGGGCGCGTGGGTCCGGCTCTCTCCCAGGCCTCACCTGAAGGCGCGCCACGACCTCGCCCACAGCTTGCCCCGGGGGCCCGTCGAGCCGCAGCGTGATGGCCTCCCCGCGGCCGTGATACAGGTCGAGCTGATGCTCGGAGAAGGTCCAGGCCAGCACGTCGCGGCAGGCACAGTTGAAGACGACTCGGCCGTCGCGCGGCGCCACCAGCACCAGCGCCTCCGCGGAGATGCCCAGCAGGCAGGGCACCTCGGGGCCCTCGGGGCCGCCCGTCTCCGCCCCGGCCGCGACCCGGGCCCCCGGCGCCGCGCGCACGCCCCACACCAGCGCGCCCGCCGCCTGCAGCTCGGCGCCCGCGCCCCGAGGGGCCGCCCGCCGCCGGCCGCCCAGGGAGGGCAGTCCGAAGCGCGAGGCCGAGTCCAGCGACGTCGTGGTCACCTCGTTGGTCGCCAGGTCCTGCAGGTACTGCTGGCGCGTGCGCGTGGCCATGGCGTGGAACTGGCGCGCGTGGCCGGCCGCCTGCTCGCCATTGAGCGCCTTGGCCAGCAGGAAGGCGCGGAAGTCGGCGTTGGCCGGGAAGGGGCCGCCGCCCGGGGGCAGGGCGGGCCCGAAGGCCGGGGTGTCCTGGGTGCGGCTCACGGCGACCCTGCGGGGAGGGTGGGGTAGTCAGGGGCGGCCGGGCGGGCCCGGGAGGCGGAGCCGGGGCAGAACCGGGCCCACCTGGGCGCCCACCTGTAGGACGTGTGCGGCGTGCAGGGCGCGTGCGCGCGCACCACGAGGAACACGTGCTGGAAGTGCGAGCGGATGGCGGCGGGGCAGAAGGGCTTGCTGCCCGGCTCCTGGAACACGATGGTCACGATGTCGTTCCCGATGTGGCGCTTGCGCAGCAGCTGAAGGTCAGAGGGTTGGGGGTGTGAGCGGGGCCGGGCTGCCCCCCGCTCGCCGCGTTCAGGCCGCCCGGAGCCCGAGCGCGCGTGGCTCTGCCTCTGGCCTCCGTGGAAGGCCTGGGCGGCTTGTCTTCGGGGAGGGGTGCCGGTGGGGGGGGGGAGTTGCTGGAGGCGAACGGGACTCAGGCCAAGGCTCCAACACCGCGACCCGCGCAGCACACCTCGCTGGGCCCCCACCCCCACCCCCGCCCCCTCACACCTGCTGCTGGTTATTGGGGGTGTAAGGCAGCATCGTGGACACGTGGAACATGATCTCGTGGTCCTGGTATGTGGTGTAGAGGGAGTGCGTGCCCGTGGAATCCGCTGCGCCGGCGAGTGGAAAACAAAGGGAATCTGGTGGCTGGAACCTTCTGTCCGGCCCAAGCCTCCAAGCCCGGGACCCGCAGGTGAACAGCCAGGCAAGGCCGCCCACAGGGTCAAGGGCCTCAGCCTTGGCTGTTCCCTCTCCCCCTCCCCCCACAGGCTCCGGCCCATGCCACGACGGAATGGGCGTCAAAAAGGGGGCGTTGAGGTAAAAGAAAGACAGAATGAGAAACGGTCAGCTAAGGGGGAGGAGGCCGTGTCTAGAGGCAGACAGGCCAGGCCGGAGCCTGGAAGCAGAGCAGAGTGGAGACAGGCAGGAGGCGCTCACCTGCTGCTCACCTCAGGCCCGGGCCTCTGGCCAGGAAGGCGGGGCTGTCCGGGGCATGTGTTTGAGGGAGGAGGGGCGCCCCCAAGCCCCCTGGTCCCAGCTCAGGCAGCCCTGGACATCCTAGCTCCTTCTGCCAGCCCACGCCTGGCATTGGCAGCCGCGACCCTCGTCCTCAGCCTACCCAAAGAACTCTCCATCCCCAGAGCGTGGGACCAAAGATGCAAGGCGCCTGCCCCTCTGCTCGGGGTCACTCCCACCCCAGGCCCCCGGGCTCACTTTTGATGTCCAGCTGGGCCCGGTAACTCTCAAAGCCCTTGAGCCGCACCACGTCGCCCAGCAGGGTGAGGAACTGCATGAAGGCTGGGCCGGCCTCCTGGTTGTTGTACATCTCCTCCTCCGAGCCCTGGCTCTCCCGGCAGTACAGGATGCCCACCTTGCGCTGGAAGCTCAGCTGGGGGAGGGGAGACAGGCAGGGCACCCGCCTCAGCACCTCCCCCAACCCCAGCACCGCCGTGGGGGTGGACAGGACTGGCAAGGGAGCTGGGCTGCTCCCGGGCAGGTGCTGAGCTCCGCCCGCTAAGCGTCCTCACCTATGGGGTGGGTTTGGGCTAGCTGCCCATGGTGGTGGGGGGAGGGAGGGATAGAAGAAGTCACAGGTGGGACGGGATCAGGACCACAGAAGAGGGGAGTCATGGGAAGGACCCCCACATGGTATGCTGGACCCCAGTGAGTGTTCACATGTCATCTCCTCATCTCAAGGCTAGCCTGTCCTCCCCACCCCAAATCCCAGGCACCCCTACCCCAGCCTCTGGAGGCCTGGACCTGCAACACTGTCACGCACTCAGCTCCCGGCTCCTTCTGCACCTTCCTCTCTGGGTTTACTGGTTAGCCATGCGCCCTGCCAGGCACCCTGGCCCCCGCAAACAGCCCGGGCCTCTCCACACCGGTTTCTTCAGGCCAAGCTTTTCTGATCCACAGTCCCTACTTGAAGCTCTGCCGCCCCGGCCCTGTAGTCCTACTTCCACCCCAAGCTCCCTGTTACAGCCCGCCCCCAGTGACCTCATCCTGTGCCCTCTCCCCCTGCTGCCACTTGGAGCCACTGGAGCAGCACCTCACCCGAGGCCGCAGGGACCCACCCTCTCATGCCCAGGCCTCTTCATCCTTCAGATGTGACGCCCCCGTCTCTGCCTCCTGCCCAGACCCTTCTCCCAGGCTCCAGACCCATTTCCCCAGCTGCCCAATGCGCTCCCTACACTTCACACCTCAACACTCCCACCCGCCCTCCCCCAGGGTCCCCGGTTCAGGTACCTCTCCTGGGGGTAGGGGAGCTGGGGAGTCCCAACACCCCACCTTTCAGTCACCAAGTTCACTCACTTGACCCCTGGACTGTCACCTTGTTACCTGCGCCATGGTCACCACCAGCTCTGACCTGGGTGACTGCAACCTCCTTCGGTCATGCCCACCCTCCAGTCCAGCCCCCACACTGCAGCCAGAGGCCACTCTGCCTGTCAGGCCTGCCCTGGCTCCCCAGTGCCCTCATATGCAAGGTTTCCCACCCCTTTCCCAAGTCCTACTCCAGCTACGCTGAACTGCCCAGAAGACCCCAGAATGACCCACTTTCAGCCTCTAAGCCTTTGCACAAGTTGTTCCTTCTTCCCAGATACCCACTCTCCCTGGCTCTTGTCCCTCCGCCATGATGCTAAACTCCAAGCCAGGAAGGGCTGCCGGCACCACCATGAGCCCTCAACATTCTCTCACTGTTTTCCTGCTCCACATTTACCCACAATTCTTAATGGGTCCCTTTCCTCTGCTAGTTTGTAAGCTACTCAAGGACAGCACCTGGTCTGGATATATCCCCAGCATCCAGCCGGGGCCTAGCACCAAGAATGTGAGAAATATTTGTTGAATGACTAACAGATTGGTGGAGAAAGAGAATGGGGGCCAACAGGCAGCTTTCAGCACAGGGTAGGGAAGGACTTCCAACCCGCCTGAAATAATCCACAATGAAATAAATGCGTGTCCCAGGACAGAGAGCGCCCCATGCTTTAGAGACCGAGCAGGGCTTTGCAGGGTAAATTGCAGGCAATGAGGGCATTGCTTAGCAGGGACGGGTGTGTGTGTGTGTGTTGGGGGGGGTGGGGGGTGTCAGCGCCTCCTGGCTAAAATGTATGCATGCATTACCTGGGGATCTCAAAGGACAGGCACTGACTCAGTCGGTTGGGAGCAGCCCTAGAATCTGCATTTCTAACAAGTTCCCAGGTGATGTGGATGCCCTCTGATGCCCTTTGTCTCTCTAAAAAAATCACCTCTCCTGGGCTCACTGTCCAGGCCAGGATCAAAGTCAGAGCTGGCATCTGAGAGCTGGGCAGGCTCGGTTCGGCTCAGGTCTAGCTCCGGGGCTGGGGGCAGCGGGACACTCACCACTTGCTCGTCCAAGGTGAGCAGCGTGCGAGGCACCTTTGGTGAAGCTGAGCCCAGGCGCAGGCAGGTGGGGCTCAGCCGAGGGGCCACATGCTCCAGAAGTTTCTTTGGGGACAGGCCACGCTGAGGGCCTGGCGGCAGCACGTCCTCCGAGATGGTCCCACGAAGGGTCCGGAGCTGAGGAGGGGGCGTAGGGGCCGTCAAGATCCACATGGAGCGTGGGGGCGGCAACCCGCGGGCGGATCCCATCACTTTGGCCCACCTGGGTGGTCCGCACGATGACCCGGTAACTGTGCAGGGTGGCCCCGCCGCTGCCCTCCTTCTCCTCCCGCCGCAGGCTCACTGCCACTGGGCCCAGCGCCTCGTCCAGTCCGAAGAAGTTCTGGTGCTCTGGGGAAACGCAGCCCTGTGTGATGGGTCCTGCCCCTCCTTGATGGCCCCGCCCACCACTAAGCCCCGCCCCGGGCCTCAACTCACCCAATGCGGGCTCTAAGCCATGCCCCGCCCACCAGTGGCCCCGCCCACACCCACCAAGCCCAGGCCAGACAGGTGCCCGCGCCTGTGACCTCGGCCCGTGGCCGCTCCCCCTGCCCCTGCTCTCGGGTCCCGCGTCTCCCCTGGCCGCGCATCCAAGGAGCCAATCTCCAGGCCCTGATCCTGCCACGGCCACGGCCCCGCCCCCCTGCACGGATTTTTCTGTGGCTGTCCTGGTTCCCCTCCTGGGCGGTGATGAGAAGGTTCCGGGGTGTAGGGCTGTGCTGACCTTAGTTTCCACCTCACAGAGATGTGGACATATCTGACCCCAGCCAGGGGCCGCATAAGGAAGAACCAGATGGAGGCAGAGGGGCGTGCCCGGCTGTGGTGGAGCCAGGGTGGGCCCTGAGGAGGTGGTGACGGCTGGAACCGGCAGGGTAGCCTTGACCTGGGCAGAGCCTGACCCTTCACACTGCAGGGGCTGACTGGGCAAGGCCGACTCAGGGGCGCTGCTGTGTGCATGGCAGGTGACAGGGACCTCTGCCCCACCCCCACCCCTCCTCCTGGGACCAGCCGGGCCTCACCTTTGCCATAGAAGTACTTGCGGTAGTAGCCGGCGCCCAGGTCTGCGTGCTCCAAGCTGTAGGCTGAGCTTCGGTTCTGTGGTTCCTCCAAGACGGACACGGCTGCATTGGGCAGCGCGGGGGGCACAGGCGGAGATACCAGTCCACCCAGGCCCAGCTCCCCCTCGCCCCCGAGCTCACTCACAAAGCCAGGTGCCCCAAGCAGCAGGTCCGAGCTGCCAACCTGGTCCTCGGCCAAGGCCAGGGTTCCAGAGCTGGCTTCTGCAGGGCCCCCAGGGCCCCATGGCCTTGGAGCCCAGTCAAAGAGCAGGCTTTGCACATCATAGTGGGCAAACCAGCGGGGCACGGGCACTGGGGGGAAGGCAGGCGCAGGCTCCTCGGCCGGCAGCCCCAACAGTGCCAGTGGATCAGTGAAGAGCCGGGTGGGGGTTGCTGCAGGGCGGCTGGCCTCCTCGTGGCTGTGGGCCCTGGCTCGAGGGCTGGCCGGTGTGGGGGGCCGGGTCTCGCCTGCGTCGCTGCCGCTGCGAAGGAGTGGGCCCCGGGCTGGCCTTGGCTCGAAGGTGTGTGGTGTCAGTGGGGGCCGTGATGGTTGGCGCAGTTTGCGAGCGAAGAGGTCATCGGTGGGTGTCGGGGCCACGCCCCGCCGAGGGCTTCCCACACCACCGGCCCACATGGGCTTGCTGCGGGCCTGGCTCTCCGTGGGCTGGGCCGCATTGGCGGGCGCGGCGGCTTGGTGCCCAGCTGGCAGGCCAGTTCCTGCCCTGAGGGAGGAGGGGGCTGCTCAGAGGGGCCTGGGGAGAAAACAGGAACCCGGCCCCTAGCCTGGTCCTCCACCACCCGAGTTGGCTTCCGGCCCCCTCCGAGACCATCAAAGCGGCTTCCGCTTTCCTGGCCACTTCCTTGTCTACCGGGCCGCGGTTTCCAGCCCCCTCCTCCTGCTCGGTGCTGGCCAGGCCAGGGGCTGGGCTGCCGGGACCTTGGCTCTGAGGTCTTAGAACCTGGGCAGCTCGGGGGCTGGGTTCCCCCGTTCCTACTCACCCTGGCTTTGGTCCAGGCTTGGAGTGAGGGTCCCTACCAAGGCCTGGCCCAACTGGACAGATGACTCGTCCCGGAAGGAATGGGAAACCTATGGGGCCTCTGGTGTCTGGGTCCTGCCCACTTGACAAAGGGAGGATGTCCTGTCCCCAGAGACCTTCCTCCCTGCCTCTCCCTCTTCCTCTAGGGTCCCTGAGGAGACTAGCACCCAAAGGCCCTGGCCCTCACAACCTCAATACCTCAGTGCTTTCAGGGGACACTGGCAGGGCAGCAGGCACAGAAAGAGTACTTTCTTTGGTACAGGAAGTGGCCTCAACCCTGGGCCCAGCCCCCTGCCCAGTCCCACATCCTGAGGAAGGTTAGCTCAGTCATGGGACTCAAGTCACCCAGGCCACCTGAAGAGCAGGCCCGGCTCACCCTCTGCTGTGGCCCTGATTTGGGGAGAGGATGGAGTCATGCTGATGGAACCCTTTGCTGGCATCAGGACCATGGGCACCTCTGCCTTCCTGGCTTCACTGGTGCTGACAGGGAGGTCTGAACCCCATGTGACTGATGGCCGAACCGAGTTGCAGATAAGGGGGTGCTCTGGTCTGAAGCACATCTAGGTCAGAGCTTGGATCTGAACGGGTCTGTCTTAGGCCTAAGCGGTGCTGCACCTGCGGCTGCCTGCCCCTGGTGTGTAGGTGTGGGGTGGGTGGGGGTTGGCTTCACAGGATGTAAGACTGAGCCACTAAGGCCCCTGGGCCTGCTAAGAGCGGAAATGTGCTGGGGCTGGGGCAGGTGCAGAGGGTGGTGTGAGAATATGAGGGGGGCACCTCCAGGTGAACCCAGGGTGCAGTGGCAGCCCAGGCACAGGGAACCTCCCCAGGGAGTGCAGGCGCCCTGGCCAGGGCTCCAGAGGGCGCTGTCCCAGAGCACGGGGCGCCTTCTTCTGCGGTTTCACCTACAACAAGCTCTAACACTGACCCTGAGCCTCTGTTGTCTCATCTCTAAATGGGGTTGACGACCCCTGACCCGCCGCAAGTCCGCTGGGAGACTGAAAGGAGGGTGGAGCTGGCCATGTTTAGTGTGTGGTAGTTAGGATGCAGGTCCCAGCTCCATGTGCCCAGCTCTGGGGCCCGAGCAGTGGCGTGTGGTGCGTGTGATGGGGCCGCAAGGCGACATGCAGTGAGGGGCTGGGCAGACCCGCGCCGTGGGGGCCGAGCGCTGTACAGCAGAGTAAGTTCTGTGGGCCGCCTCTGGCGATGGTCCTGCCTCGGGGGATGTTCTTGGGCTCTGCCCCCCACCCGGCAGCTTCACACAGGGTCCATTGAGGCCGGGACATTCCTCGCAGCCTGTGTCACTGGGGGGGAGGGGCTGGCCCCACCCCCACAGATCCGGAAGGCCTGGCTGCCCCAGGAGGAGGCGCTGGACACTTCCCAGCACATCTGGAGGTCATGACCCCATTTCTGCTGCCAGGGGGCGCGACAGATGTTTCCTCCCAGGCAAGGATACAGACTGGGGGACAGTGTGCGAAGGCTGGGAAGGAGATGGCCGGGGAGACGGGGAGCCCCAGAAAGGGGGAGTCCCTGACACAGCGGGCAACAAATCAGTTGCCAGCGCCGCCGAGAGCGCGCGGAGCTGCCGCATCCACTCGCCCGCCCACCGGCCGCGCCGGGCGACAGCAAGGAGCGCGGGGCTGAGGGTCGCCGGCAGGGGCTGGACGTGTGGACTGGGGAGCCCGGACGCAGGCTGGGAGGAGGGTGCGGGCGGCAAACGCGGCGAGAACCCCCACCCCCCGCACGAACCACCCGGCCGCGCGCGCCAGGCCCGTCCCGCGTCCGGCCCGACCTCGGCCTCGGCTCCCCGTGCCCGCGGTACCTCTGGGGCTCCCGCCGCCGGCGCCTCCCGCGCAGTCCCGCCGCCCGCTCTCCGGCCGCGGCTCGGGGCGCCGGCTCCGCCTGGGGGCGGGTCCGCGGGGCGGGGGCGGGGCGGGGCCGGGCCGCCGGGGCGGGAAGCGCGGCAGGCGGAGAATCAGAGGCCCGCGGCGGGCCCGCCCGCCCGCCAGCCTCACCCCGCGGGCCCGCCCGGCGCGTTGTCGGGCTGAGAAGCGGAACAAGTGCAGCTTCCAGAGCAAAAGAACGCGCTGCAGCTGCCCACGGGGCTCGGGAGCTGGCGCCGGGGCTGAGCAGGGCCCTGCTCCGGGCGCGCGGTCATGGGCTCTTCACGCACCCGAGACAGGGGCCTCCTCCTCCTGGGGGAGAGCGGAAGGCCGGAGACCTTCGCTGGCTCGGCTAGAGGTAGGGGCCAGCAGGTGAGGCTGGAATTCTTTGAACGTAATGAATTCAGATCAAGGCTTGAAGAGCAGCCCTTCTGAGGAAGGGCCCGGGTTCTGAGCGCCACCTTAGTCTGACACTCACAGCTGCCCTCACTGCGCCCCACATCTCACCCCCTTCGGTGCGCATTCCCCTGGCCTGGCCATTTGTCTACCCTCCACCCAAACACCCCCAGAAAGTAGACACTGCCAACCAAAATCAAAAATAGTGTTATTAATTCTGGAGTCTCCGAAGCACAAAAAAAAAAAAAAAAAAAAGAAAGAAAGAAAGAAAAGGAAAAAAAGGAAACCATCCTTCCCACATTTCAGCCCCAGGTCCAGGCTAGGCTGCCCCCAGAGGCAGTGCAGGCCCAGGAGCCAAGTCAGTCCTGGCCTCCGGCTTGAAGCGGGACCAGTCCTTGGGTTTGGTTTTCAGGGCCTGGCTGGGAAGCTGCCTGCCTCAATTTGGGGATCCCACAGCCTGGACTAGGGATGAGAGATCAGGGGTCAAGGTCAGAAGTCTGGGCCACTAAGTTCTGATGCTCTGGCTGAGGCAGCCAGAGGTCAGGGTTCAGATGTGGGAGCCAAAGCCACTCAGTTCTGTGGTCCAACAGAGAGGGCCAAAGGCCAGGGGTCCGAGTTACTGAATCCTGGGCCAGGATCCAGAGGTTGCTGGGCCGTTCAGTACTGATGCTCCAGCAGGGGCTGTGCGGCCGGGCTCTCTCGCTCCTCAGCAGGGACAGGCCAGTCGCCCAGGGTCCCAGTGGGCGTGCCACTTTCAGGAGCACTGCTGTCCAAGCAAGGAACATCCGGGGCTGCTCTGGGTGGTGAGGAGTCAGTGCTAATATCCGGGCTGAGGCTGAGGTCTAGGGGCGCCTGGCGGAGGAATGAGAGGTTGGTGGGAGAGCAGGTCTGGGCTGCCCAGGCCTGGATCCTCCCATGGGACCCTTACCTGAGATTTGGGAGTGCCTCCTTTGGGGCTCCCTGAGGCTGGCTCCCCTTCAGATCCCCCCAGCCCCTTTCGACCCCCCAGGCTCCACTTCCCACTGGGACCCTCAGAACTGAGGAGACCAGGACCAGGGGGCCTCGAGGGTCGGGGAACCTCGGTAGGGGCAGGCGAAGCAGGTGGTGGTCCAGGGAGCCGAGGGGGTGGCCACTGCAGCAGAGGAGGGGGGCGCCCATCACCAGAGCCACTCAGGGAGGGCCGAGGGCCCCAGCCAGGGGCTGGTGGGAGGGGCTGGTCGCCACCACCTGTGGAAGACAGATAAGAGAGCGGAGGCCTCGGCCTGTGAAGTCTGTCACTGGGTTGTCCTCGCCCACTGGTTCCGCCCAGACTCGAGCCTGCTTACCTGCTGTGTTCTCAGGCATGGGGTGGGCCAAGGGGGGGTTATTGCTGAGGGAAGTCAAGCCGCCACCTCCACCACAGTCTGAGTCGTCCACGTTCCCACCGCTGTTGCAGCCAGCACCGCAGCCTTTATGAAGCCTGGGGGCGGGGAAGGCCAGCAGCCCAGCACAAGTCAGTTCCTGTCTCTGAGCCCCCAGGTCCTGTCCCTAAGAGATCTTGCTGCCTATGTTGCAGGCCCTTTGAAGGGCGGCTCCGTCAACGGCACTTATGGGTAAAGGCCTCCTGCAGCTCTTGGGGAAGGTTAGGCCCCAGTCAGATCCCGGCTGTCCGCTAAGATGAGGAGGGAGCCGCTCCATCTCCCGGAGCCGGGCGCCCTGCTCCGGGAACCGTCCCCACCCGACCTGGGTGGCGGTCTGGGCTCACCTCTCCCAACTGCGCAGAAGCCAGCGGGCGATGGCGCCCAGGCTGACAGGGCCACCCCACAGCGCCCGCAGCTGGGGGTGGCTGCCAGCCAGCGAGGTGGTAAGGGGCGACACGTAGATGGGGTAGCCCAGCGGCTGGTCGCAGGAGGAGTTGATCATGTTGCGGAGCGCCTGCTTGGCATTCTGGATGCTGCCCCGCTCGGGGTTGCGGTTGCGCAGGAACACCAGCTCCTGCTGCTGCCCCGCCCACAGGCCCCGGACGCACTCTCGGTTCACCTGCGGGCGGCCAGGCGGGAGGTCAGGACAGCTTTGGGGTCCTGTGCCCAAGAGGTCTTGCTGCCCATGGGGGTGTGTGTGTGTGGGGGGGGAAGCTGTGTGTGTGTGTGGGGGGGGGAAGCGCACACACCTTGATGACTCGGAAGCTGAGGTGGCGCCGGTTGAGCATGATGATCTTGTACTCATCCGAGGCGTCATCCAGGACGTGGCGCAGCGCCAGCAGGGAAGGCGTGTTGCTGAGGATGGCACTGCGCCAGGCCGGGTCGCCCTCGTGCGAGATGACCAATCGCTCCTCATTGGCTGCGATGGCGTCATACAGGGCAGCCGGCTCCTCGTACTCATCCGGGGATGTGAAGTGGTCCTGGTGGGGAGGGCAAGACGGCCGGTCGGCGGTCGCTGTCCCAGGAAGCGCCCCCTCACCCCTGCCTGGCACACCTCTCCCTACCTGATGAAGCTTAAGGGCCATGCGAACCCCAGGTGCCACCACACGGTGAAGCAGGTCCATGTCAGCGAAGACCCACTCGTCTCTCGGGGAGGTGATGCGGAAGTCGCCCTTGAACAGGGCGTGCAGGCCGTAGAGGAAGGGCTCCAGGCTGGGGAGGAAGGGCAGAGGTGTGAGGAGGGGCCTCAGGTGGCAGAACGCTGGGTCTGCTTGCTGTGGTCTGAGCCGAGACAGCTCCTGATGCCGGGCCTTGGTCTCCCCGGCATGGAAGGGGGTCGGCCGCCCTGCGGCCCTCACAGGGCAGTGAGGCGCAGGCGAGGTCACACCAGGAGGCCCCTTGCCCACGGACTACGCTGAAGGCAGGCTGACATGGTTCCAAGGGGCTGCACAGCCCGAGGCCCCAGCTCCTCACAGGCGGGGGGGTTGGGGAAAGGGAGAGGTAGGCTGGGCTGGGCCTGCAGGCACTCACCTGGCTGACATGCTGTGCGAGGCCGTCCCCAGGGCCCGGCGGCCCAGAACACACAGGCCGAAACACAGTGTAACCAGCGGCGAGTTCCAATCCTGGTCCACGGGCTACGGCAAAGGAAGCCCGTCCCCAGAGCCTGGTTCAGACCCAGGAAGCAGGCACTTGGGGTGGGGCTGAGACCAGGCCCCGGGAGTGAGCAACCCGCACGGCGAGGGATGTGGAGGGGAGAGGGCGGCCCAGGGGAGGGGCGGCTGACCTGGCTTCGCCGGGAGGCGCAGTACTGGATCCACTCCAGGTGCACCGCACAGAAGGAGGGCAGCGAGAGGCCCGAAAGCCGGAGGTCATAGTCCTCGTCCACGCTCAACGAGAAGGTGGGGTCTGAGTCGGCATAGCCGGGCGCCCGCACAGGCCGCAGGGCCGCCGCGATGCCCTCGTGGCTCAGCCAGGCCTCCAGCTTCGGTGAGCGGCTCACGTAGTAGATGATGCTCTGGAAGGAGAGAGAGGTGTCAGGGCTTGGGGGGTCGTGCCTGAGTCCTGCCTACCAGAGAAGAAAGCAGCCGAGAGCTCCCCTCAGCTCGAGTGGAAGTCTGCTTCCTCAGACTCCCATCCTGTGTCCTATCTCGGCTCTGCCACCCTCCCGGGCCAGGGAGGGGAAGCAACAGAGCTGAGAGGGAGCAGCCCTCCTTACAGGACATCCCCCGGGGGGTCCCGCACTGAGGACCCTCCAAGTGGTGCTTGCCTCCTCTGGCCTGTGCTAGAAAGATGCCCCGTTTGTCAGGGAAACAGAGGCTCAGATGACAGACTTGCCTGTGGTGACACAGCAGAGCACACTGAGCTGAGATTCAACCCTGCGACCTTCAACACCATGAGGCCGTGGGATCCAGACCTCAGAGGCCTGGAAGGAGGCAGGGTGACCCTCTGCCTGGGTCAGGGTGGGAAGTCCAGGGCTGGGGAGGGTGGTGCAGCTGGCCGTTAACAGGCAGTAGGGGTGTTAAGCAGTGGGGTGCTGGTGGGGCATGGGAGGCCAAGAGCCAGGACAAAACGACCGCAGCACCCGCTGGGAAGAGTCAAGGCCATAACCACTCCCTGGGCGCGGGGGCAGCGCCTGGAACTAGGCTATGAGTATGGCTACATCCATTCTCAGCTTGGCTGGTTGTGGGGAGCCTGGCCCCAGCGTCACCTCAGCTAGTGGGAGAGCTGGGTCACCCCCTTACCAGGAAGAGGGACCCGGAGCCTGAAGTGGCGAGTGGGGTAGCTCCTGGCCCCAGACTAACCTGCCTGCCTAGAGGATGTCTCCATGGTCCAGACCCCACCACAACCCCCCAGAAGACAGGCCTCTGGCTGGTGGGGGGAGCTGACCTGGCACCACAGTAAGCACCCGGCTACCTTGGCCAGGGCCCCTGTTGTGTGAAAGGCAGCGCTCAGAGGACGAGGCTCTGTGCGTGGGCAGTGCGGGGCCTGGCTCTGTGCCTGACCCACACCGAGCCCTCACCACCTCCCGACCTGGCGCCGGGTCTGCTCTGGCCCCGCCCACCTGCCCGCGGACCCGACCGCTAAGCCTGTTTCCTTGCTTTCCAAGGCCTTGCCTCTCCCGTGGGTTGCTGAAGGGATCACATGGGACAGCGAATAAGCCTGGACTGTGAAACACTGAGAGACCTCGAAGCTTGGCTGCAGGAAGCTGAGGGGCCTGAGCTGATCCCTGCCCAGCCGCACTCAATGACCAGGGTATGGGCAACGCAGGGAGAAGGCTCTAAGGGCAAAGCTGCACAGAAAGGATTCCGTCTGGCCTGCCAACCCCAAGGGCAGGAAGGACACCTCTCTGAACAGCCCGAGGCCTGAGGGGCTCTTTGCAGGCCCGCCTCCCCCAGACTCAGGCCAGCTCCTATCCTTCTCAACCTCCCTCAACGCCATCTTTGGCGGAACCAGCCCCAGGTCCTCTGTGCTCCGAATCTGGCTCCTGGTGCAGCCGTGGAGGCTATGCTGGCCTTGCGCCAGGCGCGCGGGTGACCTCGCAAGAGTAACTCCCTCGGCATGGGAGCAGGGTGTACAGGACCGTGACTCCTGCGTGACCCAGGACTAGGAATGCCCCTGACCGGACCACAGCCTCCTCAGTAAAAGTGGGGGAAGCCCTTCTCTAAGGGCATTCTCTAGAGTGGCTGGGAGCACAGGAGAGCTGGAGAAATCACAGCTCCCCTGACCTGTGACCTGGATGAGGCGCCCCTTAAAGGAAAACGACAGTGGCGACGCGTGGGGCCTCAGGTGGTCAATCTCGCCGGGGTCCCACAGGCCACCCCTCCAGTTCCCCCACACCACCTCATTGCTCCTGCCACCCCACGGAACTTCAGTCATCCCACTTCTCAAGGAGTGACAGGCCCAGCCAGGGAGGAGACGGCCCAGAAGCCAGTCAGCCCAGGGCTCCTCGGGATTCCTCCAGCTCCAGGCAGGTCTCGAAACCCCAAGGCCTGGCTCGAAGCACCTGGACAGAGGTCCAGGCCTGGTCTAGAGCCTGGTTCAGGGGCCCCAGGCAAACGGCTTCCCCTCTGCAAGCCAGTGTCCACTCGGGGAAGTGGCCTGTCTTGGAGGTGGGGTGGGCCAAACCCAGCTCGGAAGGGGCTCCTGGCCCCAAACCCACCCCAGTAAGCGGCACTACCGTGACTATAGACAGTGCCACACGGTTCGGTATCGCCCCTCTGGCCGGGGCATGTGGGACTGGGTCGGGTGGGTTAGCGGGCCGGCCTCCGCCGCAGTCCCTCCTGGGGCAGCAGGCCAGTGACGGGACCCACGCACACGCCGCCCCATCTCCGGTTCCCACTGTCCAAGGTGAGCTCCTGGAGGAAGTGGCAAGGAGCCCTGCCCTGCGCACCCTGATATGCACGCGCCCCGGCGCTAGGCCCGCAGGCCTGCTGTCTGCAGCGGCACTCTGGAAGATGCTGTGAGGCCTCGCTTCCCCTGGGCAAACAAGGCCCCCCACCAGCCAGGAGACGGCACTTGCCCTGCTCCCGGCCGGGCCCTGCCACCCGCCCACCTGCATACCTTGACGTAGTAGGTGATGAGGATCTTGCGGAGGTCGAAGACCTGTAGCATGGAGGCGGCGTTGTTGTCGCTGATGCTGTAGCCCTCTAGCACGTACTTGCTGGCCGTCACCTCCCAGGCCAACCAGCGCTGCCCAAAGGCGGCATTGAAGGACAGGACGCGCGGCAGGTGGCCAGGCTCACAGCAGCAGCAGCCCTCATCCTCCTCCACACCCTCCGTGATGGCCTCCACCTCGCGCTGCTGGCAGTATGTGCCTGTGGGGAGAGGGGCCCGGTCAGGGGGTGCTGAGTCATCCCCCTGGCCGCTCCCCGAGCGAGCACCTTAAAGGCCTGCTGTGGCTCGCCCCCAGCCATGGTGCTGGGTGAGCAGATTAGCCGATGAGCCTGTCTCCTCACTCCCAGCGGCCACCATGGGATAAGAGTGTTGGTGGGTGGGGGACGGGGTCTGTTTGGAGATGCAAAAGCCAAAGTTCACAGAGAAGTAACCTGCTCAACATCATGGCGCTCACCAGCTGTTTAGGGCCCGCCCTCTGCACCCTTGGAAGTCTCTTCTGAAGTTAGCACCCAACATACATCTTCTGAGAGAAGGGAGTAAGCTCAGTACAGGGGTGCGTGGCACCTAACGTGGATCAGCCCAAAACCAGAGCACTGGGAGCTGATGGGTGAACCCGGCTGAGCTCCCAGCCCAGCAGCCTGCCTGGACTGCAAATCCGAGGTGGGGGGAGGGACTGGGCTGGGCTCGGGACACCTGGGCCCTCACTGCTCAGACCGGGAAGTCCAGTCTCAGGGAGGAAGAGCTCCTGGCTCAGGGCCCCCAGGAAGCCAGGCAGCGCTGAACTAGAATGCAGCCCTCATCCCTCACACCCCCTCAAGCGCAGCACCCGGCCACACTCACCCCGGAACTCAAGGCCTCGCAGCTGGAACGTGACGAGGCCATTGCCAACCTCGATGAGGTGCACCAGGGCGTTGAGGTAGTCAGAGGCCAGCACAAAGCAGTCGCCGGGGCCGTAGTTCCCCCAGCGGCCCAGCACCAGGTCCCCACAGAGCGTGTGCTGCAGCGAGCGCGTCAAGTGCTCGTAGAAGATGGAGTTGAGGTTGTTGTCGTCCGCGCCTTTGACAGGGACAGAGAAGTGAGTGGACACAGCGACAAGCAAGCGAGGCTCCCACCCCAGGGAGGCCTTGCCCAGCTGGGTACCCACCGGGGTTCCGGTCCAGCTGTGTGACCAGGCGGGTGTTGGAATGATCCACACGCTTAGTGCTGTTCAGAGAGGACAGTGCGGTTGGCTGAGCGTGAGGCTGCGGAGCAGGCATACATTCCCACTGACGCAGCGTCACATCCTCACCAGCCCCCGCCCATGCTGAGGTGGGTGCCATGATGGCCGACAGCACGGGCAACTGAGGCTCCGAGACACGAAGGGTCTCACCCAGAGCCTCACTGGCAGGAAGCCAGGGGGAGAATCCAAGGTTGTGGCTTGGCTGGAGTCTCACCCTCATAAGATCGGCCACCAGAGGCCCGTGGCGCCCTGGCACTTGCCACGGCTGTGGCCACTCTCTGGCCCCCTCCAGCCTGTGCTCCAGACTCTTCCCTCCCTCCCAGCAACCTCTGGGCCCAGCAGCCCGCTCCTCTCAGGTCCCTCTGAGATGCGCCTGTCCCAGGAGACTCACTTGTAGTCCCGCTCCCAGAACTTCAGGGGCCGTGCATAGGACATGATAAAGACTGCGCTGCCCAGCAGGGGGTTGAGCGGCGTGGAAAAAAGCGCCGACAACAGGGCCTGAACGAACAGCATGGCCGAGTCTGGGCCTAAGTCAAGGAGGTGGCAGGCACGCAGGACCCTCCCCAACCTCCCTCACTGCCCCGCAGACCCCCAGCCCGCCCTGCACCCTGCCACCCCAGGCACGGTCCTCCTTGTACACCCCCACTTGGGCAGCGGGCGGCAGCCGGGATACGTGGCACAGCAAAAGGCTGGGCAAAAGCGTGGAAAGCTGAGCCCCAGGTGATCTGCCAGGGCGCGATGTAGGTCAGCACAAAACGCAGCTTGTACAGCAGGTCCCACAGCTGGCAGGTTGGAGGGGACAAAAGGCAGAAGAGGCACGGGTCACTCAGGGGTGGGGTCCACTGAGCTCTGGATGCCAGGCCCCGGTCAGAAGCTGGGGCCACTGGCTACCCATGTGTGGTCAGCTCAAGGTCCCTCCCCGCCTTTCTCCCTGCACCTGGCTCAGAGCACCTGTGACACGAGCGAGCCGTGACAGGACAACCACTGGAAGGAGCCCCGGCTGATTATGACACAGCCCCACCCCGTCGCTGTCCTTTTCACAGGCCCCGACCTCAGAGACACAGCCTGGATCACCACTCTCCTGGGCCAAACCAGAAAACAGATGAGCGCCCACGTGAGTGAGAAAGGCTCAGGTCCTTGGGCAGAACCCCACGAAAGCCCTGGGCTTTGCGCCCCGCCAGGGGCACTTGCAGCATGGTGCTGTCTGCACACACCAGGCCTCAGAGCATCTGAACTCAGCTCTTACTGGCCTCCAGGCTGCGGCTGGATGAGGGAGCTCAGATACTGGTGTCCGGAGGACTAAGCCATGCCCTGCCACCCTAACCACTCACAGGAAAGCAGCCAACTGTAACAAATCAGAGCAAGGACTGCAAGGCAGGCAGGCCTGGATTCAAATCCTGGCTGGCCACCTGTTCTCTGGGGACCTAAGGCAGCCGCTTCACCTCTTCAGACCTCGGCTTCCTCTGTGCTCCCCGAGCAGCTGCTACAAGGCCAACAGTGGGGCTGAAGTGTGTATGTGTGTGTGGGGGGGGCAGCTCTCCCCACACCCAGCCTACAGACTTCTTCTCCAGCCCCCCAGCCTGAGTCTGCCACGCGGCCCTAGCTCACCTTGCTGCAGAGCAGGGACATGAGGAAGTAGTCCAGCAGGAAGCCCTGGGAGAGGCGTGGGTAGTCAAAGTGAAAGAGCAGGACAGTGAAGGCCAAGGTCAGGTACTGTTGGGGTGGGCAGCAGAAGGCCGAGCGCAGCAGCTTCAGCCCAGCCACAGTCATCAGCAGTGCCCGGCAACTGTGGGTGAGGAGCAGGCATGAGTGCCCCGTGGGGCTCAGGGTATGGGGCAGGTCTCCGCCCTCGCCAGCCCTGATCTTCTGGACTTAGTCTCTGCCCCCCCAAGGAGTCACCCGGCTTTTGGCACACTGGGAGACACGTTTGCTCTCAAAAGACCAAGCCTCTGAGTGTGGGAGCCGGGGCCGCACTTTTGCCGGCAGGGCAGCCCGCAGCAGGGCTCCTTCCTTCACAGCCCCGGGCCCTGTGAGGCAGACGGGAATGTCCACAGTGGAGTGGGGGTCCTCACTAGAGGCAGAACTTGTCCGGGTGGCTGACAACAGTGTGGGCATCCACTGTGAGGGCGTTGAGCACCACGGCGGGGTAGATGAGGTACTTCTCCACGCACTGCAGGCCAGCGTACAGCTTCTCAAACCACATCACCTGGGCCGCGCCTGCAACCGAGGGTGGGACTATTAGCTGCACCTGGCCCCCTGCATGCCCCCCACCGCAGGGCAGGCCAGGCCATACCCCTGGAGAGAAGCCGGAGTAAGCCCAGGGAACGTGTGGTTCTGGGTCCCTAGAGATGGGGTAGGCGGGATGGGCTGGGGGGCAAGTTGGTCCTTGGCCCCACAAATGAACAGGGGGAGGCCAGGTGGAGCTGGTCAGGGTCTGTCTGTGGTAACCAGGCCAAAGAGGCCATCCCAGAGGCCCAGGAAAGCAGGGCCTGCCGCCATGTCCCAGGGCCGACGGTCACCACGTGGCACGCCGGCCAGCGGCAAGCACTTTCTTTAAGAAAACAGGGCGCCGGGCCTTCACAGGACCAGCCTAGACAGCTCAACATCAGCGTTGAGGACGTTTGCCTGGCACGGCCCAAGTGAAAACGGGCTCAAGGCGGATCTAGCCCTCGGGTAACAGTTTACAGCTGCAGACAAGAGAGCCCTTTAGAAACAGGGAATTCCACTTCACGTCCTTACAGCAAGCAGCGCGGGCAGAGCAGGCAAGCAGAGCAAGGCGCCGAGAAGGGGGCCGTGTAGGAAGGGAAGGGCACAGAGGCCAGGGTTGGGGGGGCAGGGTCAGCACCAGGCGGGGCGCGTGGGCAGGGGCTGCCCCCTGCTGGCACTCAGAGCCAAGGGCCGCACTGCCCGGGCAGCCGGCAGCCAGGAGTGGGCAGGAGGGTGAGCACGGCAGCACTTACCGCGTACTTCGTACTGGCTGTACTCCAGCGGCTTCAGCACGGGCTGCGACAGGCAGAACCAGGGCAGCTGCTTGCGGAGCTGCGGCAGCAGGTAATGTGTGAAGAAGCCCACGGCGCCGGCCAGCGCGTACAGCACGAAACCCAGCACCGACTGCAAAAGGGGAGGCGGGAGCTCAGCCTGGGGCCAAGAAGGCCGCGGAGGCCACGGCTGCTGGATTCCCGCAAAGACCAAGCGGAGGGGTGGCCTGTGCCAGACGAACCTTCAGGGCGATGAAGACAGTGCTGGCGCTGACGGCGAAGGTGAGCACGGCGATGACCACACACATCACCAGGTCTGAGTGCAGGACCTCGCGCTGCAGAGAAAGAGCTGCTGGGGCACCCATCGCACCGGGGCCGGCCACCCCTCGCCCACCCCGCCCTACGCGGCTCCTCACCACCGACTGGCGCATCTTGTCTGGCAGTGGGTCTGGGGGCTCGGCCCGGGCGGTCTCCAAGCTCCGCTCCTCCAGCTCAGGAAAGAGCTTGCTCCGAATCAGAGACCTGGGGTGGGTGACAAGAGTCAACGCCCAGCTGGGAAGGCTGGCCCCTCCCGCCGGCCCCAGGGCCCTGCGGTGACAGGCAGGAGCACAGGCCCAGCCTCCTCGCCAAGCCAGGTGGACGGCACAGGCAGGCACCCACCAGAGCACGGTGGGGTCGCTGCTCTGCCGGCTCAGGTGGTAAGACAGCGCCACCAGGAGGCCACAGAAGACCGAGAAGAGGACAGGGACGTGCTGCTCCGGCCAAGGAGTCTAGGAAGAGAACCCATGCTGGTGAGGGGTGCAGAGGTAAGCCAAGGGGCCCCCCACAAGGGAGAAGAAGCCACTGCTGAGTCCAATTCACAGCCCTGTCCCCACAACACCGCCGGGCCGCAGCATGCCCCCTGCTCCCCAGCCTTCCCTACCTTGATGGCCCCAAGGCAGAAGCCATAGAGCAGGGCGGCGGCCAGCAGGCTGCGGGAGAGGCTGAAGACGGCAGTGAGCGGGCTGGTGGCGGCTGTGAGGTGAGCAACAGCGAGTGGAACCCAGCTTCTCCCTGCTGGGGTCACCACCTTCCCTACCCCCAGACACCTAGAGGCCAACCCCCTCAAGACCCAGCCCATTGTTCCCTGCTCCCCCAGTCCTGAGAGGTCTTGTGAGTTTCCAGCAGTCTCGGGTTTAAACCTTCCCTGGGAGAGTGTGGGAGTGAAGAGAGCTCTTGAATGTGGGGTGTAGATGTGCAAACGGATGGAGCCACAGACCCATGTGTGACCCTGCGCTGCCCCCAACCCCCAACCACCTGGGGGCACCGTACCTGTGCCCCCGAAGCCATGCATATCTATCTGCTCCAGCAGGTACATGAGGCAGGTGTTGACCTGGGGCAGGAGGCCCAGGAGGAAGACAAACGGGAAGCACAGGGTGAACACTGGCAGGGAGGGAAGAGGAGGCCCAGTCAGCCTACCGCTGACCCCCAGCGCACCCTTGCACCCTGGGGCCGCCCCAGCCCTGCCAATCTCACCGGTGGCCACGTCTCGGGCACAGAAGAAGAAGGAGGCAGAGAAGAGAGTGAGGCCGTAGAGGGAGACAGGCGGGAAGGGCTGAGCCGAGCCCAGGGCGTCCAGCAGCCAGATGAGCAGGCAGCAGATGCAGAAGTAGACGGGCCGGCTATACGCAATCACCCAGTTGTGGCCCTGTGGAGGGGGCCCGTGAGGAGCCAGTCTCCTCTGCTGACCCGGCACGGTGTGTGCACTCACACATGCCGGCCTCACACCTGTGTGGCCTGGGCCCAAGACAAAATCTAGCCAGCCGGGGCGGCAGGACTGAGGATCCGGGCCCGATGAGGTGGAGAGGAGGGAGCCCTGCCCTCCCTGGCTAACCCCTGTCCCACTGGGTCTTAGCCCTGCCCGGGGCCCCAGGCCTGGCCTCTTGGGGAGACGCTGGTGCTCACGTGCATGGGAGACGCCGCATCAGGCTGGACGCTCTGAAAGAAACAGCAGCTGTGTTGGCAACGAGCGCTCGGACCCCCAGACCCACCAGCTCTCCCGTGGCCGCTACAGGTGAGCTGGCAAGAGCCTGAACGGCCCTGAGACGTGTGTGAGATGGGAAGCTGGCTGCCGGGGAGCTCCAGCAGCCTACTCGCTAGCTGGCGCTTCTCAAAACAGCTCATGGAAAGGGGGCGTCTAGGAGCGGTACAGCAGTAGGGACAGGAGACCCCGGCAGCAGGCCTTACCTTCAGCAGGGAGTACTGGCAGGAGGCGATGACCAGGCAAAACTGGAAGACCCAGATGTCAGCAAAGAAGCCTTTGAGCAGCAACAGGTAGCCCAGAAAGGCCACGAGGCTGCTTAGGCCCACGCCGAGGATGTTCTCCACCAGTCCCCGAGTCCTGGAGAGAAAGTCAGATCAGGACACATCTGCTCCCTTGTGGGGCAAAATAGGGGGGGAGGGTCGCAGGCAGGACCTGGCCACCGAGACCCACATCGTGTCCTGTGCCCAGGTCAGCCCTCATCTCAGTGTCTGGACCGAGGGCCTCTTGGGGGCAGGGCCTGCTTGTGCCTGCCCCAGAAGACGCCTGGTGGTGTCCTGCACCCCAGCCTTTTCCCTCCAGGCATTGAGGGTGCCGGGGCCACCACGCTGGGACATGCGTCTCCAGCTCACACGTGCCACACTGGCACACAAGGCTGTGCACACAAGGCCTGCAGCGCCCACACAGCGAGCAAAAGTCACCTCGTTTATCTGACATCCTGGACCTCTGTGTCCCCGAAGAAGCTGGAATACCGACACAAAAGGTGTGGAATGCTTTTTAGGCCCCAGGACTCAAGCCAGTGAAAGATAACACAAAAGGAAACAGGAGGACACACCAGAGGAAAGCCTGTCCTGAGCGAAGCTTTGAGAGAACACCCCTTTGCACCCCAGAAGAACCTGAAGAACCCCTCAATGGACCCTGTCTGACACCAGGATGGCTTCCACATCAAAGGCAGGACCCAGGGTTGGTTCGGGGCTGGGGTGCGCGGGGGGGCACTCACCGGTCCAGCAGGGCCAGCAGGGCCAGCCGCTCATAGCGCACAGAGGTCCAGCGGCCCGGAAGGAGCCAGTATTTGTAGCTGTGCTGGGCACGGGGCGGCGCCTCCTCCATCAGCGTCTGCTCCTGGGATTCGTGCAGGGAGTCCTGGTCCAGCAGGTCAAACTGCAGTCCCCACAGCCGCGGCCATCAGCCCCACGCCCCCCACGGCATTCATCGCCACCCCACACCCCCGCGCACACAGGCTGGCTGGCCATTCCTTCAGCGGCGCCCCCAGCACGCGGCGGTGCCATGCCTGCATCAGCACAAGGGCCTGCTCCTCTCGCCACGTCCCCAGCACGTGGCTCAGTGATGCCAGGGACCTTGGAGCTGCGGGGGCCGGTTACTGGCTGTGTTCCCCACTCAGGCAGGGTCGCCCGCCTCTGCGGGGCTCAGGGACATCCACCTTGTCCTTCGGGACACAGAGAAGCTACCTTCCTCCCGACAGAGCCGTCAGTCACCGCGACCGCCCCATCTGGGCCGCAGAGCACTGGCCCTGACCACAGGCCTGGGGGCCAGTCAGTGCTGAGAGGCCTGGGCCAAGCATCAACCTCTGCATTTCTGGGGACTTCATTCGACAAGTACGTGTGGGACGCAGCTGTGGGCCTAGCCTTGCCCTTGGCCCTGGGGGACAGTGGGGAGCCAGACGCACGGGGCCCCTGCCTCAGGAGGTGCTAGCAGCTGCCAAGGGACAATACAGCCCTCCCACGAGACGGGTGAAAAGAACAAGCCCATGAGCTGGACGCAGGGGCTCCTGGGTGCTGCCCACGGTGATCTGTGGCCAGGGTACTAGAAGGGAGGGTGCGCCTTTGGCATCTCCCTTTAAACCAAGTTCACCTTCCCTCGTTCTCCAAACTTCAGCTATCACGAGCCTGGCCACACAAGTAACCTCCCGGTGGGGCGCTTTCAGGAGTGAAAGGAGCACAGTCGTCAACCAGGCAGAGGCGAGGGGCGTGAATGAAGCGCCCTAGCTGTGCCAGCGCAGGGGACAGCACCAGCCTCACTAGGAGGTGCAACTCCCCTTCTGCAGGGGTCACTGCTGATGCCCACTGTTCTCTCTACCTGCGGGTCCCTCCAGAACACAGACACGCTCACAGGCAAGCAAGAGAACAACTCCTGGAACCGATGAGACCCAGGGCCAGCACACCCCGGCAGCCATCAAAGGTGGGGAAGCCGAGGGCTCCCTGATGCCACTCTCAGAGCGCCTGTCCTGCCTGGTGCCAGGGTCAGCTCCTACTTGGCCCAGATGCAATGACATCCCCCACAACTGCCCTCTCCAGGCCCTTCTCTGACCACTGGGGCCTCACCTCCGGGATGTCCAGCGGCACTCGGCGCACCTGCATGCCCTGCAAAACCACCGGCCGGGGCTGCAGCAGGTTCAGGCTGCCCGCCGCCTCAGGGACGTCAGCCGAGTGGAAGCTGGAGGAGTGCGAGTGGCGGTCCCTGTGGGAACAGCGGCCAGGGGGCCAAGGTCACCGGCAAGGCCTGGGACAGGTGGAGGGTGAGGCCAAGCATGACTGGGGCCCCTGCCGGGGCTGCTCTGATGCCCAGGAGGAGTAGGGAGGGGTCTGGGGACTTTGGAAGGAGGCCCTGAAGCCTCATGCTTAGAAGCATCTGAAGCGCAGGGATCCTGGCAATTTCCATAGGCCCCGCATTTGCTGTCCCCCACCCCAGTCCCGGCCCCAGCCCAGCGTAGGACAGAAAACTCCCCAGGACGGCCAAGCTCGGAAACTCACCAGGCTCCGTTAGCTGCCTGCTCCCCCTGTTGCCCCACAGGGTTCTCGTAGCCACCTCCAGCCAGGCCAAAGGTGTATGAACGCCGCACACCTGGGCGAGGGTGCAGGGCACAAGGCAGCGCGTCAGGGGCAGGAGAGTCAAGGCCTGAGCCAAGTGGGCACCAGGGCCGTGGGATGGAACAAGGAAGAACCCTAGGCTGTGCCCCGCCCCCTCGCCACAGGAGGCCTGGCCTGGGGACCCAGACTGGGGGAACGCGCACTCGCAGTCAAGAGTGGGCTCTGCAGTCAGCCTGTCCTGGGCATGGAGCTATTGCTCCACCACTCGCTCAGCTGTGTCCGTTTCCTCGCCAGCGGAAGGGCCGGTTAAGCTACTGAGGCCTCAGGGGGACTGCGAGCGGCCATTAGCAGAGCTTCGGGTGAAACGCTGGAGGCAGGAGAGTTGGCCCACAGAGTGAGCGTGGTGAAGACCCCCAAGGAGGGCCAGTGGGGCTCAGAGGCTCAGGCCACAGGAGGGCTCACCACTCTCATCGTAGAAGTAGTGCACGGCGCCCTCGGAGGTATCGTCAAAGGTACAGGCCTCATGCACATTGGCACCGGCGCGGGTGAGCAGCAGCGAAGAGGCGAAGTGCAGGGCCGAGGGCAACGTCAGTGCCCGCGAGTGGGAGGCGGCCCGGCCCCGCTGGGCCTCCTGCAGGCTGCTGGGGAAGGGTCAGCCCCGGTCAGCCCAAGTGACCAGCCGCTCCCCCCAAGCTCATTGCTTCTTCACCCAGCCGGCAGGCACGCACCTGGGTGGTGAGCCCATGACAGAGGCTGGAGGGGTGGGGTTGCTGCCTGCATTGTGGCGTCTCCGGATGGCCTGAGTGCGCCGCACACTGCTCGAGCGGTCCCGTTTGCCGGTCTCCTCGGCTGCTGCCCAGAGAGAGGCCCCACCACGGCATCAGTGACAGAGACTTGGACAGAGGGACCGTGGCAGGGACTCCTGCGCAAAGTAGAAAGTCAGGCAGAGTCCCACTGCCCACCGTGCCCTGGCTCCGGGGTCCAGCCAAACACCTGACCGCACATCGTTCAGCTTCCATGTTTACAATCAAGGGCAACCTTGACTGGCTTTGCTGCCCTGGTGGTCTAAGAAGACAAATGCGAACACTGAATCCTCAAAGGATAGAGGCCTTAGGTGCTAACTGTGGAACCAGGAGCCAGCTGTCTGAGGTCTCCTGGCCTCAGTTTCCCCGCCGGCTTGAGGGGACCGGCAGACCCCCATCTGCTGCCTACAACAGGCAGTCAACTCTGACCAAATCCATCCAGCTTACCCCTTGTCCAAACCCAAACCTTTTCTAATTCGCCTCCCCTCCTGCCCCCCCATCGCTCCCCCAGATCCAAAACCAGCACTCACCTCCCCCCACAGCACCTTCCTCCTGCAGCTCCCCCCGCCAGCCAGGCTGGTTGGCAGCTGGTCCCCTGCGGGCCTCAGCAGGCAGCACAGCAGGCTCCCCAGCAGCCAGCTCCACTCCTGCCTGGGCCTCCAACTCAGCCTTGGAGCCAGTCAGGGGGCCCCGCAGGACATCACCCCCTGCCCCGTCCATGCTCAGCACCCGGGCGTGTGTCTTGGCGCTGGCAGTGCTAGGCGTCCGCTGGGTCCCATAGGGCCGCTTGGGGGGCACAGCAGCTCCCTCCTCAGCCCCGTGGGGGGCCCGTCGCTTCCGGGCTCCTCCCGCTGCGCCCCGGGGGCTCTCAGGGGAGCAGCAGGAAGTAGAAGAGGAGCTGTCAGTGCTGTATCTGCGCTGGGACCGGAGGCTGGAGGCGGGGCTGAGCTCACTACCCTCGCTGGTGTCCTCATCCTCAAAGAAGCCCCCACCCTCGAGCAGGGGCCGCCGAGGGGGCCGGCCAGGTGGGGAGTGTCTCCGCAAGGGCGGCCGCCGTTTGCTGGGCCGCAGCAGCGCCAAGTCCTTGGGCCGCACAACCAGGAGGGGCTCAACGGGGCCTGGTGGTGTTCCCGCTCCTACGACTGTGTCAAAGGAACGCAGCGTGTCATCTGAGGGGACCCCGGCATCTGGCGAGGCAGGCAGCTCGGCCTCGGAGGGGGGGTCTGTATCGCTGCCTTCGGCAGCCGGCCCCCCAGGGGGGCTGTCCAAGTGGGTGGAGTTGGTCTTCTCACTCTTGAAGCTGCTCAGTGTCTCCCTGTCAGTGCCGCTGAAGCAAGAGTCTGAGGAGCCGGCTTTCTGGGGCGTGGGCTCGCCTGAGCCCCTCCGGTCCAGAGGCTGGTAGCCGCCCACTCCCCGCCGCTGTTCCCGTCGACTGCTGGTCCTCACCAGGGCCCGATCAGGCCGAGTCAAGGTCAGGAAGCTCTTGCTCAGCTCCTGGCTGAGGCTCCCCTTCAGCAGGGGGCTCATGGGAGTGTCAGCTATGCTGCTCCCACTCCAGGGCACGCAATCTCCAGCCAGGGGAGAACGGTCTGAGGAGTCTGTGCTGGGGAGGGAAGGGTCTGGGGCAGCCCCTGGAGGAGTCTGGGGAAGGTCTCCAACTGCCAGAAGAAAGAAACGAAAATGAGATGAGGGCACACTACGAAAAGAATGACTGTGGGGACCCTACGGCCTCTGCTCTCCAAGAGCCCAGTCGCTGGGATAGAACACAGAGGCCCCATGCAGAACAAAGAAAGTCCCAGGGGAGCAAGACTTGGGGTGACTCAGAGACAAGACAGCTACCTTCCCCCTCCCCAGCCCCTGCCACAGCGGGCCCACTCACTCAGCTTCTCCTGAGAGCTTAACTTCAGCATCTCTCGATCAGCAGAAGTCACAATAACGTTGTTGCTACCCTGCTCGCGCACCAGCTCCTTAATGTCTGCAACCATCGCCCAGAGGTGTTACCAGGACCCCGGGGTGGCCTTGTGCCATCCCCTGTTCAACCCCAGCCCCTTCAGCCCTGAGCAGCAGCAACTGACCTCTGAGGGGTCCAGAGTCCTCCATCCGGGGCAGCAGCTCCTGAGCACAGAGAGAGAGATATCAGAATAGGTTAGGATGGGCCCAGGTGGGGTCAGGCTGCCAGGAAAGGAGAGAGCAAGGCTGAGGACAAGAACTGCTCACCGAGACCTGGTTGAAGCCAAAAACAGAATGCTGGGAGCTACAGCGCACTGGGGGTGTGGAGCTCACTTTCCGAAACACTGTCATCTCCACTCCGGGGTCCCTGGCAGTGGAGAAGAACATCAGCTGCCGGCTGACCTCTCCTCTTTGCATGGCACTCTCTCAGTCCAGTGCTCCTCTCTCCCCAGGAGTCCCTTCCACGGCCAGGGCTGACCATGGGAGAGATGCTGCGCCACTCCGGGGCCAACGTCCCCTAAAGCCTTCCTCCATCCCCCAGTGCTCAGGCCAGGGACCCAGGCACCCAGTCTCTGACACCACGGCTGCCCTGCCCACCTGGGCGGATTGCTGTCCCCCTGAGCAGGCTCTTCCTCAGGCTCCCCAATGGTAGAGTTGCGTTTCTCCACAATCTCGCCCTGGTCGAACATGGCATGCAGACGGTAGTTCACAGTCTTGATGGTAGCGAAGATGACAGCCACCACAAGGCAGTACACACCAGCCACCAGAAAGCTGGGGGGCAGGACCTGGAGGAGGCTACAAGTCAGGTGGCTCCTCACCCAGCCCTGCCTCCAAGAAGCGGACCTATCACCCTCACCCTGCCAAGGTCCACATTTCACAAGAAAACCCCACCACCCTTCCCGGGAGGAGGACAAAGACCCTCTAGCTAGGCTCTGAATCTGGTATTACACAAGAAGATCAGACGAGGTGCTCAAGGTCACCCGGCCCAGGAAAAAAAGAATTTAGTCTCTACCACTCACATCCCAAACTGACTCCTTGTCCCCCAAAGCCCGCCAGGCTGCCATGCCTCCGTGACATCTGCCCACCCTTTCCCGCGGGAATGAGAGGTGCCGGCGGCATCTCACCATGTACAGCAAGAAGGGAAAGGTGAGCAGGAAGATCCAGACATAGAGATGGAAGCAGTTGGAGAAGGTGCTCTGGTGCGGGTCGAAGAACCAGCCGCCGGTGAGCGAGGCCCACACCCCCTGGCGCAGGATCTGCAACACCTGCGACCCCATGGCCCCGCCGCTGCTGCGCGCGCCCCCCTCCCGGGACCCTCATGGGGGCGGCCCCCGGTCCATGCCCCGCCTGGCGCCCGAGGGCCCCGGGGCCCGGCCTCGCGCTCACGCCATGGCCTCCCCCGGTGGGGGAGCAGGGTCGGCCGAGCGAGGGTGCGGGCAGGGGGCGGGGCCGGCCGAGGCAGTCAGCGGAGCGAGGCCGGGGCGCGGGGGTGGAGCCGCATCAGGGGCGGGGTCCGGGCCCCCACCCCCGGCCCAGAACTGCTCCGAGGGGTCGAGCCGGCAGGCGGGCGCGGGGCACTGGCCGGGAACCAGTCGGCGGCATCCAGAGGTGGGCGTGGGATGGGTGCTCCGGGGGTGCCGGGGACGGCTCCCTCGATCCCGGCCTTGGGAGAGCCCTAGGACCCCGAGGTCCACTTCCGGGGTCACAGGTCACTGGCTTAGGGCTCCGCGCTCGCCCCTCTTCAGTAGCAGCCGGCCCAAAGGGGAGGCCGGAAGAAGGAGCCGCGAGCCGCCAGCCTGCAGAGGCGCATGCGCCCCACGGGTCCAGTTGGGACCCGGAAAAGGAAAACCTGACGGCAGGAATGCGCAAGCTCGGGAAGGTGGTGAAGGGAGAAGAGTGGGGGAGCCCTTTGGGCATGCGCAGAGTCCTTGGCGAGGGAAAAAGCTCAAAAAAAAAAAGTGCTTGAGCGCATGCGTACACCTAGGCGTTGCCAACGAAGCGGAGGCCACGGGACGGTCAGCTGAGTGACCATTGGCTACAGCGGAACTCTGCGCACAGCTCTTCCAATGAGTTACAGGAGGCGGGAAAAAGCATGCGAGCGTGGGTTCCCCAGGGCCACAGGAAGAGCCCGGCTGTGCTTGAGCTGCCCTCCTGGCCCGCCCCTTTTAGCTACAGGACCTCAAACGTCAGGAGCGTCGTGCTCCCCGAGCAGCCTCTACTTCCGGGTCAGAGCGCAGACCTAGCGTGTAGAGAGCCACCCACTAGAACAGGCAGGAATAATCGAAACAGGATAACGTCGTTTTCTTAAAGTGGCAGGCTCGAGGCAATTGGGGTCCACGCAACGGGGATGAGGGCTACTATAGACACACCTAAGCGAAGTACAAGGCGAAGTTCGGGACAACAGTCACGGGTGTCCTCCGACTGGGGAAGGTTCTTGAAGTTGAGAGGAAGAAGCTGGCCTCAGCCCATTCCAGGAGCCTGAGGTGCCCCCAGAAGGGTCCACCTTCCGTCTCGCCCCCTCCCCATCCCGCCGGCTCTCAAGCAGCTTCTGGCCCACGTTTCAGACACGGAGAGAACGAGGCGCAGAGGAGATGGGCCACGGCGTCCTGCCACTTCTTGACCGGGACCAAACCCAGACTGGGTTTGCCTCGCTCCCAAGCCAGGTTCTTTAGCCCCGTTTGCTGATGCGGTGGCCGCCCTGGGCAAGCTCCTCCGTCCTCAGTCTGCTGTGACGGGGGCCAGGGCTACCCTGTCCCTCCCGCCCCGCCTCCCCAGGAACTCCCCAGCCAGACGCCCGCAGCCTCTGGGAGGGGAGAGGTGCTCCCCGCCCGCGTCATCTGATGCTGTTTCCTGCAGGAGGGAGAAGAGCGGAAAAAAGTGAAACTCCACCCTCCACCTCTGCCTCCCGCCCCCGGGGCCAAAGTACAAAGGGAGGAGGAAGAAGGGAGCGGGGTTGGAGCCGTCGGGTGAAAGAGTCTGGCCAGGAAGAGGCAGTTCGGCCCAACCAGGGACACTCCAGCCACCCCCTGCACAAAAAGATCAAGCGGAGCCCAGGCGCTGCTCCTCGCCCGCCCCACCTTACACTTGGCGGGTGCCGAAGCCAGGCACCCAGGACTGCTCCAGGACTGAGGGACAGACGCCCAGGCCCTCCAAGCCGGCCATGGTGAGATGCCGGAGGCCCCGGGGTCCCACCCCCCAAGCCTGACCACACTGCCCTGGGCTGCCCGCCTCTAGAGACCGGAGATGCGGGGGGCCGGGAGGCGACACTCCTGGCTCCCCAGAGAGGCGTGGGTCTGGGGCTGAGGGCCAGAGCCCGAATGCCCAGGTTCCGGGACTAGGGCCTCCGAAGCCACCAGGGGCAGGGACCAGGGGCACCCCAAAAAGGTCCCCCCACGCCCTACGCCGGCTCCCAGCCATGGAGCCCTTGAAGAACCTCTTCCTCAAGAGCCCACTGGGGTCATGGAACGGTGGGGGCGGTGGGGGCAGTGGGGGTGGCAGCGGAGGCTGGCCAGAGGGACCCCCGAAGGCAGCAGCTTATGCCAATCCTGTGTGGACAGCCCTGTTCGACTACGAGCCTAATGGGCAGGACGAGCTAGCCCTGCGGAAGGGCGACCGTGTGGAGGTGCTGTCCCGGGATGCAGCCATCTCAGGCGATGAGGGCTGGTGGGCAGGCCAGGTGGGCGGCCAAGTGGGCATCTTTCCATCCAACTATGTGTCTCGGGGTGGCCCGCCCCCCTGTGAAGTGGCCAGCTTCCAGGAGCTGCGGCTGGAGGAGGTGATCGGCATCGGTGGCTTTGGCAAGGTGTACCGCGGCAGCTGGCGAGGCGAGCTGGTAGCCGTGAAGGCTGCTCGCCAGGACCCTGATGAGGACATCAGTGTGACAGCTGAGAGCGTGCGCCAGGAGGCCCGGCTTTTTGCCATGCTAGCCCACCCCAACATCATCGCCCTCAAGGCTGTGTGCCTGGAGGAGCCCAATCTGTGCCTGGTGATGGAGTATGCGGCGGGTGGACCCCTCAGCCGGGCACTGGCTGGGCGTCGTGTGCCCCCCCACGTGTTGGTCAACTGGGCTGTGCAGATTGCCCGAGGGATGCACTACCTGCACTGTGAGGCCCTGGTGCCCGTCATCCACAGAGACCTCAAGTCCAACAACAGTGAGTTTGGGGAGCATGGATGGAGGGTGGCATGGCCCAAGCACACGCCTACCCGATGCCAGCGCTACACTGAGCCTTCTGGGAGTCCGCTGGTAGCTTAGCTCCTGCCCTCAGGGGTCCCACTTGACCAAGGGTGCCCAAGGACTCATATGGGCCCTGGGGCAGGCATCCTTCACACCCAGTATCAGGAGTCCTTAACCCCAGCTTGCAGCTGCCAACTTAAAAAGCTGGGCTCCTGCTTAGCCATGGCCACCACCCCGAGGAAGCAGAGTTACAGACTGGCACTGCTCATCGTCACCCCGCCCCCCAGAGTTCACGCTGGTGCTCTGGTCTCCCCTCCACTCATGTTGAGCAGCTCCTCTGGACAGAGATGGGGGGGTGGTGAAAGTTGGGGCCAGGGCTAGAATTCTGGCCCTCCCCCTCCCCATGGCTGTGTGACCTCTAGATGGTTATTTCAACTCACAGTCTCAATGTCAGGCTCTAAAAGGGTTAAGTGAAATGGCTTAATGGGCACAGCAGCCCTGGCATCTGGTGCCGGACATGCAGTGGGTCCCCAGCGGGGCAGGAGTGGACATCTGAGGGTTGGATCACCAAGAGGATCGCCTGAATCGGCCCTTGGGGTGGGCGTGGAAGGGCAAAGGGAGACTCAAGCGGCGAGGCACCCCCTCAACAGCCATCTCTGGCCCCCCACACTGCCCTGTAGGGGCCCAGAAGAGCGAGGAACCGGTTCCAAGGGCTTCCTGAAGCAGGCGGGCTTCCCACCAGGCCAAAAGCGAGGCAGCGTTAGTGAGGCGGCCAGTTGGATGTCCAAACAGGGCCTGACAAGGGCAAAGGCGAGGCAGCAGGACCCAGCACAGCGGTGGAGCTTTGAGGTTGGGCCTGTAAGGGCCCCTGTATAGGCCACAGAGCACAAGGAGGTGCAGGAGGAGCCAGAGCTCCGAGCAGTTACTGGCGAGACGTGGATGGCTCTTGCAGGGGTGGGGATGGATATTTTGAGCTTCCTGACCTGGGCTGACCATGGACCAGAGGCTTGGAGGAGGCAGAACACTAGATCCCAGCTCTACTCAAGTCCCTGCCAGGGCTGGAGGAGGTGGGGAAGGCTGCCAGCCACCCCACCCACTCCACTTACCCTTATCAGGGGGCACTTCCCACTTCTCAGCCTCACTTCTAGGCCCTAGCCATGGAGGGACCCCCACTCTCTGGCCCAGCCTGAGGGGGATTCCCCGAAGTGGGGGGGGGAGGGGACTCCTGTTTTCTGTTTTTCCTCCAGTTTTCTTTCCAGAGAAAATGGAACAATAGCCCAGGCCCCTGCTCCCCACCCTCCCCACCGCTTCCTGCATTTCCTGCTGCCCCTGAGCAGGCTTCCTGCCCCTGCTCCAGCCTCTGTTCCCTCCCCAGCCCAGCTGCCTGCAGGGGAGGAAAGAACTGGGGGGTGGGGGGTTTGTGGGAGAGGAAGGAGCCAGGGATGGTGCCCCCCTGTGCCCCCAGCTCTCCCGCTTTCCTCCCAGAGTCTGGGGAGTGGCGACGGGCAGGCAGGTGCACTCAGATTCCCTGAGCCCGGCCTCCCACCTCACAGACCGCAGTCCTAGGCTCGGGGTGCCGTCTGTGGGATTGGGGGGGAGCCCCTGGGCTGGGGGGGCACAGGCAGGAAACAATGGCGTGATTTTCCTGGACAATGGGGGCCTTGTGAGGAAGCCTGAAGGGGAGAGGAGGGGGAATTCTCCAGGCCCACGAGTCACAGGACTGACCAGCCAGCCCGGCCTGGGTCTGACCTCCCTCGATTCTCCCCCAGAGGGCCCTCCCTCGCCCAGTTGGAGACCTGGCCCGGTCCTCCCAGAAAGCAGAAGTGGGGCCAGAGGAGGGAAGCGGAAGAGGTGTGAGCTGTTTAGGCCACTCCCGAGCCCCACAGAGGCCAGCCTGGGCGAGGAGGGGGCTGGGAGCCAGGTCCCTTTCAGAAGCTGGGGAGCCCTGGTGGGGAGCAGAGAGCCTGGGGGTCCTCCAGGTGACCCCTGACCGCCCACTCCCCAAGGTCTACATCAGACACCAGAAGAGCCGTTTGGGTTGAGACCAACTCAAGGCTCTTGGAGGAAAGCAGGGGGTGCGGGGGTGAGGCTGGGGGTGAGGCTTGCAGGTGTCAAGACAGCCGGAGGCGGGAGGTGGCAGAAAGGTCACCGGTACAAAGATGTCCCGGGACTTGGGCCTCAGATGACCTGACCGAAAGGGAAGGCTGGCCGCCCAGCCTGAGCCGCCTGTCTGTCAGATTTTAGGAGGTACCATTGGGCCCGCCTGCCCCAGCCCCTGCCAGGAAGCCGCAGGGCTTGGTCCTCAAGAGGATGCGTGAGTTCTGGCACCACAGGGGGCCTGCGGTGCCCCCAGACTCCAGCACACAGACCCCTTTGCCTGGTCCCGCTCCACCCCCACCCCCTTCTTCAGGGGCTCATGCGTGGTCCAGTCAGGAGCCTCCAGCAGCCAGACGGGAGGCTGCTGCGGTGCCAGGGATAAGTTGTGCTGGAAGGTGGGTGGGACAGAGGACACGGGAGACGCGCGCGGCCGGCTCTTGGACAGCCTGCGTGGACAGCGACAGGGCCTGGGCTAAGGCCTTGACAAGGCGGATCTGAGCACTCTAGGTCGATGTCGCCCTTGGCTCGACTAACTGTTCCGACTCAGCCCCCTTCTGGTCCAGAGGAGTGGGTGGGTTGCGGGGCCGGTCTGGATTAGGAGGAACTGCAGGAAGATTTACTGGGCACAGTGGGCCGAAGACGGTGTATGAACATCAGGTGGGACAGTGGCTGAGGAGTGGCTGGTCTCACCTTCAGGCCTGGAGCGCCCCAGGTGGGAGCCACCAGTGGGGAGGGGGCAGCTGGCCCCAGGGAGCCTGGGAGTGGTGGGCAGAGGTTGAGGAGAGGGAGGCTCTCAGGAGTACTGGCACTGAAAGGGCTGAGGGTGGGGGAGGCCCTGGAGGAAACAGCGCAAGAGCCAAGGCCAGCGGGGAGGGGTTGGGCAGCAGGGCCAGATGCCCCCACGAGACCCAGAGAGCTTGGCTAGCCGCGGGGTCAGGGCTTGTGGCTTTACACACAGAAACGTGAGTTCCCTGGTTCCGCCGCCACCTCAGAAATCTCCCCTCCCTGCTGTCCCCGCCCCAGTACCTGTGCTGTCCTCATCTGGTGCCGTCCCCTGCGCAGGAAAGCCGAGAGGCACGTGTTTGGCGGCGTAGTTGGCTTGGATGTCACTTCTCGACAAGGCAGTGGGCTCTGACCAGAACAGGCCCCTCCTGCCCTTGACCTTTGCTGTTCCTCTTACGCTTCTCATTAGAGCCATGTTTGTCCCGGCAAGAGGTTGATAAGTTGCTGCCTCTCCCCTCCATCCAGAGCATGGGGGGGTCAAAGCCGAGAACCCCTGCCAGATCAGACCCTCCACTCCTACATTTGTCCCCAACGCCTCCTTTTTGGCCAAGAACCATGACATTCTCAGACCCTCCCTTTCTCTCCATATCCAAGTACACGGGGGCGGGCTTTGGGGACTCTCTCTTCCCTCTGGCCGCCTGCACCAGCAGTGATGTGCTGAGGTGCTGGCCCTGCGGGGTTTCCTTTCTCGCCAGGAGTTCCCTGCTGCTCTTCACCCCCAGAGAGGAGAGGCCAGGCTCTCCTGCACCACCAAAAGGACAGGACACAGGTTTCTCTTGAAATCAAAACTACCCACGCTGAGAGGCTGTCTTTGCAGCCACAGAAACCAGGTTGGAATCTTGGCTGTTTGCATACATCGGCCACAGCCAGTCATTTTCCTGCTCCGTTTCCTCACCTATAAAATGGGAATGATGACGTCTGCCTTACAGATGTTTTAGCGCTCAGTGAAAAGTGCCTGGCCTCTACCGGCCCCTGTGTCAGTGTTTCCCAGCATCGTTATCTTTGTCTAATTCTACTCCAGCCTGAGCCACCTGCCTCCCCTTTCCATAACGGTTCTTCTTTGGAATGAGCTTGTGCAGGGCTTACTAATTAGTAAGGTTCAGTTCTGAGCCTCCGGCAGTCAGGCCATGGGATTGCAAAGCTGGGAGTAAATTTTGATAGTGGGTGGGCCCAAGAGATTTTTCAGCGGCGGGGTCCGGAGGCCACCGGGGCTAGGTGTGCTCTCTAAACGGGAGCTCTGCAGGCAGGATCACCTGAGGACTCAGCCCCGTGTCTGTCAGATGAGTCTGCTCTGCCCGCCCCCCAGCCTGGAGGACCTACCATCCTGCTCTCCTTCTCCCCAGTTCTGCTGCTGCAGCCCATCGAGGGCGATGACATGGAGCACAAGACCCTGAAGATCACTGACTTTGGCCTGGCCCGAGAGTGGCACAAAACCACGCAAATGAGCGCTGCGGGCACCTATGCCTGGATGGCCCCCGAGGTCATCAAGGCCTCCACCTTCTCTAAGGGCAGTGACGTCTGGAGGTGCGGCCTGGGCGGGGGAGATGGGGCCAGAGGGAGGGCGGGGTCCAAACCATTAAGTTCCTGGTTGCTTTTGGGGTAAAGGGGCAACAAGGGGGTAGATGAGACGGTGACCCTTTGCCTCACCTGCAGCTTTGGGGTGCTGCTGTGGGAATTGCTGACGGGGGAGGTGCCCTATCGTGGCATCGACTGTCTTGCTGTGGCTTATGGAGTGGCCGTTAACAAGCTCACGCTGCCCATCCCATCCACCTGCCCGGAGCCGTTCGTGCAACTCATGGCGGGTAAGCGGCTGGGGCCGAAGTGAGGGGCAGAGCTCCTTGGTCCAGGCCACACCGACCCACAGGCCCCTTCTTCTGTCCCTCCTCCACACCCAGACTGCTGGGCTCAGGACCCCCACCGCAGGCCCGACTTCGCCTCCATCCTGCAGCAGCTGGAGGCACTGGAGGAGCAGGTCCTGCGGGAAATGCCCCGGGACTCCTTCCATTCCATGCAGGAGGGCTGGAAGCGCGAGATCCAGGGCCTCTTCGACGAGCTGCGGGCCAAGGAAAAGGTGCGAGGAGAGGGCGCCCAGGGTGGGGAGCGGGTGCCGCGGAAAGGAGGCTCCCGGGGCCGGGCTGGGGGCTCCGAGGGCCGCCGCGCCGGCCTGACCGCGTCTCTCCCGGCGCAGGAACTGCTGAGCCGCGAGGAGGAGCTGACCCGCGCGGCGCGGGAGCAGCGGTCGCAGGCGGAGCAGCTCCGGCGGCGCGAGCACCTGCTGGCGCAGTGGGAGCTGGAGGTGTTCGAGCGCGAGCTGACGCTGCTGCTGCAGCAGGTGGACCGCGAGCGGCCGCACGTGCGGCGCCGCCGCGGCACCTTCAAGCGCAGCAAGCTCCGCGCGCGCGACGGCGGCGAGCGCATCAGCATGCCGCTGGGTGAGGGCCGCCGGCGCCCGCCATTGGCTGCGTGGGCGGGGGGTGGGGTCAGGCTTCGCTCGCCGCCCTGCGATTGGCTTGGAGTGTTGACAGGCTGGGGGGTGGGGCCAGGGGTGGGGCGGGGTTTTCCCCTCTCCGGGCGGGGCCTGGCGGAGTATTTGCATGACGGCCCGGGAGCGGCTGCGCCGGGAGGGGGCGGGGCCGGGAGCTCGCGCCGCGCGGCGGCTGAGCGGCCCCCCCGCGCCCCGCCTTCCTGTACCGGGAGCCTGGGGTTTACCGGGCGGCAGTGAGGCTCCCCCCAGCCAGACAGCCCCTGGCCGAGGCGGGGCACTGCACTGCCTGCTGGCCTGGGAGAGCGCCGCGGGCCCTGCGCGCTGGGATCCTGCTGCTTCAACCACAAACCTGCGCCTGCTTCCCTCCAACCCAGACTTCAAGCACCGCATCACCGTGCAGGCCTCCCCCGGCCTGGATCGGAGGAGAAATGTCTTCGAGGTTGGGGCTGGGGACTCGCCCACTTTCCCCCGATTTCGGGCTATCCAGCGTAAGAAACCTGTTCCCTGCCTTCCCCTCGCTCTGAGTCTCTGCTTCCTCCTAACCCCGGCGCCCCTGTCAGTCTCGCAGTGGACTTCTGAGCCCCCCAAGCAGCGTTTACTAATTTTTCCTAGTCGGCTAGGTCCTACTCGTTTTGCTAAGTGCTTTGCTGTGTTAAGTTAGCAGCATAGGGGGTGACCCTGTGAGGGAGCTGTTATTACCGTCACAGAGAAAAGTGAGAACAGGAACGTCACGCGGCTGACAAGTGGCAGAGCCAGACTTCAAACCCAGGCCATCTGACAGGGTTTCTCACTACTGGGCGGCAAAAGCCCACTGAAGGGCCAGAGGAGACGCTCCATCCCCTTGGCCCCCCAGGGCCCAAACCCACCCACCCTGCCCCATTTCTGTTCCAGTTCTCTGGGCCCAGAGCCCACCCTGGGGACAGCCTGCCCCCTGCCCGGAAAGGTGGCTCCCGGAGCCTGTCTCTCGTGATGGGGGAGGACAAGGGTCAGGGCTTTCCACCTCAGCTCAGGCTTCAGCGGTTTCCCCTCCACCTCCTCCACAGTGGAACCTGCAGAACCAGGCCAGACCTGGGGCCGTCAGTCCCCCCGGCGTCTGGAAGACTCGAGCAACGGCGAGCGGCGAGCGTGCTGGGCCTGGGGTCCCAGTTCCCCCAAGCCTGGGGAAGCCCAAAATGGGAGGTGAGTGCCCAAGTGCCCAGACCCCAGCATCAGCTGCCTCCCAGCAGCCCTGAGGCTCACTGAGCACAACTCCCCTCCTCACCAGGAGAAGGTCCCGCATGGAAGAAGCCACGTGGTGCCTGGATTCAGATGACTCATCTCCCTTAGGATCGCCTTCCACACCCCCAACTCTCAATGGTGAGTGGCCCTGTCTCCCGCAGCAGGCTCTGCTGCACTTCCTCTGTGGGCACCACGGGGAGGCTCCAAAAACCCAGCACACCAGGCAGGAACCCTGCACTCACGGCTCTCGTTCTAGAAAGCAGGAAACTGAGACTGAGATCAGCAGACGTGTCTTAAGACCTCAGTCTGACCTAGAGGCCCACACCTGAGCTGAATACCCAGCCCAGGCCTTAGGGGGCCCAGAATCTGGTCCCTGTGTCCAGGCCTGACCTAAGAATGTTCTCTCCTGGCCATCAGCAGGTTCTAGGAGGGAAGGAAGACAGGGGATGGGTCCCCCTATTTGGGACCCAAGTGAAGCTGGGCCCCAGTGGCCCAAGAAAGCACCCGCCTGGGGCAGGGGCAGGCCAGCCTGCCCCCCCATGCTGTGCAGCGCCCCTCTGGGGAGTCCGTCGGTGGGAAGGAGAGCGGAGGTTCAGAGGGGTCAGGGCCCATTCCCACCGCAGCCAGAGACATTGGCTTCCATGCTTGTAGCAAAGCTCACCGGGAATTGGTCGCAGGCTGCTTGGGGGCTCGGGCACTGGGCTCGCCGTGGCTGTCCTGGCCTCTCCTCTCCTCGGTGCTGCCTGGCACGGACAGGGGCTAGGAAGTTGCAGCCTCCCTTGTCTGTGGGTCCTTTTTTTTTTTTTTTTTTTCCTGTGGGTCCTTTTAGGAATCCCAGCTACACCTGCTTCTCACGGCAGCACCCAGGAGCTGGCTTGCCACTCTCAGAGCACAGTCCTGTTCGGCAGTGTAGACTCCCGCCCTGCACCCACCCGACCCTTCACCTCCACCAGCCTCAGACTTAATGACAGCTGGTGTTCACGGGCTGCCCCGGGCGCCAGGTGCTGCTGTGGGATGCAAACTGAGGCGCAAACTGAGGGGAGAGTTGAGTGGTTTAATGCCGAGCGCACAGCTGAATAGGGGTTTGAACCCAGATCTGACTCCAGAGCCAGGACCCTCGACGCCCATCTGGCGAGCTGTATTCCTCTCCAGCAGTAGCATTGCCCTGAGCTGGCTGCGCTGCAGGAGCTAAACTGAGAATTGGAAGGTCAAGGGGGCTGTTTGGATTCACCTGCGTTTAGAATATACCAGGCCCAAAGGGCCATTGACTAACTTGGTCCTTCAACCCACACACGTGGGTTGAAACAACCCTGACCTTGCTCTGCACATTCCTCTGCCTTTGCCCTCCCCGTGCTCCCAGAGACAGAAACTTAAGGGCCTGGACCCCACCCTTGTCTAGCCTCCCTCCTTACCTGAGAGAATGTCCCCCGCCCCAGCCCAGCTGAGCACCGGTTCCCCTGGTGCAAGCGCACAGCCCAGTCGCCGTCTTGCACCCATGAGAGTACATGGTCTTGACCTTGCCGCTGTCTGCGTTGTCAGGAACCTGCCTGAGAATCAAAGAACCTGTGGGATCGTCCCAGGCATCACGGGGGCCCCACCTCCCACCCCCGTTCCCAGCGGTTCTGACCCTGGGGGCTGTGTGCAGTAAGCTGCCGTGGTGGGCACTGCCAGCCTCCGCTGACCGCAGCTGCCCCGCGCGCCTGGTGGCCCTGCAGCCGCTAGCGAGCCCGTGGCCGTGCCCTCTCTGTGAGGCCCCACCTCTGGGGCAAGAATGATGGTGCTGTTTTCTCCTAAGCCACAGGGTCCCCACTCTTACTGCCAGGAAGCTTCGAGGTGAATTGAAATCCTAGCTGGGTTACCCTGGGCAAGTCACGTACTCTTGGGACCTCAGTTTCTCAAGCAATGGCTGCAGGAACTTCTCTCTGCTCTCTGTACATGACCTCTGTCTCCACTTCCCTTGGTCCCATTTTCCTTGCTTATGTTAAATGTCCCCCCCGCGCCCCGTTCTGTTGAAACTCACTGTAAAGGCTCGGTGTCTTCACCCATAAGAGGGAGGTTCAACAACTGCTGAGTGGTAGTTGTGAAGATCGGCAGAGCGGATCCTTCCATCAAACATGGGCACATTTTATGAGCCAGCAGTCAACACGTCAGAGTCCCAGAGGGCCCTGTCCCCAGTGGGGCTGAGTCTGTTGGAAGAACAGACTAGAAATTAGCCAGTACTATAGCGAGTAGAAAGAGCTGGGCCCGGGCTGGGCCCAGACTGGGCTTGTGTTGGGGTAGCTCCCACGTTGGGGTCCCAGGAAGGCCTCTGAAAGAGGAAAATTTCTGGGTTTCCTTCCCCTACACCCTGCTCCCTCCCCTTGACACCCTTATGTGGGGTTGTCCCCACCAGTTGTCCAACCCCAACTGGGTGCCCGCCCTTCAGTTCATTTCTGACACCAAGGAGTAGGGTCCAGTCAAGGGCGCCCCGCAAGTCTGTCTACACCTGAGGCTGGGCCAGCTCCTGTGTTTCTGACTGACCGGGCATCAGGGGTTCCCGTGATCCCTTCCTCGGGTCAGATGACTTGCTAGATTGGCCCGTAGAAGTCAGGGCAGCGCTTTACTTACTAGGCGACCCGTTTGTTATGAAGGACACAGCCCGAGGACAGCCAGATGGAAGAGGCACAGGGCAAGGTCTGTGGGCGGGGCGGGGCTTCCACGCCTCTCCCGGCGCCTCCGCCTGCTCACCTGCCCCAGCTCCCCGGGCCCCTCTCCAGGGTGTCCCTCTCCAGGGCGTCGTGCAGCTTCCTCCCCCCAGCCGTGGCAACCAGGCTGCCTGTCTGGTTCTTCTCCCCTCCCTGAACCCCATCCTCTAAAATCCCATGGTTGGGTCCCTTGGCAACCAGCACCCCCTCCCGTGGAGCTTCCCAAAAGTCACCTTGATTTAATTCAGGTGTGGTTCTGAGGGGCTTCCTACACACAACGGGAGGTGCTCTTTTTGCCTTTACCACTGTTAACCCGGGAAAGTGCCAGGACGTCTGTGCCAGGAATGAGAAGTGAACCGTTAGGTATATTTCTTACAACAGATCACAGTATCACAGCCACACGGAGAAGAGGTGACATCTCAGTGGGTCATGAGGGTACCTGGAGGTGCCTGAAAGCCTAGGTGGGAGCAGTGTGCTAGGAAGAGGAGGTAGTGTGTGCACAGGGGGCTCGGCTCACCTGAGCGAGAGGAAGCCTGACTGGAGCGGAGGGCCAGGGGCTCACAGGCCTGAAGCGGCCCGGCCTGCCTCCCCTGGGTTAGTGGGGCCCAGGGCAGCCCCAGCACGGCGCTCAGTAGGTGTTTCTTGAATGACTGTGTGAACGAAACTGGGAGAGCAGGCAGGAGCCCACTCAGGAAGGGCCTGGACACGAGGGAGGTTTGTAAACGGAGACGGAGCTTTAGCAGGTTTGCATTTTAGAAGTGGGAGCTGTGTTTGCGCGAGGGCTGTGGGGAAACACCCTCCCCCCAGCCAAGTCCTGCTTCTTAGGAGAAGCTCCCTTTTCCAGTTTTGCGTGTCTTCCTCCCAACTCCCAGCCCAGGGCCCCCTCCCGCACGCCCATGCCATGTGGGCCCAAGAGGAGGCGAAGACTTTCTCCCGGTGGCAGTGGCAAGCCACAGCGGGTTCTAGAGCCAAGGAGGACCTGAGAAAACCCCAATTTGGGGGTTTTGTCCAAAAAAATTGGGGTTTTGTCAGGTCCTACCTCATCAGTGAGGGTTCCCCAGCCCCTTCACCACCAGGGGTCTAGACTGGAATCAGGCAACTGAAGACCCACACATGGGACACGAATGTCACAAAATTCAGAGCCACGCCTGGCGGTGAAGTGGTGGAGAGCCGAGGCCCCACTGCCTGCCTGGGGCCAGGTCCGTTCCACCTTCCCTGGCTGAGCAGCCCGCAGCCATTTCAACCTGAAGCCACAGGAATGAGGGTCAGACAACATAATGCCCCTGAATCGTTAAGTTCAGGCCGGACGATGGACCCTCTGAGCCTCAGCTTCCTCGTTTCTGGGCCCGAGGCGGTGGGTGTGCCTCCTGGGCGGTCATGTGGGTCATGTGGGTCATGTGGACCTTTGTGTCCCACACCCACCCCGCGGGCAGGTGGGCCCAGGACACAGGGCCTGGTTCCAGCCTGTGGCCAGCCTGCCCTGATGCTGCCCGGCTGGCATAAAGGCCAGACTCGGCTTGCCTCCTGGCCAGAGAGGGGCTAAAGAGGGCTTCTCCCCACCTCTTTGGGCTCCGGGGCAGCTGGCCGCCTCCCCAGCTTTGCTCCTGCAGGTTCTTCTGCCTGCACTGCCCTCCCACCCTCACGCTGGGAAGGCAGGAATGTGTGTGGAGAGCAGGCTTGTGGGGGTGGGGGAGGGAGGAGCTGGGTGTAGGGGAGCAGCGAAATGAGGGAGGATGGCGGGGAACCGAATTCAGGCCTTGTTCCAGGGCCACTGAGGGTCCAGCCAACCTCTCCAGAAGATAACCTGACCTGTGCCACCCCTCACCCCCCTAGGTAACCCCCCGCGGCCGAGCCCCGAGCCGGAAGAGCCCCGGCGGCCAGGCCCCACGGAGCGTGGCAGCGGCTCCGGGACACCCAAGCTGATCCAGCGTGCGCTGCTGCGCGGCACCGCCCTGCTGGCCTCGCTGGGCCTCGGCCGGGACCTGCAGTCCCCCGGGGGGCCTGGCCGCGAGCGTGGGGAGCCCCCGCCAACGCCCTCCACGCCGCTGCCCCCACCTTCCCCCGCCGAGCCACCCCCATCCCCGCTCATCCGCTTCTCACCCAAGAGGCCGGAGGCCCCCGCCTCCCCGCTGAGCCCTGACGCCCCCCGCCCTCGCACCCCTGCGCCTCTGCTACTGGAGTTGGGTGTCCCCACTGGCCAGCCGTCAGCCAAGAGCCCCCGACGCGAAGAGGAGGGGCGCGGTGAGTCTCCTGGGGCCCGAGGGTCGGGGGCCCGGTGACACGGGGAAATCAGGCCTGGGCCACAGTTACCCGCTGGACCCCCAGGCGGGCCTTCAGGGCAGCGGACCCCTCTAGGGAACTGAGTTCCCAGGCCAGCAGCCCAGTGGTGGGGCTGGGGTGTGGTGGGCCAGACCAGAGGGAGTGGGGGCCGGCGACCCCTCCTGGCTGGCTCTGCGCCTGCACCCCTCCCTGTGCTGTCAGCACTGGTGCTCTAAGGACCGTGGCAGCTGTGAGCGCCACGGGCTCCTCTTGTGTCCGCTCTCGGAGGAGGACATTCATGGCGCCGGGCCTTAAATGTCGGGGACCGGGCCTTAAATGTCAGGGACCGGGCCTTAAATGCCGTCCTCTTGACGGGCTGCAGCTCCCACCAGGTCATGGCAGAGCTGGGATTCAAGCCCAGGCACTTGGGCTCCAGAAACCTCCCCCTTCACCACTACCTAATAAACAGCTACACTGGAGCAAAGGGGGTCATGGAAGCTGTGAGCCAAGCAGCTCACTGTTCAGGTGGGGAAACTGAGGCAGTGCCTCCTGGAGACACCCCAGGAGTTGGCGGCTGCCTGACTAGGTCCCTTCCCCCGCCCTTCACAGGAAGCACTGTCTCACCCCCGCCTGGGATCTCCCGCTCCGCTCCCGGCACCCCAGGCACCCCACGCTCCCCACCACTGGGCCTCATCAGCCGTCCTCGGCCCTCACCCCTCCGCAGCCGCATCGATCCCTGGAGCTTCGTGTCCACGGGGCCACGGCCTTCGCCCCTGCCCTCTCCACAGCCCGTGCCCCGCCGGGCACCCTGGACCTTGTTCCCAGACTCGGACCCCTTCTGGGACTCCCCACCGGCCAACCCCTTCCGGGGAGGCCCTCAGGACTGCAGGGCGCAGACCAAAGACATGGGTGCCCAGGCCCCATGGACGCCGGAGGCAGGGCCCTGAGCAGGCCGGCTGCTGCCTCACGCTCCAGCTGCCCTGGAGGAGCCGCATACACTGGAACGGGAGCCGGCAGGCCTTGCTTCTCCCGGGGAGCCGCCCCGCACAGGGCCAGGAACACTACACTGCACAGGAAGCCTTCACACTGGATGGGGGGCCTGCACCCCCACACACTTGCAACCTGTGGGTCCCCGACTTTCCTGCCCTATGGGGCCCAACACTGTACCCAGCTGACTGGGAGGACCAGAGCCTGTCTCAGGGAATCGCACCCAGGTGGTGCGGGGGAGGGGAGGCGCGGGCGAGGGGCCAGCCTCAGCTGCCACCAGCACTTTGGACCAAGTCCTGTGACTGGGGCCCCTGCCCCGGGCTTAGTGCTTAGTGACCCCTACCCTGGGGTCATCTGGGGCCAGGGGCTCTCTGGGTGCCTTCCTGCTGCCCCAGCCGGGGCTGGGGCCTCGGCCTTGGGATCCAATGAAGCCAAATAAACTCATAAACTGTTTCCCCAAGCACAGCCTGTCACCTTTCTGGGGTACCAGGGCTCCAACCTCTCACAGGACCCTGGGGACCTCCTGCCCCCGATAGGGTGGGGGCACGTCAGCCTGGGCTTGGGCTGGGGCACCTGGCACCACACTCCTGCGATCAAGTCCACTGGCCTCAGGCGTTCAAGGCTCTTCTCAGCACTGGGGCACTGGCCTTGCCCGCCCTCCCCAGGCCACCCCCATGGTTCAAATGGCTGGTCTCCCTGGTGGCTCCCGCTGGCCTTCTGGGTCCAGCTGCACTGTCCTCTCTGAAGATCACTCCCACCCCGGGCGGCGTGCTGACCTTGGTAGCCCCCCCCCACCCCCCGGCCCTCTGGGCAGCACAGGAAGGCTGCCCGCCCCGTGGCTGGCCCGCTCAGCTCATGCTAGCCCCGGGGTTCTGGGTACCAGCTCCCAACCAAGCCCCAGGGCAGAGCCCTCAGGAGTCGAGCCCAGGCCCCTCCCTGCACACCCGGGGGCCTTCGGTGGGGCAGGTGTTCAGGGGCCCAAAAACCTCTGGGAAGGATCCAGAATGAAGACAGCATGTGCCAGGCGCACTGGGCATCCTCCACTCCCCCAGCCCTGGGCCCCTTCCCCTCCGACTCCACTGCTGCCCAGTAGCCCCCCACGGGGACCCTGGGGCCCCACTTGTCCTCACGCCCCATGGCCAGACCCCCAGCACCACACCCACTCACCCCACCGTGACTGGCGGGTGCCCCAGATGCAGCGCACTCCTCCGAGGAGCAGTGCCCTGGCTGCCTCCCCCGGAAGCCTCCCTGCCATCACCCCGGGCCTTCCCTCAGGGGGCGCGTGACGGTCCCGGGGTGGACCCCAGGAGGGAAAGGACGCGACTCTCCTCTTGCCTGGTGGCCCAGGACCTAAGCTCCGGGTGGCGGGAGCGCGCGGAACCCAGTGTGCCCGCGGCCCCATCAGTGGGACCTGGAGCCGGTCCTTACCTCTCCGGGCCTCGCCTGCCCCGCCCACCCCTGTCCCAGCCGCAGGGAATTGAGCAAATCAGGCCTTTCTTGCCCTAGAACCCGGGAGCGATGATCCAGCTCATCGCCAAGCCTGAGCCACCTCTCCTGCCCGCTCGCCCTCCCTCAACAGTGTTCAGCTGCTCCCCCCTCCAGCCACCCACACGGCACCTCCTCCTGGCCCCACCCAGCCCGGCCCCTCCCAGGTGCCCGGGTGGAGCAGCCAGCTCCTAAGGCGCCCCGGCTCCTGGCGGCGCACCATGGGGGGTCTGAGGCCCTGGGCCCGATATGGGCTGCTGCTTGTGGCCCACCTGCTGGTCTTGGGGCTGGGGGCTGTGGTGCTCCAGGCCCTGGAGAGACCGTCAGCACTCCGGCGCCAGGCCCAGCTCAGGGCCCAGCTGGTCACTTTCCGGGAGAAATACGGGGACTGCCTGCCCCCCGGGGCCCTGGAGGAGCTGCTGGGCACCGCCCTGGTGGCCCAGGCCCATGGGGTCTCTGGCCTGGGCAATGGCTCAGAGGCCAGCAACTGGGATCTGCCCTCAGCCCTGCTCTTCACTGCCAGCATCCTCACCACCACGGGTAAGGCCGCCAGACGGCCGGGCAGGAGGGGGATCCGGAGGCCACTGGGGTTCCTGGGGGTGCACCCCTTCCCCCATCCCAAAGTGACAGAGAATCCAGGCCCCATTAGGCCTGACATCACAGCTGGGGCTCCCCACACCAACACACCCCAACTGGTGCCTCAACTTCAGCTGCCAGGAGGGGTGTGGCCTCCCCAGCCCCACCCCTAGGCACCCTTTGAGACCCAGGAGAGGTACTCGGCCCCTGTGGGCCTGAGGCGAGGAGGCAGGGAACGTGCAGTGTGGGGTGGATTGAGGCATGAAAGGGAAATGGAGCGCAGCCGGGAAGTAGAGATGAGGACCACTGACTCGGGGAGAGGGGGCCGCGAGGGGAGGCTTCTTGGGGCGGAAGTCCTGGCGAGATGGTACAAGGCAAGAGGGCACAGAGCTGAGGGAGGAAGGAATTCCTAGCAGAGGGAACAGTGTATACAAAGATCTAAAGAAATAAAACAATGGGATGCACAGTCCTGGGGATTCTTTTGTGTTTGATGTTGTTGTTTTTATTTATTTTTTTGTCCTGCCAAGGATCCAAGTATTTTTTTTAAATTAAATTTGTATTTCTGATTTCTTTCGGGGACTCCAGAAACCTACTTGCACTGAGCCAGTAGCCCTGCCAGGCAAATACAGGCTGGAGTGGAACAGGGCCAGCCAGCCAGCCCTTTGGGGCAGAGCACATGCTCTCCAGTCTACCCCACTCCCCACCACTCCCTCTTGCCTCACGTCTGGCTCATCTAGGCTTTTGTGTTTCAGCCTCTGTCTAGCTGATCCTGTTCTCCCAGCACATCCCACTTCCTTGTCCTCACCTCTCCCCACCTCTGCACATCTCCAGCCTCCACAGCCTGCTCTCATGCTCTCTCCACAGCCTGCTCACAGCCTGCTCTTCACAGCCCTTCAGGGGTCTTGACAGAGCCCTCTGCCTGCCTCCCCCACCAAAGGGTGGGGCCTGGGCAGTCAGGCTTTAGCACAGTCTTGGAACACAGGGTGATGCGATACCCCTTGGGGAATGAAAGTGGGTGACATGCCACCTAGTGGATTTGGACATACTTTGTTAAGGGCCAAGCTGGGGAACCGCTCAGAACAGCCAAGCTCCCTCGGGGACAGGTCAGAATTGTCCCCATTACAAGAGGCCCAAGGAGTTGTCTCTGTCGATCCTTTCCTTTTCCAGAAAACAAACAGTGGCCCAGGGAGGCCAAGGGACTTGTCCAAGCTCCCCCCAGAGCATGAGGAGCAGGGCCTGCCTGGGTGCAGCCATCTCGGCCACCAGAGGGCAGCCTTCTGCCGGAGGTGCAGGGGGGGACATGGGGACCGCAGCAGACAGGCCCAAGCGCTCATTTCGGCTCTTTTCCTCCCCAGGTTATGGGCACATGGCCCCACTGTCAGCAGGTGGCAAGGCCTTCTGCGTGGTCTTCGCAGCCCTGGGGCTGCCGGCTTCACTCGTGCTTGTGGCCACACTGCGCCACTGCCTGCTGCCCCTGTTCAGCTGCCCGTGTGCCTGGGTAGCTGCCCGCTGGCAGCTGGCACCGGCCAGAGCTGCGCTGCTGCAGGCTGCCGGACTGGGCCTGCTCGTGGCTGGCACCTTCGTGCTGCTGCCAGCCGTGGTGCTGTGGAGTGTGCAGGGCGACAGCAGCCTGCTGGAAGCTGTCTACTTCTGCTTCGGCTCACTCAGCACCATCGGCCTGGGGGACCTGCTGCCCAGCAGAGGCCGTGGCCTGCACCCAGCGCTTTTCCATCTGGGCCAGTTCGCACTTCTCGGTGAGTCCAGCCACTAAGGAGCATGAGGGGAAGGGGAGGCCGGAAGAGGAGCCTGGACTACAACTCCCATAAGCCACTGGGGAGACTGAGCCTGACCGGGTAGAGCCCTGCCCTAGGGTCCCATGTACCACTGGAGTCCACAAGAGCCCCCTTCCCCCCTGGTGGCTGTGTTAAAAGGGCTGTGAGTGGCACTAGGTGCTGGGGGGAAGGGGTTAGCACACTGGGAGGTTGGTGGGGTGCATCACTGGCACCCCAACAGCTGCCTAGCAACCTCTCCTCCCCAGGTTACTTGCTCCTGGGGCTCCTGGCCATGCTGTTGGCCGTGGAGACCATCTCAGAGCTGCCACAGGTCCGTGCCATGGTGAAGTTCTTCGGGTCCAGCGTCCCTCCGAGCGCTGAGGACCAGGGTGGCATCCTAAGCCAGGACGAACTGGCTTTGAGCACCCTGCCCTCCACAGCTGCTGCGTCAGAGCAGGCCCCAGCTTGCTGACAGGTGTCAGGTGATGGAGCCAAGCTGCTCCTGGCAGAGAAGCCTGGGAGGAAGCAGCAGGGAGCGGCTGGAGAGCCTCCGAGATGGTAGGGTGGGGGTGAGGGCCTGGGGAAGCTGTGTTAATAAAAAAGAAACTGGGCACCGACCAAGCGTGTGTTCCTCTCTTTGGAAAGGGACTTCCCTACCCAGATCTACAACCCCAGCCCCCCAGTTCCCTGTCCAAACCCTCCTCATGTATCATCCTTCCAAGGCTCAGGTCCAGCCTCCACTGGCATCTGGGAACCTCCCCCGCGGGCACAGCCCCATTATGGATCCCAGACAACCTTATCAGCCCGAGATCCACCCCCTTCCTTCTATTGAAAGCCCGGTGGTCAAGAGAACAGGCTGCGCGGGTGTATCCTTGTCTGACTTTATTGCTGGGGAGAACAGGAAGGGGCGGAGGCGGCGCGCGGCAGCCTCGGGCCACCCCACTCCCCAGGGCTGGCGGGCATCTAGGCCCGCGTCTAGGGAGGAGCTCTGCGGGGTGCCCCGGGGCCCTCAGCTCCCCCTCCCCTCGCACACACTCGTGCGCGCGCACACACACTCACACGCATGAATAAATACAGGCCCGACGGCGCGGCCGTCCAGCCCCTGCGGTCCGTCGGGGCCGAGGGTCTGCTCTCCAGCTCCAGGCCCTGAGGTCTCACGCGGCCGCGGGGAGGCCCCGGGTGCTCGGGAGCGCGGGGCTGCAGCGGCGCTCGCGGGCGCGGCGGCGGGAGGCAAAGCTGCGGGCCGAAGTCTGAGCCGGCCCAGGGGGCGGGGACTGGCCAGGCGCGGCCTCAGCTCAGCGCGCAGCGCTCGCGCCGGCTCAGCTGCCGGCTCAGCTTGCGCCGCCGCTGCTCCAGGCCGCGTTCCAGGCGCTCGTCCTCCTCCAGGGCGCTGGGGAGCAGGGCGGTCAAGGCGTGAGCTCGGGCCCGCACCCACCCGCCGCCGGCCGCCCCGCCCGCACCTGGCCGAGCGCGGCGGGGCCACTCACATGCGCTCCTTGTGGTCCAGGTCCCGGACCAGCTCGTCGCGCTGGTTCACCAGCGACACCAGCTCGTCCAGCAGGAGCTGCTCCCGGTGCTGCTGCGCGGCCGTTTTCAGCCAGTCTGAGAGCGGAGGAGGCCGGGGGTGAGGACGCGCCGGCGCGGGGGGCCCCTGCCCGCCCTGCGTCCGGCCCCGCGCGGCCCCCGCCCCACCTTCCGTGGCCAGCATGGCCCGCAGCTCCCGGCTCAGCAGCTCAAACCTCCGCTCCAGGTCCTGCTCCTCGATGCTGCGGGGCGGGGCTCCAGGTCAGGCAGAGGGGATGGGGGCAGTGCCGGCCCCTGATGCGCCGGCCCCCACCTCCCCCAAGGCTTCCCCCCAGTGCCAGTCCCCTTCCCCCCACTCCGGTCCAATCGCTGGTGTTTACACCGTCTCCCCCACGCCTGTTTTTTTTTTTTTTTTACAAAGAAACAACCCGTCGGGATCCACGGGATCAACGTTACTCGTGAGCAGCAAGCAGGGGCCTAAAGTGATTCTGAAGATTGATGCAAAAGGGAGACAACATGGCCTCCACCTGCCAGACCTCGCAGGCCCCCAGGGCAGTGGCTTCTCACCCCACTCAGGAAAGCAGCCCAGATGCCCGTGGGCCTCCCAGTTTTCCCTACGATAAAGAAACGGGCAGGAGGCTGCACTCAACACTGACCTTCCCGAGCCACGTGTGCCTCTGGCCCTACCTCGGTTTTCTCACTAGTGACAGCCTAAGGCATGCCCGCCTTAGACGGGATTTTTAGATAGAAAAATCTAAAAATCTAAAAATCTGAGCTGGCTGAGCCATTTCTCAAGGAGTTCTTTCTAGAAAGAAGCGGTGACTAGCACTAAGCAAACCGCTGCGCCCCGGGCGGCGGGCAGGTGCACTCACAGCAGCTGCAGCTGGTCCTGCCGCCGGATGAGCGCGTTCTTCTTGTTGACCAGTGTGAACCACTCCTGGATCAGCACCTCCTCCTGCAGTCTGTTGGCACCTGCAGCAGGCGGGGCCGGGGCTGTCACAGGATGGCCCCTAGCCCTGGGGTGGGGAGCAGGGTGCAGGGTTTGGGGAGGGGGCCTGCACCCTTGCGACTTCCCAGAAAGTCACTTCCCAGAGCTGTGTGCCTCTAGCAAGCTGCTCCCGGCTCAGGGCCGCAGTGCACCAGCTTGCCCGGGGCTTGCCCCAGCCTTGCCTCCTCCCACTGCCCCCAAGGCCAGGAGGAGCAGGGGGTACTGGGGGGCTCCAAGATGGCCGCCTCACCTGACTCCATGAGACTCCTTAGCTGTTTCTCCACCTCAGCAGCCCGCCCGTCGATCTGCCGCTGCTCCTGCTCCAGGGCCTGCAGCTCCGCGCACACGTACTGACTGGTGTCCTGGAAGCGTTGCTGGGGGCAGGGGACAGGGAGGGTTCAGCAGCCCAGCTGTCAGCTCACCCGTCAGCCCACCCGTCAGCTCCTCCCCCTCGGCCCTCCTTACCAGCCGAGCCTCCTCCCCTGGGCTAGGGGGTGGCTCCTCCGAGGGGGAACTTCCACCTGCAGACAGATACCAGACTAAGCCACCTCCAACTGTCACCTGCCCCCACAGGTCCCCAGCTCAGGCTGTGTGCACAGCTTGAGCTGAGCTGGGTCTGAACTACTCACCAGGGGGCAGCGGTGGGGTTGTGACAGTGGGTAGGCCAGGGGCAGGGCTGGGGTCAGAGCTCAGGCCTTCCTGTGGAGCAAGGGGCCAGTGAGGGCTTGGAGGGGCACCCCGAAGCTCCACCTAGGCGCAGTTGGAGCCTCACACTTGTTGGAGAAGAGGGGCCCTCAGTTCCAGGCCCTGCTACTTGCTGCTTCTCCAGTCCTGGAAGCACAGAACTCCCCTCATCCCCCAAAAGTGCCTCCTCTAGCAAAGCCCAGGCTTTGAGCCTTCCCTGGCCCCTGCACCTGAAACTCACTCTCCCAGCCTCACATTCGGATATCCTGGTTCCTGGGCCTCGCGGGGCTTTGTGAGAGTAGGGCGTGAAGGCTCCAGGTGGAATCTCTCCTTCCCTCTCTTCCCTCCTCCTCCACGGAACCCCCTCAGGGGACCTCTGAATCCTGTCACCTAGTGCTGGCACCTCGATCATGGCCAGGACCCCCCTCACAGTGAAACTGAAACCATCTGAGGTGAGCATCCTGAGCCAGCACCTCCAGCTCCTGGCCAAAAGGGGGCGCCCTCCTGCTTTATCAGCTCCCACACCAGCTGGGCTCCTCACAGAAGTCAACAGGACAGGTTGGCAGGACCTGCCCCTTTAGCCTGGAAGGGCAGGGTTGGTTCCCATGTGCCCGGTCCTGGCAACTTGCTGGGACTGTCATCCCTCGGGGGCCCCCAACTCTCAGCTCCGCTGATAGCCTGACCCCCTTGATGGCTCCTGCCCCAGCCGCCTGTGCAGGGTGAGAGGGGTTAAACGGCCCCACCCTGTGTCTCTCTGCACCTGCCACCAACACTGTGCCAGGACAGGGCTCCAGGGACTGGGGAGGGGGTTTGCTCACGTGTGGCTTCCCAGAAGCCAGAGCTGTGCCTCCAAGCTGTTTCCAGGCAGCCCTGGATAGCCCCACTCGCCCCACTCAGGTGCCATTTCTCTGGCCCGGGGCCAGGACAGTGCCACCCAGAGGCCACACGTGCTTCCCAGCGGCTCTTACCCTCAAGTCACAACTGAGGAGTCTTCCTAAAACCTTTACTGGACGGTGTCACTCTCCCCAGCACGCTTCCCCTCCCTCCCCCATCGCCAAGGCCTACTGCCAGCTCCCATCTCAAGTCCTACCACCCCAAACCCCACCCAGATGCCTCCTTCCAGCCACAGTGACAGACTTTCACTTCCCCAAAGCACTTCCGCAGCCCAGGCACCAAGTAGGTCTCCATGACCCGGTTCCCCTCGCCTCCTCCAGAGGCCCCTTGGCTCCCACCACCACCTCCTGGGCCTCCCCCATCACAGCTCCGATCCCTAGCCCACCCCACCATGCAGTTGGTTACCCAGGGCTCCCTTGCCAGAGGTAACACTGGCAGACAGAATAAGCCCAGAGAACGTGCCCAGGGAGCCTGGATGAACAGCAGGTGCTGACATCTGTAAAACACTCATGTGCTAGGCACAGAACCCTGGGCCCTGCTAACTTATTTCGTTCTCTCAACAGCCTGTGAGGCAGGAGCCACATCATCCCCACTTCACAGGGGAGGAAGCTGAGGTTTCGAGAGAGGCTCACAGGGGCCTGGCCTGGGGCCTGGGGCTGTATGATCCAAAGGCTGCCCCCAGGCCTGGCCACCCATTTGCTGTTTGCTACTGGGCTAGTCCCACCCACCAAGTCCCTGTGTCCTTGAACATAAATGGGGGAGAAATGCCAGCCCAGAGACACCTGGGATTGCAGGGCTCCAAAAAGGCCTCCGGGGGCCTCCCTGGTGGCACAAGGGGTTAAGCACCGCACTATGAAGCAATCCGCAGCCTCTGCAGCACGAGTTCCATCCCTGGCTGGTCAGAGAGAAACCCAAGTGGCGAAGCCGACCTCTCCTGTCTCGCCCGCTGCTCCCCTCAGCAGTGTATTTCACTCAGTCTGCCTGTTCTGTTCCCCACTCTGTCTCTGGTGAATCCTCTCACCCCCTGCATCTCTGGCCTGTACCCCAGTTCTTGTATGCGTAAATAAATAATAAATCTTAAAAAAAAAAAAAGGCCTCTGGGGAGAAACACGATTTCCCTTTGTGACAGCACCCTGCAGAGATGCCTCGATGCCACTTGGAGAGAGCACTCATGGGCCTCATCCTCAGGGCAAGAGCGCAGAGGGTTGAGGGAGCTTGCCCAAGGTCACACAGCCAGTTATTAGTGCTGGGCCATTTAAGAACTCAGGCTCAGGGGCTCCCTGGTGGCACGGGGGTTAGAGACTCAGCACTATCAAGCTAGCACCAGCCACTGCGGAATGAGTTTAGTCCCCGGCCAGGGGGCTGACCCACACAGTGCGGCAGACCTCTCCTACCTTGCCCGCTGCTCCCCTTGACAGTATATTTCAGTAGATCCTCCTGCTCTGCTCCCCACTCTGTCTCTGGTGAATCCTCTCACCCCCCCCAGCACCTCTAGCCTGCACCCCAGTTCTTATATGCATAAATAAATAAAATAAATCTTCAAAAAAAAAAAAGAACTCAGGCTCAGAATCTGTATTCACACCTGTATGGACTCTTCACCTGTAAAATGGGGTAATCACTCCTCCCTGGGAGACAGGCATCATGATGAGGAGCAGGGAGGGGCCCTGGGGACAGGCCAGACAGACAGAGGCCTCCACTGCCAAAGCAGGCAGACGCAAGAGAGGGGAGAAACCCCAACCTCAGCAACAACTAAGCTTACTCATGCCAGCTCTGATGGGAATTCCAATGCTTCCTCTTGTGTGACCCAAATTCCCCTTCCACACCCTCATGTGTAGCCCCTCCTCCAAGAAGCCTTCCTGGGCTGCATGAAATGCACCCTGCCCTCGTGCTTCAGCCCCACCCCAGCTTCAAGGTACCTGACTTCACCTCAGTCCAGGATTCTGGGAGCTCCCACAGGTAGAGCCAGGCCTGACCACCTCCCACTGCAGAGGTACAGGGATGGCCAGGAGGGAGAGTCCCTTCCAGTCCCTGGGTTCAAATGCTTCCTGTGGCACAAGGGCTGGAGGGGCACCTGGCTTGGAAGGATCAGATGCTGGGGGCTTGGGCCCAGAAGAGTACAGGAGGGAGCCGCTCCTTCAAGATTTAAAAGGCCACCAACACATTAACGAGACTGTGGCCAGAGGCCAAAGGACAGGCCTGGGAGGCTGTGCCCCTGAGTCCTGCCTCCCATGTCTCTGAGGGGTGCCTCCCCAGAGGCCGGGCCTCTGACCCACACTCCAGGCTTCTGCTCTCCAAGCCTGTGGGCCTTATGGGTGATCGGCCAGTCCCCACAGGAGACCTGAGCATTCCTGCTGCCACATTTTGGGTTGAGTGGGCCCCTCCCTTGGAGAACCCGCCCCCACACCCCTGCCATTTTTCACCTGCAAAACCCTGCCCAACTCAGCAGCTAGCTGACGTGGCTGCTTCTTTCAGAAAGCCTTTCCCAGTTTATTCCCACTGTTCCTTAGAACTCAGGGGTCCACCCCGGGCAGCCAAAGACTGGGGGCAGCCTGCAGAGCAGTGCAGTGGGCAGCACCCCAGCTGCTATGTGTCCTTGAGACAATCTCTTCCCTCTCTGGGAACATCTCCCCTTCGGTGGAGTGACCCCCTGACACCCTGGGGGACTGCAAGAGATGGGGGCCACAGACCTGCAGGTGTGGGGGGCCACAGACCTGCTGGGGTGAGGAGCCACAGCCACCCAGCTGGGCCTCCTATCTCCGTTATCAGAAAAGAAGGGAAACTGGCCTCTGGCATCTGGAGTTAAAAATCAAAGACAGAGGGGCCTCCCCTGGTGGCGCAGTGGTTAAGCGCTGGGTTGCGAAGCTGCCCACAGCCTCTGCAGCAGCCAGTTAGATCCCCTGCCCCTGGTGAGGGTCCCGCATGGCGCGCAGACATCCCCTGCCGCCCGCAGCTCCCCTCAGCAGTGTCCTTCGGTCCTTCTGCCTGCTCTGCTCCCCGCTCTGGCTCTGGTGAATTCTCTCGCCCTCCCGCGCTTCTGACTGTACCCAGTGCTCCTATAAATAAATCAATCTTTTTTTGAAAAAAATCCAAGACAGAGAATTTGGGGGTTGGGGGGCCCCTGAGAGCCCCCTGACAGTCCCCGAAGAGCCCTGAGCTGAGTGGGGGGCTTTCGGGGACGTGACTCCACAAAGGGACGCACCGCTGAAACCGCCAGCAGACTCGGAGGCTGGCAGCAGAGGCTCAGGTGTCCCTGACCGGGCCAGGGGCCTCTGCGCCTGCACCTGCTCCCTCCCCGGGAAAGGGCCGCTTGAGCCCGGCAGGGCCAGACGGCGCGCCCCCTCTCTGCGGCCCTGGGGTCCCCGTGGGCCCGCACCAGCCCTTGAGCCGCCGGGGACACTCACCGCGGGGCAGGCTCCGGCGTCGGGGTCGTCGGCGGAGAAGGAGTTGCTGTTCCGCAGCCGCGAGCGCCTCTTCTTGAGCAGGTCGGCGTCGCGCACGTGGGAGAAGCAGCCGTGCGCGCGCGGCGGGGGCACCGGCGCGGCCTCCCCGTTCGCCGACGGCCGCCGCAGTCTCACGCCGCCCCCGGAGCCCGGCGCCCCGTTCACCAGCCCCTCGGCCGGGGTCGCGGAGGCCTGGGCTCCGGGGGCCTCGGCGGGGGCCTCGGCGGGGCGTGCGTCCTGGGCGGCCTCGGGCGCGGGGTCCCTGGAGGGGGCCTCGGGGGCCGGCCCGTCCGCGCGGCTCGCGGCCTCCTTGGGCAGCTCGGGCTCCTCCGCCCGGTGCTCCCGCAGCCGCTGCGCCAGGTCGCCGGCGTCCAGGTCCTCGGCCAGGCCGGGCTGGGCGCTCGCCACGCGGTAGGTGCCGGCCGCGCCGCCGCCTTCCAGCTGCACCAGCTGCAGCTCCTGGCCGGTGCAGAAGGCGCGGATCTGGCACAGGTACGTCATGACGATGAGCTTGTCGGGCACGGACAGCAGCACCATGTCCGCCGGCTCCAGCAGCCGCGACACGCCCAGGGCCGCGAAGCCGTCGAAGGCCTAGGAACCCAGGGGCGCTGGGGTCAGCGGCGCGGCCGCCCCACCGGGCACCCCGGGGGGGGGTCCTGGGACTCGCACCCAGGGTCTGCCGACAACGCCTTCACCCTGTTTTGGGGGGGACGTCTAGCCGCAGGGCCCGCCCCCGCGTTACCTAGCAACCCCACACCTACGGGGGTTTTGGAAAATCTAAGGGAAAAAAGCTTAAAATATAACTGAACTATGTAAAATGAAAATTTTAATGAGCAAGAGTCCAAAGTGGCAGGATTTCAAAAGCCACTGCTGGGGTGCTGCCGCCCACAGATTCCTACAGACTGAAGGACGAACCCCAATCTGGGGCCAGTGGGGGGGCTGCAGAGATTTCCCTCCAGGGTGCTACCGTCTCACCTGCTTGTTGTTCTGCTTGATGTTGAGAGGGTTCAGGGAGGCGAAGTCACTGCAGAGAGAGCTCGGGTCAGGGGCTGCAGCCAGTGCCCTCTTTGCGCCACCCCCCACATTTCCCATGCCCACTAGTGCTCACATCTTCTCTGGGTAGAATCGGTGCAGGATGGCACAGAACGCCAGACCGTTTCGCCAGGATGTGGTGAAGTTGGTGACCCGGACGCCACGGTAGCCAGCGGTGACCTCCTGGCACCACTCCAGCAGGGACTGGCTGGAGCTGACCAGGGAAGCTGGCGCCTGGGGACACAGAGCTGGGCTCAGGGAATGGGCATGAGGGACCCGTGCCCTCTGCCCCTTGGGCACAAAACAGCCGAGCTGGGAGTCCGCAGGAGTCACCAGGACCATGGCCCAGAGCCTCTGGTCGCCTGCGCAAAAGGGTCTTCAGCTCCAGGGTTAACTACCGAGGTCACCTGCAAGGTCTGGCCCCCAGGCAAGGTCAAAAGTCACCAGCAGCCACACCTCAAGGTCAGCCCCGAAAATCAGCTGGGGGGTCCCCGCTCCATGCAGCGCAGGGAAGGCAGGGGTGGGGGGGGCATCCTGAGAGGCGTGGGGCTCCTGGTAGCTGAGCCCCTGCCCTGAGCACCAGGTGGGTCCATGCAGAGCCGCCGTCCGCCCAGCCCAGGTTAGTGGAAAGCAACAGGCTGGGTCCTCGGCGGCCCCCATCCCTACCTGGCTGCCCGGGAGCCTTCTGTCCTCTTCAGGCTCCTCTGGGGAAGAGGCCCCCGAGGGCCTGGGCACCCCAGCCCCTGACCCCTTGGTCGCCTGCGCCTCAATTCGGCTGGACTCTTGGAGGTTTCCCTCCACTGCTTTTCCCTTCTCGATTTCTGAGACAGCAGCCTCTGTTTTCTGGGCCTCAGAAATATCAGATTGGTTCTCTGGAGGCCCTAAGAGCTCTACCTCTGCTTGTTGGGCCCCCCAAATCCCAGATTTGGCCTCTGAACCCCCTAAAATACCAGCCTCTGCCTCCTGTACCTTCAAAACTGTAGTTTCCGCCTCTGTTTCTTGGGATCCTAAAACTCCATGCTTAGCGAAACCCCCATATTTGAGGGTCCCCCAGGGTTCAGACTCTGCTTTCTGGGCCCCCAAAGTCATAACCTTAAAGAGTGTAGTTTCTGTCTGCTGAGTCCCCAATCTCTCAGCCTCTGTGACTCCAACCTCCGGCTCGGAGACTCCCAGATCCCTCACCTTCGTCTCCTGGGCTCCTGCTGTCTCAGCTTCTATCCCTGGGGCCACTGAACCCTCAGCTGCTATCTTCTGGGTCCCCAATATCTCATTGTCTGCTGTCTCAAATCCTGGAACCCTGGAACCCGCTACCTGTGTTTCCTGGACGCCTGCTGCCTCAGATTTCATCCCTGCTGTCCTTGAACCCCTCCCCTCTGTCTTCTGGGTTCCTGATATCTCAGCCTCTCTCCCTGGCACCCCAGAACTGCCTACTTCTGTCTCCTGGACCCCCAGTATTTCAGATTCTGCTATCTTAGCTTCTCCCCTCAGTATCCCTGAGTCCCCAGATATCACCCGGGGCCCAGATATCTCACTCACTGCCATCCTAGTCTCTGTCCCCAGAACTCCTGAGCCCCCAGCCTCTGTTTTCAGGGTCCTCAGTCCCTCAGACTCTGCTATCCCAGCACCCTCTGACCCCAGGAGCCCTGACCTTTCTGCCTGTGTCTTCTGGGCCCTCAGTATCTCAGCTTCTGCTGTCCTAGTCTCTATCTCTGGGAACATCAGCACTTCTGTCTCCTGGGCCACCAATACCTCTGCCTCCACAGTCTCTGTTCCCAGGAGCTTCAAATCCCCAGTTCCTACCCCCCAAATTCCCAGACCACTAGATATTGCCCCCTGGCCAACTGCTGAGGGCGGCCCCTGAGACCTGCTCACCTGGGGCCCGGCATCTGCTTCTCCAACAGAGGGGACCTGCTCCAGGCCTGTCCCCCCGATACCAGGGGCTCTGCCCCTCACCTCTGCACTCTCTCCCTCCTGGCCTGCAGCAGCCCTGGTCCCTTTGATGTCACCAAGATGCCCAGAGTGCCCTGCAGGCTCTGCTGGGGGTGGGCCCAGGATTATGGGAGCCCCGTCCCTGGTCCTGACCCCCATCTTTCCCTGAGAGCCCCTTGGACCCCTTGGAGGAGCCTCAGGAATCCCCTTGGCTCTTGCTTCACATGTTACCCCTGGAGCCGCTGGCCCCTTAGTGCCCACAGGTCTCACCTTTGAGCTCTGCTCGGCACCCTTTAGGCTAACTTCTGAATTCTGTTCAGCGCCCCCAGCTCTGACCTCCGGACACTCAGTGCACCCCTCCCTGACCTCTGGCCCATGCTCAGCGTCTACTCCACTAAGCTCCGGTCTGTCCCCCGTGTCTCCCTCCTCAGCCTTGGGTGTCTGCTCCCCCTGAAAGTCTCTGGAGCCTCGGTCCTCAGCGCCTGGGCTCTGCCCTGCTCCGTGGGTCTCGGTTCCTTCCTGAGGGCTTGCCCGGTCCTGGGTCGCCTTAGTAGGACCCGCTGTTGCAGCGGGAGCCCCTGAGGTTTCTGCAGCCTCGTGTTTCCCTTGGGGGGCTGGGAGCCCGGGGGCATCAGAGCCTTTCCGGAGCCGGGGGGCCGGGGTGGGGGCCACATCCTGACCCAGCTGTCTTGAAGACCTGAGGAAAGACCAAGAGGAGGTGTTGCGGGGGCTCATTTGCTCCCCACTCCCAGCCGTGTCCCCACCCTTCTGACTGTGGGCTGGGGCACCGGAAAGGCAACTTTCCAGTAGGGACCGGGGTTGGGGCGGCTCCCAGAGCTTACCTTGTCTCCGGTGGGGTTCCTGGGGGCCTGGGGGCCTGAGGCCCCACCTGGCCCCCCGCTACAGTAGCTGGCTCTGACCCTTGGCCCCGGGAGGCCCTGGCTGGCAGCGCTGGGGCACTCACAGAGGCTGGGCTGGTCTCCTCAGCACTAGAAGGGCTGGCAGCTGGGGTGCAGGCAAAGCAGGGAGGGGGCACTGAGGGCTGGGCCCTGTGACTTGAGGTCCAGTGCCCACCACCAACCACCGCCTGGGCCTTACCTGCCTGCCAGGGCCTTGCTCGACCCTCCTCCTCCTCCTCGCAAAGTGTCTGCAGTTCCCGAGAGGGATCTGGAGTAGGTGATGGGGAAGGGGTGGGGGGCAGCGTCAGCCCAGGGCAGACCCTGCAGATCCGACACGCCCGCCACTAGAGTCTGGATCTACCTGGGTCTACCTGAGTCTACCTAAACACCCCGGCCTCAGGGCACCACCCCTGCCTTCAAGAAGAGACAGGCTCAAGATGGAGAGAGAGAGAGAGAACCAGGAGGACAGGGAAAAGCCTTAACCAGCCATGGGAGGGACGAGGAATCCAGTGACCAGGCGTGGGGGGTGGGGGAGCTGGGGCTGCAGCCCCACTCTGTGCTTCTGGTCCAACTGTCCCAGGCGGATGCAGTCATGGAGAGGCCTGGGAACCCGGCCTGCAGGACTGGGTTGAGCAGTTGGGATGCCCTGGGGTGCCCGGGGCAAGCCTGGGCGGTCAGAGTGGCCACGCAGGTGCGGACTCCTGGGGCGGGAGCTCCCCTCATGGGCGCGCGGCTGCTGACACTGCCCCAACCGGCTGTGGCTGTGGCACCGTTATCCCCCCTCCTGCTCTCAATCCACGGCAGGCTGGCAGCCCACCTGGCTGGGGCACACGAGCCCGGGCGTCAGGGGCCCCCGCGCCATTAGCCTCCTCCTCGTCACTCTCGGCAAAGTCGTCCAAGTTGCCCACGTCGCTGGGCTTCACGCTCATGAGGCTGGCCAGGCTCTGCATGTCGTCGTCCCTGCGGGCAGCGGGCAGGTGAGGCTGGGGTCACAGCTCTCAGGCAAGGGCCAAGGAGGGCAGGTGGGCACTCACGTGGCACGGCCCTCCCGCAGCAGCACCCCCGAGAGCGTGAGGCTCAGCTCGGCGTGCACCACCTTCACCGACTTGGGTTTCAGCCGCAGCCGCAGCGGGACTTGGGCAGGCACGGGCCCCGCGTGGCGGGCCAGGTCCACGTCCACCGTGGCCAGCACCTTCCGCTGACCCTTGGACTCCTGGGGGCCAGGAAGGAGCATCAGTGCTGTTCCTCCTCGGCCCCCAAGACGCGAGGCCACAGCCCACCCTAGGCACTCACATTCTCGATGATAAACGTCCACTCTTTAGCCTCGTACCGGTCCACGTGGGGGTCCTGGGGAGAGGGCGCACAGGGCCGCTGGGTGGGGGCAGCGCAGGGAGAAGGGCCTGCCTCGGGAAGTGCTGGGTGGGGACTGGCCCGCCCAGCTCCTCCAGATTGCAGCTGTCTCTAGATGACATGTGGTGGGTAAGTGCTACCTCCTCCAGGCAGACCTCCCGGGGCGCTCACTCCGAGAAGCCCCGCACCGACTGCCATGCTCGGTCTTGGGCCTTGGTTCTTGCCTGCTTGGAGGGAGAGCTCGCCAGGGCGCGATCACCAAAGACTCACCCTGTAGAGGGTCACGGAGATGTCCACGTTCTCAGGGACCATCCACACCACGCTGCCCCGGTATGGGTTCTGGATGCCCGGCTGCCAGCTGTGGGCCTACAACGGCAGTGTGAGTGTTCACCAGATCGTAACTCCCCCTGCTCCCCAGGCCTCGTCTCCAACCTTGACCCCGTCCAGCCCCCCCTTCTGTGGGTTCTGATCTGAACCGAGCCTCCACTCCTCCACCACCCACCAACCTCAAACGTCCCACGAGTCCCCCTAAAACCCGGACCCCTGCTGACGTCCTCTCCCACCTTGGAGCAGATTCTCCGGTTCCGCCGTGTCCACACCACCACCAGCTTATCTGGTTGCCTGGGGGGCGCGAGGGCAGACAGGGGCTATTCAGCGAGGCACTGAACCTCCCCATCTCTCTCAGGGCCCCCCTCCCCCCAAAGAGGCTGGCCATCCCTTATCTGGGGCCCAAGTGGAGTAGGGTGGGGCAGAGGCAGGGTGGGGACAGGGGCAGAGGGCAAAGGCCCAGACCGCACGGGCTGTGAGGACGGGAGAGGCAGCCGGTGCAGAGGCAGCCGCCCCGGAGACACAGACACAGCGAGGGCCCAGCGAGACACCGACTCGGAGGCAGGGAGAGAAGCAGCCCCGGGTCGGGAGTGTGTTGGGGTGCACAGCACACGCCCCGCTGGGAGGGGCAGAGCAGAGCAAAGGAGAGGAGTGACCTGCTGGGGCTGAGGACCAGGGGGAGAAGGAAAGAAATGAACAGCTGACCACAGAGGTCAGGAGTGAGCCGCTGGGCCGCCCTGAGGTCGGGGGTCTGAGCAGAGGCGGTCAGAGAGGGATGGGCCAGGCGAGGCCCCGGGGAGGAGGCCTCCAGGGAGACCAGGTGGCAGTGCAAGGGCGTGAGGCCTGAGGTGTGGGTCAGAGTTGGGGGGCGGGTAGAGCGGCGCAGGACCAGCTCGTGATTAGGACCCTCCCTGCCCAACCCTTTGCCGAGCCCAGGGGCCCAGCGGGTCAGCCATGCTTCCAACCTCTCACACCCAGAACCCTGGACCCGAATTCTGCAGGGCCCACAAGACTTCCAGAAGGTGCCCTCTAAGTTGAACTGCATATGCCAGGGCAGACTCGGAGGAGACAGTGAGAGCACAGAGGGCACAGTCCAGCACGCAGGCGGGCACACGGCTGGGCCTGGGGGAGAGGGGCCCTTTGCTGAGAGGGGCCAACTGCCAGGAGGTGGGGCACGGTTGAGGGGGGCCACCAGGCCAAGGGTAGCACAAGGGCCCTCTTGCCTGCATCCACTCAGTTCCAGGACACTGGGGCTCAGCGGGCTCACTGCTGGGGGTGGAGCAGGGCTCAGCGGTCTCCTATTCACCCCAGAGGATGCCACGGCCCAGAGATGCTGGAGCCTGGGAAGGCCACACAGCTGAGCTCGAGCCCCTGGCCCAGCGCCAGGCCATCCTCCCTGGCCCCAAACTGCAGGCAGTGGCCGAGCAAGGGCGGCCTTCCCAGAAAAGGGAAACCAACCAGGGTGCCTACGGAGGGTGGGGCCTGGCCGGGCAGTCTGACTCAAGCTGTGCACGCCCGCCTGCGGAGCTGCGACCTGGGCCAGGCAGCGTCCTAACCTGGGCTCCGGGAGGCCCTGCCTACCCCCTGTGACTCAGACGCATGGCCACTGCCCTCACCCTCGGCATGCCTTCCGAGGCCAAGCCTGGTGTCCCTCTGGCCTCACCCTGATACTGGGGCAGAAGGCAAAAGGCAGAAGCCAGAGTTCAAGTCCCAGCCCCAAGCCTTGTGACCAGGCCGACCCAGGCCCAGTCCCCGGCTGATCCTGTCAACACCAGGCTAAGGCAGTCGCCCAGGGGACCCCAGCCCCTGCTCCTTCCCTCCCCTTGAGCACCATGGTCCCTTCCTGCCAGGGCAGCCCTTCCCCTTGGGAGCCTAAATTTAGCCCCGCCTGGCCAATGAGGCCCCCACAGCTGTGCCCTAATCCAGCCAAGGGAAGCTGACACCAGCCAGCGTATATTTAGGGTGTGACGCAGGGGCTCGGGCAGCTACGGGGGGGGGGGGGGGGGCTGAGAACAAGATGCCCCTGGGCCCTTCAGCAGTCCGGACTGTCCCACACCCCCTCACGTATCTCTCCTGCTCTTCCACCTGGCGTTCCCCAGGCCCTCGCCTCCCGGCCCCCACAGCCTCTGAGGCCCTCCAGGCCCCCAAACTCCCGCCTCCCTCCTCATCCCTCTCAGTGCTCAGTTTCCCCTTTTAAGGACATGGTGGAGCAGCTTCAACCTCCAAGGGCCCACTCCAGCTGACCAGCGGGCAGGGGAGGTGGGGGCAGCTGGACTAAGTTCCATGGAAGTTGCTGCCCCAGCCCCTACGCCAGGGACCTTAAAACTTGCTCCCTTTTCCCACAGCACCCTGCGCCATCCCTCTGGCCCCAACCACCGGGAGCTGAGTGTAGCTGATTCTCAGGCACAGATGGACTCTCAGGCCTGGAAGTCTTGACTCCTTCACCCCGAAAGCTGCCCACACCTCCCAACTCTGCGGGCCCCACAGGCTGCAAGGGCACTTTTGAATCTCATGGCTGGGACACCAGGGCCCAAGGCAGGGTGGGGACCCTTCTGGGCAGTGGGCTGGAGGCAGGATTCTCTCAAGGCTCCAAAGCTGGAATCCCAGAAATCTGGGGAGCCCCCGCGCGTCCCGTGCCACTCACCATTTCTTGGTGCACTCCACCACCAGCTCGTGGTAACAGGCCACAAACTGGAACTTGGCGGCCCGCTTGCCCACGCGCTGCAGGCGCTTCCACACGGAGGTCATGGCCCCGCCAGGCCCGCCACCCGCTGCTCAGACCCGGGGCTCCCGCTGGCCCGCGACCGCCGGCCCGACCCGGGCGCCCATGGCCTCCGGGGCTCCCGTCCGCGCCGCCCGCCCCGTCCGGGCGGAGGTGTCCGAGGCCTGGATCCGGGGCCGCCGAGGCCCGCCGGGTGGCCAGGCGGAGTCGCGGGGTCGTCTGGGGCGCGCCGGGTCGCGGAGCGCCGAGCGGCGAGCGCGCCGTTTCCTGGAGCCGCACCCCCCGTCGGAAGGCGGGCGGGGCTCCGCGGGGCGGGGGCCGGGCGCGGGCGCGGGCGGGGGCGGGGCGGGGCGCCCGGGCTTCCGGGGCCTCGCGCCACCGCGGGCTGGGGCTGGGGCTGGGGCTGGGGGCGGGGGTGCCGGGGCCGCGGCGCCGGCCGTGTGGGGGGCCGGGGCTGGGGAGCCCCGCAACTCGGTGCCGCCCTCTCGGCCGCCGCGCGGCGCCTCCCTTCCTGCCCGGCCCTGGGGGTGAGTCGTGGCGGCCGCGCTGCGCCGGCCGGGGACAGCGACCCAGAAGGCGAGGGGCTGGCGCAGGGTCGCCCCGCGAGTCTGGCCACGGAGCCGGCCTGGCACCCGCGACGGGGCGACGCCTGCCGACACCGACGCCCTCGGAAGCGGGAAGCCGCAGCGCAGAGACCCGCGGGGGCGCCTCCGAGGGGGCCCCCCTTGGCCGGTCTCCGCTGCGGACTCCTCGGCTGTCCAGGGACGACGGCCAAGCGTCCGCCGGCTGCCTGCGGCGGGCCGTGACCCTGGGCCGAGCACTGACTCTGACGCTTCTGCCTGTGAAACCGGGGCGACTGCGAGGATGCACCGGAGCGGGGCCCAGGCCCCGGGTCTCCTGCCGCGGAGCCCGTTATCGCGACGCAGAGTGTTTGCTCCGCTCCCCGGGAAGCCTGGCCCGGGGCGTGAGCCGCGCTGTTCACACCCAGATTAGCGCCCTTATCGCGGAGCCGCCGGCCCGCCCCGCGGAGGCGCAGCAGGTGTCGCCGGGGAGACCCGCCCGGGCACGCGCCGCGCGTCCCCCCGCGGGCGCCGGTCGGGTTTGCGAACGGGCCGAAGTGGGCGCGGACAGGTCCTCGGCCCGAGCAGGGCATCTGACCGGGCAGGGGCGCCGGCTGAGCCGTCTCCAGGGGGCCGAGGGCGGGGGCCGAGCAGCCGGAGCCTGTGTGTCGCCTCAGCCCCCCCCCCCGCCGAAGCTGTGGCGGCGCCGCCCGCTGCGCCAGGCCCGAGCACGGCGCCCCCGGTGCGCAGGCCTCTCCCCTGGGCCCGCGCTGCGGCCCTTCCACTCGCGGCCCTCGAGGTGCAGCGCTGCGGGGCCCGGCCATCGGCATGAGACTTAAGTGCGTTTGGGGGTGTCTGGGGCCCCCGGCGCCCCTCACCGCCGCCGCAGCGCCGCGCAGAGAGCTCCGCACCCCTCTCCGGGGCCGAGCCGAGCCCTGGGGAGGCCGGGGCGCGGGAACTTCACCCCGCCCGCCTCTGGGGCTTCTTCCCCACCCGCAGGCCCTCGCGGGATCCCGGGCCTTCCTGGAGGCGCCTCCCCCTCCCCGCCGAGGGGCCCCTCGGCCCGCCGGCTCCGGCCCACCCATTTCCTGCGCCGCCCCAACTCCACCCCCACTCGGGGTGGAAAGTTTCTCTTCTCAAGATGGGCGGCTCCTTCCTCCCCCGCAGGCCAGGAAAGCCCTAGGCGAGGGGGGTAGGTTGGGCTCCCAGGCCTCGGGCCAGAGAGGGGAAGTGACTCGGCCGCAGTCACCCCTCCGCGCGCTCAGGGCCGGCGGCCGGAGGACTCGCGCCCCGCCGCCGCCAAGCCCGTCTCCACTCGGGGGCCTCGGGCGCCACCTGCCGGCGAAGCGCGGGGCCGCACTTGCCCGAGACCCGCTAGCTTCCCGCCAGGAGCCAGGCAGTCGGAACACAGGATCGCTGAGAGCGTTTATTCATCTAGCGCCCGGGGGCCGCCCCTACACTTAAATATCCAGCACGGACCCTCCCGGCCGTGGGTGGGCGCAGGAATGGGTTCTGGAGCCCTGGTCTAGGCAGTGGGCACCAGGGACCGGAGGTGGGATGCCCCTGAGCCAGCAGCTGCCAAGAGCAGCAAAAGGTTGAAAGGGAGTCGGGAGCCGGACACTCGTCCCAAGTCGAGAAGCCACGGAGGCGAGATGCGTGGGGCCCACCACCAGACTGAAGGGTGGCCACATCGGGGCACACAGGTGTGGGAGCAGTACCACGGGCAGAGGCTGTGTAGCTGAGGTGCCCACCTCAGTGCCAGCTAACCCAGATTAGGAGGATTGGCAGTTTTGCCTCTGGGGTCTCGGGCCTTGCCGCCTATGAAGGGAGCTGCTGTGAGGAAAAGCAGGCACTACCATCTGAGCACTTGCTGAGGGTTGAGATTCTGAGCCTGCTGCGGGCATGCACGTCCCCTGCCTCCCTGACACTTCAGAGGCTAATCTGGAAGGCATCCTGCAGCCACTGGTCGCGGGCATTGTGCGTCTGAGGCACAGTGAGGGGTGGCGGGTCTGGGGGCAGGCTGGCATCGGGAGGCTCCTCGTCATCGGACAGGCCGGCATCAGGTGGGTAGGAGCTGTCTGAGTGCAGGGAGGAGGACAGGTCCTGGCACAGGCTCAGGTCTTGGCACAGGTGCTTGTAGTCCTGGATTGACTCGTACAGGCCCCACAGCTGGCAGAGCAGGGACATGTCCAACTGCCGCAGCCCCACCTGCAAAAGACTGAGGGTGGGCTGGGGTTGGGGTCGAGGTCACCCCCTGGCCTGGCCCATATTCCATCTTCCCACACCTTCCTTAGCACAGTTTTCGTGGACATCAGATCCCCCCAAACGGTAACTCTTTAGGCAAAGTGACGGGCCCGCCTCTGCACAACGGGGACGGCGTTCAGCTAGCAGGGGAGCGTGAAACGGTAGGAACGAAGCCGTTGAAACGGCACGGCAGCTACTGGCGTGAGCAGAAACCCGCCTCTGCGGGTGCGGCGAGCCCCAGGCCAGCAGCCGCGGGCCAGGGCCCCCGAGCTCCGCGACAGCGCCCTCCCCCGCGCGGCCGCCCGGCGACTCACCATCTCTTTGCGCAGCGCCGCTAGCGCCGAGTCGAGGTTGACAGGGCGGCGCGGGCCGGGGGCTCCGGCGGCGGGGCCCGCGGTGGCGGCGCCGGCGGCGTGGCGGGGCCCGTCCGGGGCGCGGGCGGCGCGGCTCAGCTCGTCGTGGATGCGGCTGCGCTGGCTGTAGACGCGCTCCAGCTCCCGCCACGAGCCCCCGCTGGCGTTGAGCAGCCCGCTGAGGCCGCGCGGCAGCGGCGGAAGCCCGGCCAGGGCGCAGCCCGCGCCGCCCGGCGCCTCTGCGACGGGCAGCCCATTCATGGCCCGGCCGGCGCGGACCGCGATGCCGCCTCGTCCCCTCCGACTCGCCGCCGGGGCCGCCGCCCGCAGGCCCCGCAGGCCCCGCCGGCCGAGCCCAGCCGCCGCCCGCAGGCCGCGCTTTGTTCCTTCCCGACTCCGCCGACTCCGCCCCTGCCCGCCCCGGGTGGGCGGGGCCTCTCTTAAAAGGGCAATGGCTTTGGGGCCGCACAGCGCCACAACCCGAGGGCCGGGGAGGGGTTGAGGCCACAAAATGGGATGGAGGGAAGAGCCCCAGAGCGCGGGAGCGATCCCGTCATAGCTCCTTTTGCTCCTTCCCCGCTATTTAGTTACTCTGCCCAATAACTCCCAAGGAAAGGGACAGAAAAGGAACAGGACACTTTAGGGCCATACTTGGTTCCTAAGGTCCAAGTTGACAACCTGTCAGTGTCTGAGTGCCTGGGAGAGGCATGGGGTGGGGCAGGGTGATGGCACAGGATGGATGGATGCTCTGAGGAAGGAGAAGCTATCAAGGGACCTGGAACCCGGAATCCCACTTAAGGGTGGGGAATGAGAACTGAGTGGCTGAGGGATTGCAGGGTCCATCTCCAAGCCCTCTTCCCCAGCCCCCTCCTGATCCTCTGCTCTGGGGAAACAGCAGAAACAAGCTCAAGTCATCCCTCAGGGCATCAAAGAGAGCTGACAGGGGTTGGGTGCGAGGCCAAAAGCAGGGAAAAGGAGAGGCAAGTGGAGCTGGAGCCGACATGCACTCCCAGAAGCAAGAAAAGAACAAACCATACAAGAGGAACAGCTGTTTTTCTGGAGGTTTTTCTCAGGAGGGATTTTTTAGTGTTGCAGCTGCCGTAGGCTGCGCAGGGCCTCAGCACAAGCCCGGATGAGGCTACACAGCTGGATACTAGTCTCCAGGGAGGTGCTAGCGCCTAACTCTGCTGAAGCCCAGGTCAATTTCTGCAGGAGGGCCTCCTGTGTGGAGGCCACAACATCTGCATTTGGAGGCACAGCAGGAGGGGGTGGTCCCTGGGCTGCCTTGAGCCCTGCTGCAGCTCCCTCACAATGCTCTGGGCGGGGGACAGGGGGCTGAGGAGTGGGTCGAGAGCCCAAGGGGAGCTCCGAGGCAGAGGCGAGCTGGTGCTCCCGAGCTTGAGAGAGGGCAGCCTGGGCATTCAGAGCTAAAAGAGGAGAAAGTAGGTAGAATGGTCAGATGCCTGCCCACCAAAACCCTGAGTCACTTCCTTAACCGTTCCTGTGATTGAGATGTTTCCCTTGACCCTCTATAAGACCATTTTCTTCTTTGTATCAAGAGTTATTTATGCTTTTGCTTCATCTCCCCCATCAGGACTAATCCTGATTTGAGCTTGAACTCTCCCATTGGGAATGGCACACAGAAAACGTTTGGTGCTCTCACTGAATTAATGGCCCTCTCCAGAGCTGACAGAGAAAGCGCCCTGTCCCCCGCCCCACCCACTGTATCAACACGCTTCTCCACCAACCACGCTCGGCCCCTCACCCGGATTATCTTTATCCACGTCTGAGTCGAGCTCCTGACAAGCCACGCAGTAGATTTTCCGTTGCTTGTCTTGGAGGAGGATCGTCTAGGAGCCAGAAAGCACCGGGGCAGGGGTGAGACGACGGGCCGTGGGGTACAGAGGGGAAAGCTGGGGAGGGGCCGTGCGGCCGGATCCTCGGCCCCCTCGCGCATCCCACGTCCCGAGTGTGTCCTCACCCCGCAGTCCGCGCACGTCTCGCCCAGCATGCGGTAACCACGCAGCAGGTAGTCACCCATGAGCCGGGAGATGCGATCCTGCCGCTCCCGTCGCGCTTGCAGCACCTTCGTCTCCGCCTCGGTCGGAGGCTCCCAGGAGAAATCGTCGACTTCTGGGGGGAGAGAGGCACAAGGGGCCGGGGGGTCTCGCCCCAGCGGGTTGCCTCCCGTACCCCGCAGCAATAGGCCCGCGCAGCCCAAGCCCTCACCGGCGCCGTTTAGGGCCATGTTGCCGTTCTCCCGACAGACTCACCGGAAGTGACGCTCAAGCAGCGCGCCCGCCGCTCGGGCCCGCCCCTTCCCTGAGGGGCCTAAGGTGAGGGCGGAAATGACGCACCGGTGCTGCTCCGACGCCGCGCTGCCCGGAGTGGGGCGTGCCGGCCGCACTCTGGACCCGGCCCAGGGGGCGCTCCCCTAGGCGGGAGCCGAGAAAACAAAAACTTTTCTATCGGCGTGGCCTCGGCAGGGGCGTCTCCATGGTGACTACGCTCGGAACCCGGAAGTGGCGGTGCCGGGTCGCCCTTCCTGCCCGCCGCGGACCTAGGGGACTCCCAGGCGTGTCAAGTCCCCACCGGCCTCCGCCTCCCCGGGCTCTCCCTGTCCGCGTGGGCCTAGCTGGGGTCGGCGGGGCAGTGGCGTCATCGCAATAACAAGCCTCTCGTGATAACAAACGGCCCCTTGAGCGCGTGGCGCCCTTCAGGCCTCTGCTTCTCGTGGCTGGGCGACGCACGCCGGCCCGGGTCGCAACCGCCTGCTAAACCGTTCAGGGCTCGCCTGTTTCAAGGCTCGCCCCTTTGCTGCAGGATCGGTGCCCCCTCCCTCTGCTCGCCCCTCCCTCTGCTCGCCCCTCCCTCAGTTCACCCCCTCCCTCAAGGCCTGAGACGGATGCAAAGTAAACGCCTAAGCAGACTCCTGTGTTGTCGAAATTTGAGCCCTCCCAAAGCCTGCCGACTGGCGCGGGGGTGAGGGGCGGTGGGTGGAGAACGAGGGGTGCTGGGCCAGCACAGTTCCGGTTGTAGCTGCCCCGGAGCGATGCCTGCTGGAGGGTGGGGGTGAGCGACTTACCACGTCTGTGCCCGCGACCCTCACGCCTTCCTTAGGTAGGTTGCTGTTAAAATTACTACTGCTCGGTGACTAAAATTATTTGGCCGTGGTTACTTTTGTTTTCCCTCTCCCGTGTTCTTCCATATGCAGCCGCTCCCGTTTTAGGTTTGGAGAAGCAGGTGGTGCAGGCAGCATTCCCCAGATATGAAGCCTGCCAGTGCCTCGAGGCCCACGAGGGGCCTGGAGAAGGAGCTGGGACTAGACTCCCTAATCTCATCGGCAGCCTTCTTGGACTAGACAGCACCTGCTTTTACAATCTTACCTGGAGATTGAGTGCCCTACTGGCTCCGTCTTCCTACACAAACTCCCTGGGGCTGCCATTTTCTGACTCTGGCTGCCTCCTGCTTACTTAGAGGCAGGGCTTACACCCCTCTCAATCTCTCCAGCTACCAGCAGTCTCTTGGACTCAGTATGCCTGTCCCAGGGCCTGATTCCAGGACAGTGCTGCCAGGTGACTAGGTGAGCGACCCCTGGGCTGTCTCTTGGACTCCAGAACCTCCCGGTCATTAATGTCTTCAGTTCTCACCCCCACCCACCACCCTCTGCTGTCATCATGGCCAGGATCCACTCAATGGTCTGTTTTGCCTGGCACTGACTAAGACCTCACACAGACATCCTCCCACTTAATTCCTTCCGTTTCTTCCTCATGACAACCTTACGGAGGAGGTACTACTGCTATCCCCATTTTACAGAGCAGGAAAATGAGTAATTGCTTTAAAACATGAGTCAGGGCCTCCCGGTGGTGCAGGGGTTAGAGTCTCAGCGCTGTCAAGCTATCCCCAGCCATTGCAGCTAGTTTGATTCCCGGCCAGGGAGCTGACCCACATGGTGCAGCAGACCTCTCCTGTCTCCCCGCTGCTCCCTGCAGCAGTGTACTTCTGTAGATCCACCTGTTCTGCTCCCCACTCTGTGTCTGGTGAATCCTCTCATCCCCCGAACCTCTGGTCTACACCCCAGTTCTTGTATGCATAAATAAATAAATAAATATCTTTAAAAAATAAATAAAACATGGGTCAGATCTTGTCATTCTTTTGCTTAAACTCTGAGGCATCTCATCACATTTGGACAAAAAGCCAAAGTTCTTACTCCTGTCTCTAAGGTCCTACAAACATGACCCCCTCACCTCCTTTCACTCTGCTTACATTCTTCCTCTCTCACACTATTCAAGGGGATCCCCCTCACTTTTCTCCCCTCAGGGCCCCTCCTCAAGTTCCTCAGGAGAGTGGACAAGGCCCAGGCCCAAAGTCAGTGACCCCTGGGCCTGATCCTGGGCCTGTTGCTCACTGACAATGTCCCCTGGGGTAATTTACTCCATCTGTCTAGATTCCAGTTCCTCTCATCTGTAAAATAGTGCCAGAAGAGAGAGAGATTAAGAGACAGTTCTCTACCAGTCTCATGTTTATGCAGGTCTAGTGAGCAGAATCATTACCTTTGTCTGGACTATCTTCTCCAGGATGTGTTATAGTGAACAGTCTTGGATGACAGAGATAATGGCTCCCTCTAGTGCAAAGGGCAGGTATACACACTGCCCTTTAAAAAATACCTGGGTACCGTAAGGTTAGCGTTCCTCCTCTGTAGCACAGTTTCCCATGTGTGTCGATACCCATGGGAGTTCATCCGCATTGACTGCATGAGGCTTGAGGGTAAAGGAGTGTGACACAAATGTGCCCACATGCATAAACCTCGCTGTGCTGTGAGTGATAATCCTTTGTCTCTGACGCAGAAATCTCATGTCTTCTGCCTACATCCATGAAATTGTGTCACTCTAACTCGTTTATTTGAAAGTATGGTAAAATCAGAGGCCTTTCACTGTTTTTTTTTTTTTTTAATTTTTGTTTATTTTATTTATTGCATAGAAGAACTGGGGTATAGGCCAGAGGTGTGGGGTGGGGGTAAAAGGATTCACCAGAGACAGAGTTGGGAGCAGAACAGGCAGATCTACTGAAATCCAATGCTGAGGGGAGCAGCAGGGGGGCCAGGAGAGGTCTGCTGCGCCATGTGGGTCACCTCCCTGGCCGGGGATGGAACTCAGGTTGTAGCAATGACAGCGCTGAGACTTAACCCCTAGGCCACCAAGGAGGCCCCTTTCACGCTTCTTAGCTCTTTGACAATGAGGACAAAATGCTGATAGAAGCATGGTTTTCTGTAAGAGAAGGGATGAGGATCTCATGAGTTGATTAACAGGTTTTGGGGACAGAAAGACAAAAACCCAACAACCCAAGTTTTAAGGGAAGGCTAGGTGATTAGCAGTACATCTGTTGACCAATCTGTATAATCAGCCAAGGAACAGATGATCTTCCACTTTATTTCCTGAATGCCAGGAAGCAGGTTCAAAGTCAGGTGCCAGACATTGTCCTGGTTATTGCTAACTCTCCTCTGGGTGGGGCTGGGACAGAGGGGTAGCTCCTCACCGTCCAGTGGTCAGTCTCAGGTCTGCCCCATTGTAAAAACCAGCACTAAGAGGCATCATGGGAGTACAGAAACTTCCACCCGCTTTCGGACAGCATTTACTGCTATGCACACACACACACACTAAACGTGAACGAGGGGAATTTGCTACTGCTACGGAGAAAGACACACGAATCAGAACTTTGGCTGGGTCTCTTAGGAGAGGAGGGCTGTCACCACTGTGACCTGAGTTCCATCCCTGGCCAGGGAGCTGACCCACGTGGCGCGGCAGACCTCTCCTGTCTCGCCTGCTGCTCCCCTCAGCAGTGTGTTTCAGTTAAACCTCATAAAATAAAATCAACAAAAATTAAAAAAAGAACTGTGGTTGGAATTAGTTTGTTTTTTTTTTTAAAGATTTATTTATTTATACATACAAGAACTGGGGTGTAGACTAGAGGTGTGGGGGTGAGAGGATTCACCAGAGACAGAGCGGGGAGCAGAACAGGCAGACTGACTGAAATCCACTGCTGAGGGGAGTAGCGGGGAGGCAGGAGGGGTCTGCTGCGCCATGTGGGTTGCTCCCTGGCCAGCCGGGGATCCAATTTGTTGAGCAGTGGCTGCGGACAGCTTGATAGCGCTGTGTCTTTAACCCCTGCACCACCAAGGAGGCCTTGGAATTAGTTTTTTATAAATGGCTCTGGCAGCAGGTGGAGGAGAAGGCTTAGTGCCAACGGCAGACAGATTACGTGGCTGCACCACATAGTGGTGATGCTCAGAAACATAATACACGTTGTTGTATTTCCACAATAACAGGCATGAGGAGGGGCAGGCTTTTTGCTGGTTTTTCACTGTGGTGTGAATTGACCTTACATGTCTGTGAACAGGAGCGAGCTAGCTGATACAGTAATAAAGACGACACAGTGGGCCCTTGAACAATGGTGCAGGCTCACACATATGTGGATTTTTTAAAAATCAACACAGCTGGCCTCTATATGCAGGGGTTCCACATTCCTGGGTTCAACCGGAGGATTCAGAACCCAAGGATGTGGATGACCGCCCCAAAGGACTGGAGCATCTTCGGATTTTCAGATCTGAGGAGGTCCTCAAACCAGTCCCCTGCAGACACCAAGGGACAGCTGCACTCATGTTTGGGAGTACTCAAAAGTTATACGGGACATGTGAGAGTGGCACTTCTAGCCCCTGCGCTGTTCAAGGTCAACTGTAGTCAACTTTTGGTGTATGTTGTCTTTGGATCAGACACCATGCTAATAACATTTTTTTTTGGCTTCAATTCTTTCAATTTTCTTTTATTCAAAAAATTTATATATACACACACACACACACACATACATATATATATATATATATATATATATATATATATAGTCCATTGCAATTTTCTTTCTCTTTTTTCCTCTGGGCTGTTTATCTATTTATTTATTTATTTATTTATTTGAAGATTTATTTATTTATTTATACACGCACTGGGTACAGTCGAAAGCACGGGAGGGTAAGAGAATTCACCAGAGCCAGAGCGGGGAGCAGAGCAGGCAGAAAGACCGAAGTACACTGCTGAGGGGAGCAGCGGGCAGCAGGAGAGGTCTGCGCGCCATGTGGGACCCTCCTCCGGTGGCCGGGAGCAGCCGGGGATCGAACCGGTGCTGCAGAGGCTGTGGGCAGCTTCGCAACCCAGTGCTCAACCGCTGTGCCACCAGGGAGGCCCTGGGCTGTTGTTTAATGAGATGTTTAGAAAAAAACTTCACTAAAGAATGAGGAATTAGGGGCTCCCTGGTGGCACAAGGGGTTAAGACAAAACCTATGAAGATATCTGCAGCCTCTGCAGCACGAGTTCGATCCCTGGCCGGCCACAGAGCAACCCACATGGCACAGCAGACCTTTCCTGTCTTGCCTGCTGCTCCCCTCAGCAGTGCACTTTGGTCAGTCTGCCTGTTCTGCTCCCCACTCTGGTGAATTCTCTCACCCCCACACCTCTGGCCTGTACCCCAGCTCTTATATGCATAAATAAATAAATCTTTAAAAAAAATGGCTCTGGCAGCAGGTGGAGGAGCAGGCAGGGTCGAGGGGAGACTGGTTAGGTGGCAGAACACTCTGGAATGAATGCAAAGGTCATGGACTCCTTGGACTCACAGGACATCATACATTTGGGAGGTCTGAAAATTACACCAGTGGGTTCTGGGAAGGGGAGGTGGCTGGGTGTGGTTGAAACCAAGACCAAATGGTCAAATTGCTCTCAGACCCTAGGACACAAATGAAAAACAAAACAAAACACAATCTCACTTTCTCTTTGAGGCTGTATTCACCGATCTAGGTGACCCAGACTGAGCAGGCAGACGAAACCAACCTCGAGCTGGGTGAGCCTGAAGGCCACTGGAGCCAGGAGACTGCAAAGGAGCCCCCACAGAGGAGGGGTGACCCGGAGGCCACATCTCCTGACAGAAATCCCAAACTGCAGTGACCTGAAGAAGAGTTTCTCCACATGGCTCCGTATCTGCTCTACCCCGCGATTAGCCAACGAGCTTATGGCCAAGGACATATTTCTTTGCCCCAAGCCACTTTCCTATCGATAATACTTAACTCCTTTGTTCTCAACCTTGCTCCCCCACGTCAGTATAAACCCCTGGAATGTGGGGGGGGGGGGCAGATTTGAGTTTATGTCCTGCCTCCTTGCCAAGCGATTTGCAATAGTTTCTTTTCCCAGAACCTGGTGTCGAGGTATGGATGTCGGCTGCTAGGCTGGTGGCCCGTGGAGGCGCACGGTGGTGAGGCGAGAGAGGACCATCAGGCCACGGGTGTGCTGGCGTCACGCTGGGCCCGGCAGAGCCACTCCGGATCCCTGTCTTCCCTGTGCTGCACCCGTGCCCCTCTAGAGGTTAGGGGGCTAACCTCGCCGTGAAACCCCCGCCCCAGCTCTCTGCCCACGGCCCTGCTTTCAGCGCCAGGGCCTGGGAGGCCCAGAGGTTAGGAGGAGGGGAGGGTGCTATTTCTTTCCCCGGAGCCCTCTCTGCAGGCCGCAGGTGAGCAGGCACCCCGCTCCCGTGCTGGGGCAGCCCTCCAGCATTCCAGTTAGCAAGGGGGTGACGGCTCCCACCCCAATCCCTTTGTGGCACTCAGTGTCCCTTGCTGCCAGCGCCGAGGTTTCACGGCCCTTGGAGGGCCCCTCCGCCCTCTTGAGCCTGGTTCCCTCTCCCCAGCACACGCGGCCTTGTGTCACAGAGGGGCCTTGCTTTCAGGGCTCAGTGTCGAGGCCCCTCTACAGTCCTGGGAAAGGCAGTCACGACCCCCATGTTACTCAGCAGCTTTGCACGAGGTCTCCCTCGCCCTCCCGCTGGTTCCCGCCTTGGGCCCTCAGCGGCTGCCTCCTCCCCCTGACCTGGGCGGGGTAACCCACGGGGTTCGCTCTGGGCCCTCTTCTCTCTCCAGCTGAGGCTGCAAACGCCCCTGTACCCTGGGGCCCTGTGTCTCCAAGCCCGATGTCCTGTGCGAGCTCCAGACCCCTGGAGACATCTGTCTCCTCTGGGGTAACTCACAAACCTCTTAAACTCAGCAGGCCCCAGACAGCTCCAGGTCCTCCCGGCCTCCCGACCCCCTGCCGTCTTCCCCACCCTCTCAGGGGTGGAGGCCAGGGACCTGGGAGCCATTCACACCACCTGCCCCTCCACTTCACCCCAACGCTAGAGTCCACCTCCCAAATCCGACTCCATGGGTCCCAGCGATGTCATCTCCCCTGAGAGGACACAGCACTCTCTCTTGTCCTGCACCCAAATTCCTCACCCAGGCCTCCTACCTCTACTGACTTTTTCTCAGTTCACAGAAAGGACCCTCCCCACCCCTTAATCCTCTGTTAATTGCCTCCAATGGGCTCCCCTCAGCCGAGGCTGCGCACCACTAACTCCAGCCTCCTTCAGCGTCCAGCTCAGAAGTCCCTTTACCAGAGGGGCTTCCTGGACGTGCAGGTCCCACCAGCGGCAGCCCCTAGGCCTCTGCCTTCCTGTCTCCACCCTCTGTGGCTGCCCCCTGTGCGCACACTGCTGTCACATGCCGGTCTCCCTGTCTCCCCAGTACAGACACTCCACGAGGGCAGGGAGAGGGGCGGCTCTATTTCCTGACAAGACCCTGGCATGTGGCAGATCCTCAGCTTGTGGGATGAGGAGATTCCCATTTCATGGCTGAGGAAACAGACTTGGTGGAACAACGCACCACCCCCCCCCGCCCCCCATTAGACTATGCCCTGGTGGGAGGACAGGTTCACAGGACTGTGAGGAGACAAGGGCTGCAGCCGCTGGGCCGCACGCCTGCAGGTAGGTGTCTAGAGCTCCTGTGAGTTCCCACCTCAGCGTGACCTGAGCCAGGTGCAAGGCTGAGAGCTGCCCAGCCTGGTTCCAGCTGCAGGGATTCCCTGGGGATGTGGGCCTCCCTCCCTGGCCCTGAAATGCTGGCTATAGGAAGAGCCCACTGAGAAATCCAAGCAGGGGATCTCCTGAAGGCTCTCCCTCAGTCCCCCCCCAAATTACCCAAATCTAGCCACTCTCAGAACAAAACCAGTTCCTTGCACAGGTGTGTCAGAGACATGTTTCTCCCCCCTATCCCACTGTCCAGTCAGGCGGCCACCCCGGGCCGGCACCCACGGGCGGGTCCAGTGTCATCCTGTGCCTTGCTCTGGACCTGCCCCGGCCACACCCACCCCCAGCTGAGCTCTGTAAGTCAGAGGCTGAATCCTGGGGTCTCCCCGCCCCCTGGGCACAGTCTGGGCCCCGGGCAGGGCAGCCCTCCAGGGTCTCCTCTCTAGACCAGTGGACAGGCCTCACTGCTCTCCAGCCTTGGCCAAACTCCCCAGCCCCTGCCAACCCCTGCCCGGCCCCACGGTGCCCCTCCTCAGCCCCCTGGGCCCTCAGGCAGCACCCCCCTCCTCCCGGCTGTTAGCCTGGGAAGGGGGCCAGGCCCTGAGCTCAGAGCTTGGCGATTCCAGAGTGTCTGAGGCCCAGAGCCAGGCCCCGCCAGCCCAGCCAGACAAGGCCAAGGGGCGTGGGGGGGGGGGGTGTGCAGGGTGGGCACCAGGAAGTCATTTAGGGGGGGCTTGGCAGGGAGGCTGGATTTCCAGTCTGGTTCTTTCTGTTTCTCTCTGGGCTTCTTCCTGGGTCCTTACTGAGCCCCAGGCCAGAGGGCGGCCCCCCTCGAGCCCAGTCCTGTGAGAGGACTACGGAGACTCGGGAGCGGCGGGGTACGCCGCCCACCTGCGCACCGGCCGCTGGGAAGGGCGCAGAGGCCAGGGTTCCCGCGCCGCCTGGTCCCCCGGGCCCGCGAGGCCGGGGCGACGTCGGGGGGCCGCCCCCAGCCTCGGCTTCCCGCGGGGAGGCGGCCGGCTGCCCCGCCCGGAGGAATCTGGCGGCCGGCCCGGCGGTCCCAGGTGAGGGCCCTCTGGACCCGGCCCAGCGCGGCGGCGGCGGCGGCGGGTTCCGGGGGGGCGGGCACGCGGGGTGGGGCGCCCGGCCTCCCCCCGCCGCGCGCCCGCGCTCCTCCAGGCGGCCGCGGCGACGCTTTAAACCGAAGAAAAAACTGTCTCCCTGGCCCGGGGCCAGCGTCCCAGCCCCCTCGCCGCGCCGCGCCGGCAGCCGGGGAAAACAACTGCTCCCTTCTCCGCGCCGCCCGGCCTGGTCCCGCGCCCGCCGGGGAGGCGCGCAGGGCCCGCCCGCCGCCCGCTCCTCGCCGCGCCGCCCGCCCGGCCTCCGCGCTCCCGCCTGCGCCTCGGGCCTGCGCCGGCCCCGGCCCGCCCGGCGCGGGGCTCCCTCCGGCGGCGGCGGTTTCCGGGCTCCCGCGCCGCCCCCCTCCCCGCGGCCCCGCGCTCCCGGGGCTCCCCGCCGGCCGGCCGGGACCGGAGCCCCCGCCCGGCGCGCCCCGGGGACCGCGGCCGCGGATGCCCGGGCCCCGCGGGGCGGCTGGCGGCCCGGCCCGGGAGATGCGCGGGCCGGGGGCGGCGGGGCCGCTGGCGCTGCTGCTGCTGCTGCCGCTGCTGGGCCCGCGCGGCGGGGCCGAGGGGGGGCCGGCGGGCGAGCGGGGCGCCGGCGGGGGCGGGGCGCTGGCCCGCGAGCGCTTCAAGGTGGTCTTCGCGCCGGTGATCTGCAAGCGGACCTGCCTCAAGGGCCAGTGCCGGGACAGCTGTCAGCAGGGCTCCAACATGACGCTCATCGGCGAGAACGGCCACAGCACCGACACGCTCACGGGCTCCGGCTTCCGCGTGGGTGAGGGCCGGGGGCGGGCGGCGGCGCCGGGGGAAAGCGGGGTACCGGGCGGAGCGGGGCCTGGACGCGAGACGGAGGCCAGGGGTACAGAGAGCCGAGCTCGGGGTCCTGCGGCCCCCAAGACCTGGGGGGCTGGGGGGACCGGTGCTCTGGGACCAGGGCCGGGAGGGCTGCCTGGAGGCGGGGCCTTGCTCTGGAGGTGAGGGTTGAGGCCTAGGGTGTGGGCTCAGGCTGGGGTCCTGGGATGCAGGCCTCTAGGAAGGTGCTGGGCTTTGAGAGGGCGTGGGGGTCAGCACACAGGGGTTGACAGGGGCAAATATCTCCTCCCCCACCTCCCCAGACACAGACTTGCTGGAATAAACAGGAAAAGTCTAAAATGCCTAAAGCCAGGCGTGCCAGGGGCAGGCACCTGCCTTCCGTGGGAGGAGCAGTGACATCAGGGCAGGGGTGAGGGAACTAGTGGCGGGCAAGGTCTGGGAGGGGAGGGTTTGGGGCCTAAGAAGTGGGATGTAGGCCTGGAGACAGGGGCTGGTTTGCCGCCCCCCATAAGCTCTCAAGGCTCTGCCTCAGAAGCCCCCGGGATCTCCCCGACCCACCCCTCTGACTCCCTGATGACCGCCCGGTTCCTCCAGAGCCCACCTCTTCCCCAGCATCGCTCTTAAAAGGGCCAGGCCTGGGGCTTGGCTTTCCTCCACAGGGCCCTGCGGGCCTGGCTGAGGGAGGTGTCCCAGCAGTAATTACCCTCCTGGACAGGGTAATTAGGCCAGCCCAGGATGGCACCAGCAAAACAGCCCCTCTTACGCATTCCAGCTCTCACATACCACTCACAGACCTGAGGGACCCCCAGTGTGGCTCGCAGAGCCCATAGAGGGGTGTGGGGGGCACAGGGGCACGCATGGGCTCCGGAGTGGCAGGCTGTGATTGTGTCTTTCTTTGTGTTGTTATCTTGGTGCGTGTTTCCAGTCACTGTGGGAGTGTTTATGTGAGCCAGTGTTGGTGTCAGAATGAGTGTGTGCGTGTGTGTTGGAGAGACGAGATGACTATGCTTGTGAGTATTCATGTGCCCGGCTTCTCAGGCCCCCCGCCATCCTGTCGAGGTTGCTGTCTCCATCCGAGCTGCCCACATCCCCCAGGCTCAGTGCCCAGGCCACAGTGGGCGGGTGTCACTGGGAGGTCACCCTCACCGCTACGGGTGACTCACGCACAGGGAGGCAGGAAAGAGAGGGTCCGGCCCCCCTGGCCCGGGGCACACTTCTTTTACCCCGTGTCCTGCACGGTCAGACTGGACAGGATGGGTCAGGCAGGGGTGCTCTTAGGAAGCCCTGACCCCCACCTTCCAACCCTGGAAAGTGAGGGCAGGGCTGGGGCAGGCAGGAGAGGGGCCGGGGCTGGCGCCTGAGCCCAGGGCCCAGCTCCAGGTGGGGAGGGAGGGAACTCAGGGAACAGTGTGTCACATCCTCTGGCCCAGCCACACCCCTGCACCTCTGCTGGGGCCCAGAGCTGAGGCAGACCCAACCCTGCCCTGCTGAGCACCGTTTTTGGAGGGAGACAGACAGACATGAACATAGCTGAGTCAAGTGCCAGGCAGAGCTGGGCCGAGGGTGGGCACGCAGGAGCGGGAGCAGGGGTGAGTGGGACAAGAGGACAGGCCCTTCCTGGAGGAGCTGAGACCGAAGGGATAAGGCTGGACATGTGGAGATGGGGTGGCATGAATACAGCTGGGGGGCAGAGGACATGGCTATTGCAGGAGGAGAAATGAGGCCTGGGGTGCAGGGGAAAGAGCTGGGGGGTGGCTGAAAGGTTGTGTGGGTCCTTGGAGCGTCTTGAGCCTCTGGGCAAGGAAGCCAGTGGGGGCTGGGGATGTAGGACTCTGCCAGGAGGCTGGCTGTGGTGGACTCTCCCGGGTGCTGGCCTAGGACGAGCTGAGGCAGGGAGCCGCGGGGAGCCTGGGTGGCCAGGCCGGAGGCAGGGGAGGAGCAGAGGGCAGAGGGAGGAGGGGAGACGGACTGGGGAATCTGGTCAGAGGCCGCCGCTGGACAGGGTGGGGCAGGAGAGATGGTGCCATGACTGACGGGCCCGCAGGGGTTCCCCGCATGGGTCCAAAGTCAAGAGGCGGTGAAGGGGGCAGGACGCCCACTTCTGACAGCGCCCCCCGGGGTGGAGGGTCCCGGAGAGGCGGGGCTAGAGATGTGGCCTGTGGGCAGTGGCCGGGGTGGGCCCTGGCGGGCAGCCCCTAGAGGGAGAGTCTGGAGGGGGCTGAGGCCGCGGGAGGATTTAGAAGGGGCGGCTCCGAGAGACATGGCACCTGCAGGGAGGGCTGGGGCAGCTTGAGGAGGGAAGGCTCTTCGTGGTCATCCTCACGGGCTATTTACCAGGTGCCCGCCGGGCTGGCCCGCGAAGGGCTGCACAGACCCCGTGTAAGACCCGGCGGCCGGCGGCGGCTCGGGGAGGGGCGTGTGGGCCACGGCCGGCGCGGCCTCCTGGCTAGGATCGAGCCCAAGACCTAAGACAAAAGCGGGGGCGGGCCGTGGCCGGGGCCGTCTCCCCACGTGGGATGCGGCGGCCCGGCAGGGAGCCGCAGGGGAACGGCAGGGACGCGGGTGAGGGGCTCGGCCTGGGGGCGGGGGCCGCGGCGGCCTTGGCCCTGACCCGCCTCCCCTCCCCAGTGGTGTGCCCCCTGCCCTGCATGAACGGCGGCCAGTGCTCCTCGCGGAACCAGTGCCTGTGTCCCCCGGACTTCACGGGTCGCTTCTGCCAGGTGCCGGCGGGAGGAGCCGGGACGGGCACCGGCGGCTCAGGCCCCGGGCTGGGCCGGGCCGGGGCCCTGTCCACAGGTGCGCTGCCGCCCCTGGCACCGGAGGGCGAGGCTGTGGCCAGCAAGCATGCCATCTACGCGGTCCAGGTGATCGCAGATCCGCCCGGCCCCGGGGAGGGGCCCCTGCCCAGCATGCAGCCTTCCTGGTGCCCCTCGGGCCAGGACAGATCTCGGCGGAAGGTACCAGACGACGGGCAGACCCGGGCGGCCGAGGTGGGCGGGCACTGGGGTGGCAGGACCCAGGCGGAGGCCAGACCTGGAGGAGCGGGCACCGCCACCGGCCCGGGCAGCCCTGAGGCCCCCGTGCCCTGCCCCCAGTGCAGGCCCCGCCCCCCGTGGTGAACGTGCGCGTCCACCACCCGCCGGAGGCCTCCGTGCAAGTGCACCGCATCGAGGGGTCGCACGCCGAGGGCCCGGCCCCCTCCCAGCACCTGCTGCCGCACCCCAAGCCCGTGCACCCCAGGCCGCCCACCCAGAAGCCCCTGGGCCGCTGCTTCCAGGACACGCTGCCCAAGCAGCCTGTGAGTGGATCCACGCTGGGCTCTAGCTGCCCCAGCTCATCGGACTGCTCAGCAAGGGGGTCCGCAGGCGGAAGGGGGCCGCTGGGGTCAGGGCATCCTGTGACACCCCCCCTCTGCGTCCCCTAGTGTGGCAGCAACCCCCTCCCCGGCCTCACCAAGCAGGAGGACTGCTGCGGCAGCATTGGCACCGCCTGGGGCCAGAGCAAGTGCCACAAGTGCCCCCAGCTGCAGTGTGAGTGTCTGGGCTCATGGGGTCCCCCCACCCCTCTGATGGGGCCAGTGCAGCCTCAACTGCCCAATTCCCCTCTACACCCCACTCTGCCTCTTCCTGCAGGGGCCCCAGTGTGCCCCCTTGCCATGCTCTCCTCTCTCTGCAGACACAGGGGTGCAGAAGCCAGGGCCTGTTCGTGGGGAGGTGGGCACTGACTGCCCCCAGGGCTACAAGAGACTCAACAGCACCCACTGCCAGGGTATGGCCAGCAGGGGTTGGGGGAGCAAGCCACTGTCACTGGGGGAGGCCCCAGGTGGGTGAGGGAGGAGGAGGGGCTTGGGCCACACCCTGAGGTTCTTGGAGCAGCTTGCTGTCGCCCCGGGGCCCCAGACTGGGGGGACCAAACTCCCACTTATCGCAGACATCAACGAGTGCACCATGCCTGGCATGTGTCGCCATGGTGACTGCCTCAACAACCCTGGTTCCTATCGCTGTGTCTGCCCACCTGGCCATAGCCTGGGCCCCTCGCGCACGCAGTGCATTGGTGAGACTGGGGGTGGGGAGGCCCTTGGGTCCCTGGGGGGGTCATAAGGCATGGTGGGCGGGGTAAGGCCCCAAGCTGCAAGGATCAGAGGTCACCAAGGTCAGAGTGGGGTCATAGGGTGACTACAGCAGGACCAACACCCAGAGCAGATAGGATGGGGGTCAGAGGTCACGTGAGGTCACCCGGGGTCAGGTTATATGGCGGCAGGGTCATATGAAATGAAGGACTTGAGAGCTCTAGATGTGAAGTCTAGAGTAGCAAGAATCAGGGGGTCAGTGGGTTAGTCGTCACGGGTGTAGGGGTCACATGACTTCAGGGTCACATGTGGTCAGGGTATACCTGCGGAGCAAGGGTTGTCTGGGCCAGAGAGGCAAGGTCTGGGGCCCCTGGGAAGGGGCACATGGGCAGTGTTGAGAGCCAGATGCCCATGCCCACCACTGGCCCCCGCAGCAGACAAGCCGGAGGAGAAGAGCCTGTGCTTCCGCCTGGTGAGCCCCGAGCACCAGTGCCAGCACCCGCTGACCACACGCCTCACCCGCCAGCTCTGCTGCTGCAGCGTCGGCAAAGCCTGGGGCGCCCGGTGCCAGCGCTGCCCGGCTGATGGCACCGGTGAGCCTGGGCGTATGGGGACAGGGCGGGCTGTCTGTGTGTCTGTCCAGGAAATGCTCACTTTTCTACCCCTTCCTCCGGCCACAGCTGCCTTCAAGGAGATCTGCCCAGCTGGGAAGGGGTACCACATCCTCACCTCCCACCAGACGCTCACCATTCAAGGCGAAAGTGACTTTTCCCTTTTCCTGCACCCTGATGGCCCCCCCAAGCCCCAGCAACTTCCTGAAAGCCCCAGCCGGGCGCCGCCTCCTGAGGACTCGGAAGAAGAGAAAGGTCTGGTGGACCCCTGCTGGCCCCTGGTGGACGTGAAGCCCCTACACCCACAGACAGCACCTGAGCCTAACCCCTACCTCCTAATCCTGGAGCTAACCGCTGGCCCTCAGAGCTGACCCTCCGAGAGCCAAGGCTGTGACCTGGGGTGGAAGCCTTGATGTCACTCTCTAGAGGACTAATCCCCCAGATCTGTTCTTCTGACTCCAGGACCCTTTTGATTTTCAAGCCAGGCCATTGCTGCAGCCCAAATGCTGCCCCTGGATCTGATCTTCTGACCCCGACCCAGGAATTTGGCCCTGGGTGTAACCGCCTAAAGGACCTTGACCCACCTTCACTCCCCAGACCTGTTCCCCTGACCACTAGTCAAGCCCCTCCACCCCACCCCAGGCTCTGACCCCTGTCGCTTGGCCCAGGGCGTGACTGCTGAGCTCTAGAGATCCTACCTGGGGTCCCCCGCTGCCCTCCCAGGCTCAGTTCTCTTCTCCCAGACCAGCACCTAATGGCCCCTGTCTTCCCTTTCAGGGGTGAGCACGGACTCAGTGAGTATGAGCGCCCAGGCAGGAGGGGTGGGGAGCCTGGGGAGACAGAGGGTTCACCCCCTGTCACCCGCAGCCAGTGATGGAGGAGCAGCCGTCGCAGCAGAGCCACCCTCCGGCCACCACCGCGCCCGCGCGGCCCTACCCCGGTGAGCTGGGCGGGCGGGTCCGGGCTGCCCCGGGGACGGGCGGTGCACAGCCTGGGCACCAGGGGGCGGTGCGGCTGGGTGAGAAGCACCCAGCGGGCGGCCTGGGGGAGAGGGGCTGCACTCCCGGCCTGTTCTCCCCCCGACGGTGTGCGCGGCTGCCCGCAGAGCTGATGTCCCGGCCCTCGCCGCCCACCATGCGCTGGTTCCTGCCCGACTTCTCCCCGTCGCGCAGCGCGGTGGAGATCGCCCCTACTCAGGTCACAGGTAAGGCCCGCCCGCCCGGGCACACTCCGATAAGCCACGCCTCTAGCTGGGTCTTTTGCCTTCCCTGCCCCCTTCAACCAGTCTGCCGCACTAAGGCTCACGAGGGCACACTGTGCGCCAGCCCTGGGGGGGTGTGGTTGGGGAGACTGGGGACGCCTCTGTGTGCGGAAGCAACCCCACTGTGCCCTCAAATAATCCGGGCATTACGGTGGTCGGCCCAGTCTGAAAGCATTCATTCATTCATTCATTCAGCAAATATTTATTGAGGCCCTACTATGTGCCAGGCACTGCTCAGGTGCTGGCCATACAGCAGGAAACGAAACAGACAAAAATTCCTTGTCCTTGCAGAGCAGAGAGACGACATATGAGTGTTGTCGTGTATCTCAAAAAAGCTATGAAAAAGTCAATCAAGGAAGGAAGGACATGGGGGGTGCTGATGCTCAGGGTGGCAGGGAGATGGGGCGTAAGGATGTGGGAGCTGCTGAGAAGCGGGGCAGGGTGGGTGTGCAGGTTGAGCAGGAGCCACCGCAAGTGAAGTCTGGGCTCAGGCGTGGAAACATGCAGCTCCGGAGCGGGTGGGGGGAGAACCACACAGACCAGCGCCTCCCGCTAGGGGAGGGCAGGCCACAGAGTCCACTCTCGAGGCTTGGTGTTGTTCCCAAAGGCTGTGGGAAGGGACTGCGGGGTTTGGGGCATCCTAATAATTGCTAGTTATGTCTGAGCAGGGCCCCGTGCCAGACCCTGGCTGAAGATTCTCACACATTAAACATCACTTAGCCTCAGACTCAGTGAAGCGGGCACTGGTCGTCTTGGTTTCCAGCTGAGAAAAGTGAGGCTCAGAGAGTTTCAGGAACTCGGCCCAGGGCACACCGCTGAGCCAAATGCAAGCCCACATCTGTGTGAACTCCACAGCCCCCAGAGCTGCCAGCCCGGCCCAGTGAGACACGGAGCTGAGCAGAGCTCCAGGGAGAGGGCGCAGGATGCCCTGGAGGCGAGCACAGGCTAGGACAGAGCAGTGACAGGCCTGGGGACCGTGACAGTGTAGAGGAAGATCCAGGACCCTGGGGAGGTTTCTTAGAGGGGCGCTGAGGGCACTGAAGAGGCCCTCCAGGCAGAGAACAGCCTGCAAAAGCCCCGGCCACGTGTGCGTGGTGTGGGCAGGGTGGAGCAGCAAGGCCTGGGCTGCAGGGGGAGGGCAGGCAGGGGCCCAGAGGAGGCAGGGAGTCCTGGGACTTGTGACTAAGGGGTGGGGAACTCTGAATCTGGCCACCTGTACACCCCCCAGGGGCAGGCCAGGATTCCCAGGAAGCTGGGTCCTGCCTGCCCTGGGGCGCACGGAAAGAAAGCATTCACTCTAGAATGGGGTCCAGGTCCCTGAGGTCAGGAGTGTCAGGGGCCACTAGGCTAGAGGGTTTGGGCATGAAGGAGGCTGCAGGGTTTTAATTATTGGGGTGACTGGGAGGAGGGGGCTTCAGAGCCCCTTGGGTCAGGGCATTGGATGACTGAGGGACCCTGAGGGCTGTGGCTGAGTTTGGGGTGACTGGAGTCAGGTGGTGGTAGGGGCGCAAGGATGAAGGCTGAGAGCACGGAGGGGACAAGACAGCAGTGACAGGGAGCTGGCGGGGTCTTCTCGGTTTGGGGCGATCTGGTCAGGATATGGGGGGCATGGGTTTGGAGGTGAGGAGAGCGCAGGATAGGAGCGGGGTGTCCCGGGACCAAGGTCACGGTGTGGGCAGCTTCGGGGTGCCGTGGTCATTCGGCATGGGGTGCGCCGCCCTCCCCGGGCGCGGGCGCCCAGCGCTGCTCTCCGCTCCCCCAGACACCGACGCGTGCCGCCTGAACCAGAACATCTGCGGCCACGGGGAGTGCGTGCCGGGCCCCTCGGACTACTCCTGCCACTGCAACCCGGGCTACCGCTCGCACCCGCAGCACCGCTACTGCGTGGGTGAGCGCGGCGGCGGGCGGCGGGGGTGCGCCGGCTCGCGACGCCCCCGTGACGCGCCCCGCCCGGTGTCCCCCCAGACGTGAACGAGTGCGAGGCGGAGCCGTGCGGCGCGGGGCGCGGCATCTGCATGAACACGGGCGGCTCCTACAACTGCCACTGCAACCGCGGCTACCGCCTGCACGTGGGCGCCGGGGGGCGCTCGTGCGTGGGTGAGCGGCGGGCGGGGGGCGGGGGGCGGCGCCGCCGAGGGCAGGGGGCAGGGGCCTCCCCCGCGCCGCGCGCCCCGCGCCGCCCCGGCCCGCGCTCGCGCCCCTCCCTCCCGCGCAGACCTGAACGAGTGCGCCAAGCCCCACCTGTGCGGCGACGGCGGCTTCTGCAGCAACTTCCCCGGCCACTACAAGTGCAGCTGCTACCCCGGCTACCGCCTCAAGGCCTCCCGGCCGCCCGTGTGCGAAGGTGGGGGCCCTTCCGGGCCCGCGGGGTGCTCACCTGTGCCTCGGCGCGGGGCGGGGCGGGGCGGGGCGCCCGGACGCCGGTGTCGGGCCAGCGCGGGGCCCCTACGGGAGCCCCGAGGGTCGGGCTCGCCCCGCCGAGCGGGGGCGGAGCGGGGCCGGGGGCCCTCCCCGAGCACCGGGCGGGCCACGCCGGCCCCAGACGGGCCCCTCCTCTCCGTCCCGCGCAGACATCGACGAGTGCCGGGACCCCAGCTCCTGCCCCGACGGCAAATGCGAGAACAAGCCCGGGAGCTTCAAGTGCACCGCCTGCCAGCCCGGCTACCGCAGCCAGGGGGGCGCGGCCTGCCGCGGTGAGGGCGGGCCCGGCCCGCGGGACGGGCGGAGGCGGAGCCTCGAAGGCGGATTGGGGGGCTGGTCCCGGGGCGGCCCGCGCGGAGGGCCGGGGTCCCGCTGGGGCGGGGCGGGGGCGCGGCTGGCGGCGGCGAGCGTCTGCCCCGGGCGGGACTTCCCGGGAGGAGCGGGGTCCGCCCCCGTACCCCGTCCCGGCTGAAGCGGACCCCGCCCCGCACGGCGCACGGTCCCGCGGGGCGGAGACCGAGGCGAGCCTTCTCCGCCCAGACGTGAACGAGTGCGCCGAGGGCAGCCCCTGCGCGCCCGGCTGGTGCGAGAACCTCCCGGGCTCCTTCCGCTGCACGTGCGCCCAGGGCTACGCGCCCGCGCCCGACGGCCGCAGCTGCCTGGGTAAGCTCCGCGCCCGCTGCAGGCCTCCCACCGCCCCCCGCCCCAGCGCCCCGGCCGCTGCGGAGCCTGAGGGGCTGGGCCCGAGGCAGCCTGTTCACCGGCCCGTTCGCTGCTGATCCGCTTGTTTTCTCGGCGAACCGGCCCCAGGAAGGGGCCACCAGGATTTCCACCTAGGAAGGGTTGTAGAGGGCAGGGCTCGAAGCTGCGTTTGCAGGGCTTGAATTTGAAGGGGGGGGGGGAGCTATCAGAGAATGGGGAAGAGTTACTGTTTCCCCGCCCCCAACATTTCTTCTGCCCTGGGAGGTGGGCTAGGGGCTGGGATCTGAGAGGCTGCAGAACATCCGACGGGCTGGGCTGGGAGCTGTGGCCTGGTGAAGCTGGGCTGGGAGGAGGGAGGCCTGAGCGGTCGTGAAGGACGGGTAGGAAGTAGCCAAGCAGAGAAAGGGCAGCAGGAACAGCACCCAGGCAGAGGGCTCAGCGCCTGCAGACTCGCAAAACCAAACAGCATGCAGGAACCCTGGAGGTATAAGCAGGGATTGGGGGCCGAACCTGACTGCTGAGCGGCAGGCCCCCACCTTTTGGAGGGCCCCCAAGCTCTGCCTAGGAGGTCAAGCCTCATCCTGCTGGTGTTCAAAGGCACCTGAAGGACTGTAAGGGGAAGTGACAGTTTCACCACTGGCTTTAGTTTTCTGCTGCCAAGTGTGGACTGCCGCTGGGGACTGTGGGAGAGGCCTGGGACGGCCGTGGCCGTGAGAGGAGAGGCCTCCGGAGGGTCACAAGATGATGTGATATTAGCAAATTATTAGATCACGTTACCTAGACTTGCTAACCAGATGTTCAGGTGAAGGAAAGAGTCGAGTGAGCACCCTCCAGGTGCCAGTTTGGGTGACTCAGTGGGTGGTGCATTCTCTGGGATGGGTGCCTCCCCCCGCCCAGGGGGCGCATATTTGGAAGACACTGAGTTTCCAGTGGCTGGAGAGACCAGCAAGGGGGGTCCATGGGTCGGGAGCCTTGGGTCAAACACACCAACTGGAACCATGGACCTTAGGGGCTGTGGAGCCTTGGGGTGCACCTGTTCAGCCTAGGAGGGAGCCTCGGCAGGGCCTCGTGGGTGCTGCCATATCTGTGATGGGGGGGTAGAGGTTGGAGACCCAGGGGGCAGCAGCTGAGAGGCTGGGGCGCAGAGGCTTCCAGGGCCACAGGGGGTGAACTGAATGCATCCATGAGGTTCCCGTAACATAAGAACTAATAGGTGAGGGACTCGCTTCCTGGCGATCCGGCAGGGTGGCCTCTGCGGCTGGGTGGGAAGCTGAGAGATGCAGGCAGCCAGTGAGGAAGAGCGAGACCTGGGGTCACCAGATGGGTCTCGGGGCGCAGACTGAGGAGTGGATGCGAGCAAGGCAGCGAGGGGAGGGCAGGCAGCTGGGAGAGGAGGAAGGGCAGAGGCAGCCAGCGGGGACAGAAGGTCACGTCTTGCTCTAATGTGAGCAAGAGGGATGGATGGAGGTCAGAGTTGCAGGTGGTGGGGAATATAGCTCAGGGGTAGAGCATTTGACTGCAGAGTTGCAGGTGGTTAACGATGAGCCTCAATTCTCTCAGTAAACAGAGAAGTGCCTAGAGGAGGGGACCTGTGTGCAACTGTCCGAGGCCCTGGGGGCTGCCTGGGGGCCTCCCAGAAGTCCAGACTTGAGGCAGGGAGGGGCGGCTCTAGCCACTCGGGGGTCTGGCCTGACGGGGGCCAGAGGGAGTGGCCCAGGCCCCAGTGTGCTCAGCTTGGCAGCTGGCTCCGTCCCACTCAGCATCTGGATTCCAGAGGCCCAGAGGCAGAAGGAGAGGTTCACGGGCCCCTTAAGATAAGGGGGGCGGGAGACTTGGGAACTACAGAGCTGGTGGGAGGGAAGCAGCTGCTGAGATGCCCACAGTGGGGCAGTGCTGAGGGCCCAAAAGTGCCATGTCCTGAGCGTGAGGGTCCCAGAAACTGAGGGGTCGAGGAGTGCCAGGTCTAAGGCTGGGCCTGCCTCTGCTAAGTCCTAGGCTAGGAAGAAGATGGGGAGAGTGACTCTGGAGGTGGCACTGGCAACAGAAGGTGGGGGGGCTGGCGGGGGGCCACCTGCCCCTTGGAGAAGTGTGGTTTGGAAGGCGGCAGGGGTGCAGGGAACAAGCAACTTCCAGCGGCGAGGCCTGCAGACCAGCATGCACTCCAGGGAGAGCCAAGTGCCTCTGCCGCAGAAGCAGTTCTATGCAGTGCTCAAAGCCACGGGGGCTAATTTACCCGGGAAGAAGGGAGCCATGTCAGCTAGGGACAGGGGAGAGCAGAAGTGAGGGCAGCTGGGCGCACGAGGAGAGGCAGTGAGGTGGATGAAGGATGGGGACACCAGCTCTTGGCATCAGCCTGGGCACCAGGCCCCTGCAGCCCCAGAGCGTGTGTTAGGGAGAGCAGGGGGAGCACCCTGTGCGTCTCTCTGGCCCTGGCGTCAGCACTGGGGCCCCCACTGATGGGCAGCAGTGGGGAAGGGTAGCAGAAGCCCGACACCACCCATCCTGAACCTCTGCTGCCCCCTGTGCCCCGCAGATGTGGACGAGTGTGAGGCTGGGGACGTCTGTGACAACGGCCTCTGCACCAACACGCCAGGGTCCTTCCAGTGTCAGTGCCTCTCTGGCTACCACCTGTCCAGGGACCGCAGCCGCTGCGAGGGTGAGGGGGGCTGGCCTGTTCCTCCCTCTCCCAGTTCCCCCACTGCCCGGGGACTCCCTGTGAACAAGCCAGGCACAGCCAGCCCCCCATCCAGATCCACGATGGGGCACGGGGTACCGGCCTGAGCCAGGGCTTTGGGGGAACACTGGCAGGCTCAGGCCCCGCGAGTGGGAGCAGCCCTGAGATTCTCTGCCTCTTTGCTCCCTACAGACATCGATGAGTGTGACTTCCCTGCAGCCTGCATCGGGGGCGACTGCATCAACACCAATGGCTCCTACCGGTGTCTCTGCCCCCAGGGCCACCGGCTGGTAGGAGGCAGGAAGTGCCAAGGTATGGGGGTTGGCTGAGAGCTGAGGAGGAAAGGCAGAGAGTAGTCGTCTCCCAGCCCAGCTGTTGAGCTGTCTGGGTCTCCATCTGCCCACCCTCCCATCCCTCTGTCCTCTCACGCATCCCTCCACTTCCATCTAGAAATAACGCTAATAATGACATTAGTGATCGGCGGATGCTTCCTATACACGGCGCTGACCGCTTTATGGTTATTAGTAGATTCATCTTCCCCAGCAACTTGCGTCGTCTGCATTCATCCCCTGAGAAGTGACTGTGCACCTACTATTTGCCAGGTTCTCTGCTCTATGTTACACACTGAGCAGCGACCTCGGGCTCCCAGCTGCGGAAGGCCAACATGTAAACCGATTCTCACGGTTCAGGGTGCTGGGTGCTGAAGAGGTCTGGTTCAGTGACTAACTGCCAAGAAGTGACAGCTGAATGGGGACTTGGAATGTAAACAGGGTTCCCTAAGGCATAACTTGGTCTTCTAAGCACAAAAAAGCAGGGGATGGCATTTCAGGCCCCAAAGAACCAGATTTCTGATTCACAACAATCAGAATGATTCACAACAATCAGAAATCTGGAGGGAGCTGGTTGTGTTTCTAGGGGTGAGTAGCAGCCTGTGTCCTGACCACAGTTGGGGGTAGGGGTGGGGGTTCAGAGTAGAGTGATGAGATTATAAGTTGTGGGGCCTCCCCTGGTGGCACAGTGGTTGAGCGCTGGGTTGCAAGGTTGCCCACAGCCTCTGCAGCGCCAGTTCATTCCCCGGGGGTCTCACAAAAAAAAAAAAAAGAAAAAAAAAAGAAAGTTGTCAGGGAAACCAAACTGAAAGCCCTCACATGCTGACCTGTTAGGACTCCATTCTGGTCAGTGGGAGTCACAGAAGGTTTTATGAAGAATAATCACTCCTGGGGTGAACCATCTATCACAGGCACAGACAGGTGCGAGTGGCCTCCTGCTGTGCGAATTTTGAAATCAAGTGGAAGTTGAGGAGCAGAGCTCATGTGAGGCCCTAGTACACCCCCAGGGAAGGGCCTGTCTCCCTGCAGCTGACCCTTCTCTCGCTCCCACAGACATAGATGAGTGCAGCCAGGACCCGGGTCTGTGCCTTCCCCACGGCGCCTGTGAGAACCTACAGGGCTCCTACGTGTGCATCTGCGACGAGGGCTTCACGCCCACCCAGGACCAGCATGGCTGTGAGGGTGAGTGCGCTGCCCGTCCCCCAAGCCAGATCACCTGCTCCACCTTGCAGCTGTGGTTAACCATGTACTCTGGACCCACTGTCTGAATCCCAGGGCATCTCTTTTCCCAGGATGTCTGGTGGGGGCAGCTCTTGAGGGAGGGCACCGAGTGCCACAGCAGGACCCAGCTTGGCTCCCACAGGGCAACTGAGTGGCGCCAAGGAATGGGGGAGGGGGGCAGCAGAGGGATGAGGGTGGTGGGTGGGCGGCCCGCAGCACCCTGAGCACCCTCCTGCTCTCCCGTCAGAGGTGGAGCTGCCGCACCACAAGAAGGAATGCTACCTTAACTTCGACGACACGGTGTTCTGCGACAGCGTGCTGGCCACCAACGTCACCCAGCAGGAGTGCTGCTGCTCGCTGGGCGCCGGCTGGGGGGACCACTGCGAGATCTACCCCTGCCCCGTCTACAGCTCAGGTCAGGGCCCGCAGGCCTTCCCGCTCCCGAGCCTCTTCTCCCCTTGAAGTCGGAGACGGCCCTGCCCGGGGAGGTGGGAAACGAGAGACTCCGACCCGAGCCCGCCAGCCCGCGCTCAGTGCAGCCTCGTTCCTTCCCCGCCCTCGCCCCGCAGCGGAGTTCCACAGCCTCTGCCCGGACGGGAAGGGCTACACGCAGGACAACAACATCGTCAACTACGGCATCCCCGCCCACCGCGGTAAGCCCCGCCCCGGCCTGCCCCCCGCGGTGAGCCCCGCCCCGCCCACCGCAGTAAGCCCCGCCCCGGCCTGGTGAGCCTCGCTCCGCCCACCGCGGTGAGCCCCTCCGGCCCCGCCCCCCGCCCCTCAGACAGCCGTAAGCCCCGGCCCCGCCCCTCTTGGCAGGCGCCCCGCCCACCGTGGTAAGCCCTCCCGGCCCCGCCCACCGGCCCCGCCCCCATTAAGCCCCGCCCCAAACGCCTCAGCGCCGGAAAGGGCTGCTCGCGCGCGGCGCGGGCTGGGCCCGGCGGCCAGCCCCGCCCCCGCCCCGCCCCCGCCCCGCCCCGCCCGCGGGGCCCGAGCGGCGCGCGCAGGTCCAGGCCACGCGGCGCGCGCTTGTCACGCACAGACATCGACGAGTGCGCGCTGTTCGGGGCGGAGATCTGCAAGGAGGGCAAGTGCGTGAACACGCAGCCGGGCTACGAGTGCTACTGCAAGCAGGGCTTCTACTACGACGGCAACCTGCTGGAGTGCGTGGGTGAGTGCGGCGCCCCCGCCCGCCGCCCCGGCGCGGCCCGCTCCGACCCGGCCTCCCTCCCGCAGACGTGGACGAGTGCCTGGACGAGGCCAACTGCCGCAACGGCGTGTGCGAGAACACGCGCGGCGGCTACCGCTGCGCCTGCACGCCCCCGGCCGAGTACAGCCCGGCGCGGCGCCGCTGCCTGAGCCCCGAGGAGATGGGTGAGCCGGCGGCCGGCGCGGGAGGCGGGCGCGGCGGGGTCCGGGCGCTCGTAACCGCCCCGCCCCGCCCCGCCCGCCCGCCGCAGACGTGGACGAGTGCCAGGACCCGGCCGCCTGCCGCCCCGGCCGCTGCGTCAACTTGCCAGGCTCCTACCGCTGCGAGTGCCGCGCGCCCTGGGTGCCCGGGCCGTCGGGCCGCGACTGCCAGCTCCCGGAGAGCCCGGCCGGTGAGGCGGCGGGGCCGGGGGCGGCGCGGGGGCCCGGTCCGCCGGGAGGGGCGCCCGGGGCGGGCGCGGGCGGCCCCCGCCGGCCCGGGGCTCCTCCCACACGCGGGCCCCTCCGCAGAGCGCGCCCCGGAGCGGCGGGACGTGTGCTGGGGCCAGCGCGGAGAGGACGGCATGTGCGCGGGCCCCCTGGCCGGGCCCGCCCTCACCTTCGACGACTGCTGCTGTCGCCAGGGCCGCGGGTGGGGCGCCCAGTGCCGCGCGTGTCCGCCGCGCGCCGGTGAGGCGGCCGGGAGCGGGCGGGCGGGCCGCAGGGGCGGCGGGGCGGGGGCCGGGCTGCCGCGGGCCCCTGACCGCCCCCGCTGCCCCCCAGCGTCCCAGTGCCCGACCTCGCAGAGCGAGAGCAACTCCTTCTGGGACGCGAGCCCGCTGCTGCTGGGGAAGCCCCCGCGAGGTGAGTGGCGGAGCGGGCGGGGCACGGCCCCGCGGGCGGCGGCGCTGACGCCCGTGCTCTCCGCAGAGGAGGACAGCTCCGAGGAGGATTCGGACGAGTGCCGCTGCGTGAGCGGGCGCTGCGTGCCGCGGCCCGGCGGCGCGGTGTGCGAGTGCCCCGGGGGCTTCCAGCTGGACGCCTCCCGCGCCCGCTGCGTGGGTGAGCCGGGCCGGGCCGGGGCTGGGGCCGGGCCGGGGCGGGCGGGTGGGGCGGGCGGGGCCCGACCCTGGAGCCCGCCTCGCCGCCAGCTGAGGGGCCGCGCGGCAGGGCGCCCCCAGCGAAGTCCCCGTCTGGCGCCCCCACCTGCAGACATCGACGAGTGCCGGGAGCTGAACCAGCGCGGGCTGCTGTGCAAGAGCGAGCGCTGCGTGAACACGAGCGGCTCCTTCCGCTGCGTCTGCAAGCCGGCTTCGCGCGCAGCCGTCCGCACGGGGCCTGCGTGCCCCAGCGCCGCCGCTGACCCGCCGCGCCCCGGCCGTCGCCGACGGGCTTCCAGCGCCTCGACGCTAGGGCGGCACTCGGCCTCTCGCTTCTGCCCCGACGAGGGGCTCGGACCCGGGGACTCTCTGGGACTCGCAAACCCTTCCCGCGCCCGGTGTCCCAGGGCGCCCCTACAGGCTCTGCCCGGTTCCGAGGCAGACAGGTCTCTGGGGCGGCTGCTGGCCTTCCTCCCAAAGGGCCTTTTCTAGAAACTGATAAATCACATCGCGCCTCTTTACTCTTGGCTTCTGAAGCAAATTGACGTTCTGTCCGCGGGGGGCCCGGACGCCGCAGGGCAGCAGACCCAGCCTTCTGGGAGGGGCCAGACGGCGCCCAGCACAGGGGCTGTGAAATAGAATTTATTGTGGCTCTGATTCTGTACAGGTGAGATGCGCCTGGCCCGGTGGGCTGGGCTCACATGGTTTGTACAATAAATACATCTGTCCGGCCTGCTCTGCGCGGCCGCCAAGCGCCCACACTGGCGGTTCAGTCCAGTTTCCGGGTTCCCAGCTTCATGGGGCCCTTGGCGGCCTTCTTCTCTGCGCGTTTGGCCTCCATCTCCCGTCGACGCTCCTCCCGCTTCTTCCTGGCCTGCTCGGCCTTGGCCTGCCCTGGGAATGGGATAGTGAGGTGGGCTGAGAGCTGCAGGCCATCAGGGTCTCGGCTTCCCCGACAGCGCTTGCCCAGGGGTGGAGGCCTGAGACCACCAGCCCGCCCCACAGAAGCACTTACGACTCTCAGTCTCCAGGCCCTCCCAGTTGTCATCACCCCAGGAGTCCCGCCTTGGCTGAAAAGGAATTGTGGGATAGAACAGGCCAACTGTAGCTGGGGTGTCCCCCCCCCAGATCTAACCCTTCCACAGAACCCTGCCAAGTACCTGTGTAGCAGGCTCCCGGCGCACAGATAGGGTAGCAAAGGGGTCACCCTTCTCACTGGGCTCCAGGCCGCCCCAGTTATACTCGCTGGCCAGCCGTGTGCCCTCTGGGGGTGGCTCCTGGGGACTTGGCTCCTGCCAGCCCTGATCCCATGAGCCCTCGGCTTCCCAGCTGCTCCAGTCAGACTCAGGGGATTTGTGATCTGGGTTGCTGGTCTGCAAAAGGGTTGGGAGGGTGAGGGAGTGCCAGGCCATAGCAGAGAGAGGCCAGATGTGAGACACACACACACACACACAGACACCCTCCCCCTCGGCTCACCTGCCCAGCTCTGCTGGCTTGGCCCCCGGTACTCCAGTCCTCCTGCTGGGCCAGCACAGACTCAGCCTCTTGCTGCAGTGTGGGAAGAAGAGCCCCACCATGGAGACCCAAAGGAGGAGGAGGCCCCAGACCCTTCCTAGCCATGTGCCCCACCCTTTCTTTGGTCTCCCAATCCATTTGCTTCGGGGCCCTGTTGCCACCCCTAAGGTGCACGTGCTAAGCGCAGCCTGCCAGCACTCCGCTGGGAGACCAGGGAGGAGATGGAGAGTCTGCACACCCCACCCCACCCCACCCCTACAGAGGCCAGAAGCTGCTGCCAGCCAGATGGAACTGGGGCCCAGGGCTCTGCCCCCCACCCGCCCTTCAAGGCAATACCTCTCCATTTTCATCCCACCCAACCCCCGCCCCAGCAGGGCCACCAGGGCTGGCTGGCACTGGGGCAGGTGCAGAGGGACACGGAACAGAGGAGAGGAAGGACGGCCAGTGGTGGCCCAACCACCACCCACTGGCCTCTCATTCCCCACCTGCGAAGAGGGGACCCTGGAGTTGACTTGGGGCTCAGCTGGCTGCTCCATGTCACCTTCCGACAGGGAGGACAGCCCTGACTCCAGCCTGAGCTCCCTGAATGGCAGCCCACGTCTTTGTCCCAGGGAGGTCCCCTTGGCCCCACTCACCTCCAAGCTGCCCCAGTCTTCGTCATCCCATCTGTCGGCAGCACTGCTGTCCTCTGCCGTGTCCTTGTCCTCCTCTTGTGCCTCCCAGTGGCTTGAGGTTGCAGGTGTGGCAGGGACAGGGGTGGGAGCGGGGGCAGGAAGTCCTGGGGAGCAGAGGATCACTGAGCTCCCACACACCAGGCCCCAGGAAGATCTCAGAACTGGGAATATGATGCAGGGGGTGGGGGATGTAGGGTAGGTGGATATATAGCAAGAGGAAGCTCTTGAGGGAACTCGGTCTTACTCTGTCCCCTATAATCTGATCACCATGCTGGGGAAGCGGACAGTAGCAGCTCCTGGGTGCCAGAACCCCTAAGCCCTTCCAACCACTGAGGCAGCCAAGCTGGAACACTCACCCTCAGGCGTGGGTCTCTGAGGGACGCTGACCTCAGCAGGGGCAGCCGAGGGGTGTGCACGGATCAGCTTGGAGGTGAGCGAGGACATCCCTGTCACGGCCCAGCCGGCCCAGCTGGCCGCAGCTCCTCCCACTCCAGGGCTGGAGGCCGCATGGACATCCTTCTCTGGGCAGAGGCAGGAGAGGGAGCAGGTGTGGGGGCCTCGGCTTCCCACAGGGAGGGTAAAGGAGAGCAAGGACAGAAACGGGGACCTGTAACACCCCCCACATTCTCTAGGCCTGCCCTCGCCCATCTGTGAGGTGCAGGAATGGTGTCCATCCTGCTCTCTAGGGTTCTCCCACCTTTCAGCTGCTCCAATGAGGTGGAAGGGGCCGAACAGGTGACAGGCAAGGGTGTGGCAGAGGAAGAAGGAACGAAAGTGTGGGCCACTCACCCGCCTCAGCCAGCTGGGTGGGGTCTTCGGACACAGACTCCAGTTTGGAGAGGAAGCTTCGAATGGCCTTGAAGGCCTGTGGGGTAGCAGGGACAGAGCTGAGACTCCAGAGGTCCCACGAGCCCACTGGGTCTGCTAGGGCCCAGGGGTCACCCCAGCCCCCGAGGTGCCTCACCTGGTCTCGCACAGACTTCTCAGGGTCGACAGTCAGACCACAGAGCACGGGCAGGATCTTCTGGGCACAGTCGTTCATCGAGTAGAGGTTGTGGGTGGCAGCAAAGCCCAGGACACCCGCGACCCGGGATGGTGCAAATGGGTCCTTTGTGGCCCGGCTGAAGGCGGAGGTGAGGACCCTGTGCCTGGTCTGGGTGGGGCAGAGTGGAGGGCTTCTGAGTAGAGGGTCAGTCCTGGGGCCCAGAACCGCCCGGCCTGACTTCCCAGAGCAGAGGCCACCCACGGGGCCCCAAGTCTGAAAAATATGAGCTTGTCACTAATAACTTAAATGCGGAGGATGGACTTAAGTCTGGATCTCGGTTTCGCTGCCCAGGTGCTGGGCTCACGCTGCCCCAACCTGAGCTCTGGGCGTCCCTCCCACCTGCCCGCTGATCCGATTCAGTCACAGGCGTTAACTGGGCGCTGCAGGTGTCTACACTGACAGACTGGGGGAGGGGATGTCCACGGTCCTGGTGCCAAGCAGAGCCACCCCCTCTGGCTGTGTGACCTGGCACAACTCACTTCACCCCTCAGACATGGGAACTGGGGGCCCCTGGGGCTGGGGCTCTGGGAGGGTGATGCCCATGCACAGGGAGGCCTGGCCCAGGAGAAGCCTGTCACGCGGTGCAGTTGGGGATCCCGACACCCGCGCGGGGCACTCACGCTGGCACTGAGGTAGGAGCCTATTTTGCCCAGGCAGACGGTGGTGTTGCAACGGATGGGGCCCTGGTCGTCCCTGGCCTGCAGCCGCGCAAAGTGCTTCATCAGCTCCACGTTGAGGTTGGACTCGTTCAGCTTGGGGGCCAGGAGCAGCATGGACTGCAGGGTGGGAGAGTGGGGATTGTGGGGGGGGCAGGAAAGGGCCCCTGTGAAGAGCGGCCTCCTGGGAAGGCAAGGAGGCCACGGTGGCCTGGGCACTGAGAACAGCAAGCAAGAACCACACACACCTACCAAGATCTGGTCCTGGCCCCAACCCCAGAGACCGAGACATGGACCGGCCCCCACCATGGCAAAATCTGTCTGCACTCCTCTGCCTCCTCTCTCCTGGCCTGCATGCTACCCAGAATGTCACAACACCCCTCCCCCCACACACCCTGTCCCCCGACTGGCTAGGGTTGAAGACACCAGTGACTTCCACGTTGCTAAAGCCAGCAGTCAACTGCCCGCCCTACCAAACTGCTCTGCAGCTCTGACACCGCGTTCCCCCTCCCCCTTGAGACTTGCCTCTGGTCTTCTGGGTGCCTCCCCCACCCCCACGCTCTGTCTCTTTGCTGAGATCTCACTGTTCAGACCAGGAACTCCTCGGGCGCGTCCAGCAGCCAATGTCTGCTCAATGAGGACTACGGGCCACACCCCCACTGCTCACCCCTGCAACTAAGCTGCAGCCACAGCCTGGACCCCCACTGCTGTCTCATCACAGGCTGAAGCCAAGGCCTCTGAGGCCAGGAGTGGGCAACCTCCAAGCCTGGGAAAGGTGGGGTAACCCCTGTGGGTCTGGCCACGCCTACCTTAACCGTCTGCTCCCGGATGGCCGGGTTGGTGTCCAGGAAGCCATGCACGACGTGGGGAAAGATCTGGGTGTTGACTGTTGGCTCATCAAGGTATTGAATGAACTGCTCCATCTGTGGTCCAGGTGGGGGGCATGAGGATGCAGACAGCCTCCCATCCCCACCAGAACCATGGGGCTGCTCGAGGTTGGTTTTCTCCACCTGGTAGGCTCAGCTGACCAGGTGAGTCTCCCAGCCTCAGGCCCGCGTAGGAGGCGAGAAGCAGGAGTGTGCTAGGACGAGCCAGGATGGGAGCTGGAGGTTGTGGCCTCTGGTCTGATTCAACAGTCCGGCTGTGCCACGCCCCCTCTTAGGGCTTCCCCCACCTCTTCTATCAGAGGTAGCACCCCACGCAGATGGCGGCTTGAGCAGGGCCAGTGCATCGGCAGCTGGAGATGCTGCTGGGAGCTTCCAGGTAGTGCTGCCTGGCTCACGAGGGCCCCACACTCAATCCTATCCGTCCCATCTGATGCTACCCGCTGCCTGGGCGCACATTTCCCCCACTCTAGACAGCTAGAGCAGCAGCCGGG